AATGAGAAAGGAGCACTCATTGATTTCTTTTTAATTTGTCTATTAGCGCAAAGCTGTACTAATGGTAAATATAAATCCCAATCACGAGAATTACCATCAATCATTTTTCTCAAAGTGTTTGAATGATTTTACAGTATGCTTCAACATGACCATTAGATTGAGCATACATAGCTGTATTGTAATTCTTTTTGATGTGTAAATGATGACATATTTCATTCATTAACTTGTTCTTAAATTCTGTACCATTATCAGAACTAATTATTCTTGGTAAACCATAATCAGCAAATATTTTTACACAGGTTTTGGCAACTGTATCTGAATGCTTATTCTTCAATGGGCGAACAATTACATACTTTGTACACATGCATACAACAATTAGAATATAGAGATAGCCATCAGAGCTTTGATTGAAGGGACCTACAAGATCCATACTGATATGGTCAAAAGGTCTTGCACTGACAATGTTCGTTATGGGATGATATCCTCGACGAACAATATTGTGCTTTTGACATTGTGTACAGGCTTCACATACAGTTTTAGCATCTTCATAAATATTATTCCAATGTAGTTGTTGGTCATGTAAGTCTCTCACCATTGCAACATGTGAGGCATGTCCGAGATTATGCATGTCAATCAATAATTGTTTTCTCTCCTCCTCAGGTGGAGTTATATATTCTACAGGTATGCTTTTGTTCTCTACTAATTTGGTAGCTAATACGTTCAATTTTTTATCTTCATTATACTTTTTACGCTTTACTAATGTTTTCTGTAGAACCCTATTCTCCCCCAGCTTGCGTTCACTCTCTGAAAGAGGTGGATACAAGCGGCTTAAAAGGTCAGCCAAACGATTCATAAAACCAGGAATATGAACAACAGAAAAGTCGTATTCCATTAATGTTTCAATCCATCCAAGTAACATTGGATTAAGAATTTTCTGGGTGTGGAGATAGGTAAGACTTTTATGGTCCGTGTATAAGGTGAATTGACGGCCAAAGAGATATTCACGGAATTTCTTTAAAGCGAAAATAACCGCATATAATTCTCTTCTAGTTGTACTCCAATTACATTGAGAGGGTTGTAATGATTGAGACACAAAATTGATATACAAATCACGGTCTTTATCATCTTTTTGGAAGAGTACAGCAGAAACACCGTACTGTGAAGCATCAGTTGCAACAAAGAAGGGTTTAGACATTCTCGGATGATGTAAAACAACACGCGACTTTAGGATGGCTTTAATAGAATTAAATGCTTTCTCTTGGGTAGAGTCCCAAAGCTTTTCAATGTTGCCTTTATGACTAAGCCGAGTAAGTGGTTTGCTCACATCAGAGATCATTGGTATATAAGCACGAAAGTAATTGACCAGTCCTAAAAATGACTGAATTTGTCGACCAGTCTTAGGTCTGGGCCATGTTTGAACGTTGGTGATCTTATTATCGTCAACATGAGTGCCAGTTGCATCAACGACATGACCCAAAAGTCGAACAGAGTGTTGGAAAAAACTACATTTATCAATGTTGATAATCAGATTGGCAGATGTTAATCTGTCGATGACGTTTTTAACGTCTGTTACATGTTGCTCTAGCGAAGTGCTTGCAACAACACAATCGTCAACAAAGTTCTGTACATAAGGCATGTCTTCAAACAAACCAGCCAGAACCTTCTGAAATTGAGAGGTTAAAAACTTTAAGCCGAAACAGGCCTTAATAAACATATACTGGTTGCCGTCCAGATGTGTAAAGGACAACTTATGTTGGTCTTCTTTAGCTACTTCAAAACGATGATAGGCACTAGTCAAATCAATTGTAGTGAAGTATTTTTATAGGCCAGATTACGAAATATATCTCCAACTAATGGGACAGGATAATTAAACGTGGGAGGTAAAATACGATTCAAGAGACGTACATCTAGGCAAACACGATAACCAGTAATTTCACCAGTTTTTGATTTCTTCGGAACAGTCAGCAATGGACTATTAAATGAAGTATTCCTCCGGCACTTTACTATAGTACCAGTTTTTAGCCAAAGTTGTACTTGTTCATCAATAACAGGACGTAAAGCATGTGGAATAGGATATTGACGACGGTATGCCGTGGCGCCAGGGGTAGTTGGCAAATAAACAATTGATTCCCTCAAGGGACAGGAAGATGTTTCAGGGATAGCTTTGTTGGCACTTAATGAAGGTTCAAGGTACTCCATGAATTTTCGCATCTGCTCGGGTGTGCCAGCAGGGGATGCATCCGGCTCATGTTTTATGGCCGTTTCATGATTCAGGTTATCAAAATCTTCACTCCTCTCAAGTTTATAAGCAACTCCATGTAATGTTATATTTAGTTTGACCAGTATATCAGTGCCAAGAAGGACATCAAAGTCAAAATCTTTGTTTAGTTTTATAATTTCAAATTCGTGTTGAAATTGGATACCATTAATGTATTGTACAGTTAAAGGAATAGTTTTACCAATACGAGGAATTGAATTATTGTCATTCAAGAGGTTATAAGTACCATTGATTTTAACAATTTTATTTAAAGATAAATCATTATTATATGTAGATAAATTTATGAAGCTAACAGTACTTCCAGTATCGATCTTGCCTTTAAGAATTTTACCCTCTATTTTAATAGGAGTAGGAAGGTTTAGGTTATTATCCATTGGTTTAAATATAATGGCAGATTTAGATAACGACGACTTACAATCAAAAGCTTTGTCTGTCATGTCCGCATCTTCGGATTGAATGACTGCGGTGTCCATATTTTCAATGCCCCGTTCCATTTCATTAATTGCAGTGGTTGTTGAAGGATTTACTGCGAGAATAGTATGTGACATTGCCTTCATTTTCTGATCATCCTTGTTACATTTGTGTCCAGGATACCACTTATCATCGCAATGCTTACATATACCTTTTACAAATGGCTTTTTATCACTTTTCTTGTTATCAGTGGAGCCATTATTATTCTTCAACGTGAAACAGTCTTTTGTATTGTGCGTAGAGTTTTTACCATGGCTTTTGCAGTAGAAATTCAAGAAATTGAATCGACGATCTTTATATGATCGGAGGTCATGATGACCAAGCTTCTTTAAAGAGCGAGGTTTGTTCGAACGCATATAAGGATTCTGATAATTGTCTTCTTGATATCTGGATTGACCGGGAATTAGCGATGTAGCATATTTATAGGAAAAGTTGTCATCTCCCAGGATGTCCCGAGCCATCTCAGTCAAAGCTTCTACGGTCCAGCTCTGCTCTTTACCAGAGCTTCGATTGGCGCTAGCCACAGCCATACGCACCACCGTCTGTACTGGTGGAATAAGAGATGCCAAAAATCGGTCGGCCACACGAGGATCCTCCCTGGATATGCCAGCATTATACATGGTTTGTAGAAATTTGCGTGAATATTCTACTATGCTTTCTTTATGATTCATTTTCATTGTGAAGACTTGTTCTACAAAACGACGAGTAGCAACAGTGGAACCATGGTGCTTCTTGAAGGCTTCACGAGCTTCGGCCCACAATTCGTATTTCATCAGTGTGTTTTCATTCCACACATCATCACCCGGTGGGAGACAGAGAGGTAATAGCTTTTTCCAAATTTTGTTGATGTTAGGTGTATTGGAGGATAAAATAACATTTTCAAAGGTTTTCAAAAAATGATCCACAGATTCAAATGATTCTTCATTGGGAAATGGTTTTATGATGGCAGAATTTAATTGGAATTTTGGCAAATCACGACGATTCAGGGTCAGGCCAAGTGTGCGAGTATTTGATTCATCACTGCTTCTAGATTTAGAGCGTTTCATCACATCAGAAAGTTCTTTAGTAGTATTCATGGCATGTTTAGTTCTGTTAAGGTTCTGCATCGCCTCATCATATGCAACATTATTGTTTGCTAAGCGGGCATTGATCATCTCTTGTAAATATCTCGTCATCTCACTCCTGAAAAACTTCAAGGCGGAAGCGGAAACTTCATCAAAGGATTTATCACCTGCCTCATCTCCAACAGCAGGAATGGGAAGGGCGGTAGCAGTAGTCTGCAGAAATGACTCTGCATCATCAAGGAAAAAAGACATGGGCGAGTCAGCGGTAGGAGGAGCTGCCATGGGAGAGAGCGATGACGAGCCAAAAAGATCTTCCTTGGTGGAGCCAGCAGAGGACGAGTTTGCCGAATTTTCATTTTGTACTGAAGGAGCAACAGGTGTAGGAGAAGGACCAGCACCGACAGCAGCAGCAGTATTATTATTAGAGCTTGGAGAGTTCATAGTAAAAATTGTAATTCACAGAAAAAAATGTTGGATCGGTAAGATCAAAATATAAATAAAATAGGAAATAAACAGTGACAAGTCTGTGAAAACTCTGGAAGGTTCAAGTTTATTTCTTTCTTAAAATTAAGATGAAGTTCGTCTAGATGAACAGAATCAACTGGTATTTATATCTTTTACGGAGTGGGTATACAGGCCTATTCACCATGGACTATGTTAACTGATCTTGTAACCCGGAGAAAGGACCAATAAACACCAGCGACAGGAACACCGAAAGAGAGCAACAGAAATGTGTAACTCGACCCTGACTGGTCGGACTTAGTAGTATCGGGCAATATAAAGATTGCCCTATCGGACAACAAGTGATTGGGTATATAGACTGGTTCTGAATGATACTAATAGCGTCCATTATAGGAACCAGTAGAGAAGAGGATATAATCGACATGGGCATTCAATGGTTACCATAATCGTGATGAAGATTATAAATTTACAATAAAGTGATCACCGAATCTAGTGTACCTCCTCTACGACCTTTAATAGGTGGAGTCTGGAATAGAATAATGTCTGCGGAATAGCAAATAAAGACCTCTCACTCTATAAGGTAATAGTTATAGAGGCTAATAGAAACTGGATAAGTCACCTCAATCAACAATGTAAATTCTAGACTGAAGTACCAATAGATCATGTACGTGAAGTAACCTGCCATTTAATTATAACTATCAATAACGAAGCGTACTTCGGTTTTATTATGTAATATTCAGCAGTGATCTCTTCATCGATACAACATGTGCATATTTGAACATGACAAAGTATCCGTCTTTCGTAATGTTTTTTTGTTTATATTTGTGAAGCTGCGAATGATATGTGACATGTTGAAGATTCATTCTTGAAGAATATCGAATTGGGTAGGATTGCTGATCTGGTGTAAAGTGGACTTGCCTCTTACTGATATTCTTTATTCTAGCTATATAATGGCATAAAGCGATACCAATCATTGAGATTGTAAAAGTGCCATCAATCAGTTTTTGCTTGTCAGGCATGTTGAGCGAAATAGAAAAGCGACCAAATGTTGACCAGAGTTGCGAAAGTGAAGCTTTATCCTCCACCCTATCAATATCCGGATGATCTTCAAATGTTGTTGTATCAATAGACTTTTCTGCTACTCCAAAATGAACAAGCTTCATGGTTTTTACGAACGAGATGATATTGCTGATTTCAACTATGTTACTAGCGTTTTCACCAGCAAATCTTGCTGCGTTCATCTTATCCTTCATCTGCTTGATGGACCTTTCAACAGCACGACAAGAGTACGACCTGAGGACACCTTGTTTACGGATCATCTCGGCAATGTGAGTCAATAAATGCAGGTTGATACGGAAGATTGTCAGAGAGATACGTTTTTGTTGGAGGCATTTGTCCAAAAACTTGAAGAATACCTCCACATTTCTATATCGCAAGAATTTAAAAAAAAAAAAGAAAAAAAAAGTTAAGTATTCTTTACCTTTGAAACTCTGATAATGCTCCATCGATAATGCTTCATTCAATAACTTACTTTTCTATTTCTTTTATTTGACTTTCTTTGTATTCCATTGCATTGCCAAAGTGATCGCATAAACAATGGAATTCATAGCCGTAGATGCTTGCTTGTCGTAAAACAATGGTGTGATCAAGGTGGGAACAACGTAATGAAGCCAATCAAGCCAATCGACTGACCTGTATTGACCACGCAAGGCTTTTGAAGGATCGACGCCGTTGAAGGTGCTGTTAAAATCATTAGGGATCGAACGGCGGGATATATCCACGGATTGCTTGATCAAGGGGCCATATTTGACATGATCAAACAAAAACGGGTATGCTGCTTCATTGCCTTTATACTTGAAACGCTTGTTGTATACGGGAGACATTATATCAAAAAACAGTTTGGCAACATTCGTAAACAGATGCATTTCATCAAGACCATGGAAGGGAGTACCAGAGAATGACGGAAGATCACCAAACATGTTTTTTTTTTTTTTTTTTTTTTTTTTTTGATGCCCCAGTTGCTTTGATTATGTGAGGTCTACATAAACGTAAGAATCTCATTATTAAGAAAGTGGTTTTATACATTTTTGATTATAGAGGAGCTACTTACATCAAATTCTTCTAACAAAAGGTTTTCCTTTGTACGTGGAGGTTGGCCTCTATAAGGGAAGTATATACCCTTGTTGTCGTTGGTGTCTTTATCCATAGGATGTTCCCCTTTGGCTATTTGAGAGAGATGGTAAGAACAAAAGGTACATTTAATCTGTAAACACATGAAAGAAGACACTTACTTTTACAGTGCTTACATCCGTAAGTGCTCATAAAACCTATCAAAATGAATAGAACATGTTCAGTATTATAATATTACTACTGTTTACCGAGTCAATATATTATGCATACCAGAAAGGGACATCAGTTTGTTTACTTCAACAAGATCACCAGTCCAAACAAGCGGATATACATGGCAAGACGTAAGTTCTTGACCATCCCTGAATACACGTAAAGGCTTTTCTGAAAGTTCTTTCAATTCCTTAATTATAGGATGCAAGTAACTTTCCAAATTTTTTTTTGTTATTTCCAGAGAAAACGGCAAGGTGGATTCGATTGTCATCAGCAAGTCTAATGTAGAGTTGAAAAAAAAAAAGTTTTTTGTGAGGATTGTTTTTGTACATTGTCTAAACTGTGCACGATGTTTACCTGATTGAGGGAGGAAGATTCAAGATGACTGCATCTACAATAACCATAGACGTTCGACTGGATCTGGAAGAGAAACCATCGATGCTTAACGCCAAAGCAATATCATGTACATTTTGAAACAAACCTTGTTGTTGAAGGTTTTTATATACTTCACCAGAGAAGATGTCAGTATATACTTTGTTGTCGTCATCGTCGTCCATTACGTCACCAAAATTGTCATCGCGATACTCAATCTCACTTCTGAAATCGTCAGAACAGAGCAGCTGGGCAATTTTGTCTTTCAAAGAAACAATTTTGACAAACTTCTGTTTGGTTCTTAGTGTACTGCACATGGGACATATGGTCAGCTTGGCATCTTGAATGGGATCGAACAGATAACAACCAGAGCTGCATATTTCGTGCTGTACTGCAAAGTTTGTAGGAAGCCTTTTCTTTAGCATCGATAAACATGCTCGAGGAGACAAGAGATTATATCGGATAGAGTGAGTAGTGACTATTGCAGACGAGAAGAATTATATTTTGAGTTGATTTTGAGGAGTTAAATATCTCTTAAAAAAACAGTAAAAGCTTTCAAACTAGGGGGTCTTTATTTTGAATCAAGTCAAGTTCAAAGTCTTGGGCGAATCAAAAGTAATCTTCAAAAATAGTTAATATTCCTTTTTAGAGCAAACAACCCCGAATGTCCTAAAATGAGCCATAATTCCTGCTACCAAGCGTATATGAATGGTAGAAAGCAAAATAATAGAATTGCATGCTTTTACGCTAAAGAATCAATTTGCACGTTTTCACGCAAAATGCGTTTTATAATGCATTGTTATAAACTGCAACATTTCTTGCAAAAGTGCGTGTTTCCACGCCGTTTATCCTTTTGCGAGAAAACACACAATTTTGCGTCAATTTTACACAATCGGTGTACAATGAAATACAGACCTAAGTATAATGCTGTAATCACACATTAAGCATCTGAACCTAAAATTAGTGCCTAGCATCCTCAAATAATAATTCATCTGACCTCCAGTAAATAATCTTTACTTTATCTGAAGAATAATAAAGACACTAAGTTCAACATCGACTTCTAACAATTATCAATCATCTTGCAAGCAAATATTTTCATTACATACCAATAAAATTGTAAACTATTTTCTTTTCTTTCATTTCAGCTTTGAGGCTGTCCTTTTTTTGACATTTCAGCTTTGAGGCTGTCCTTTGTTTTTTTCATTTCACTTCACTTGGTTTTTTTACTTCACTAGCTTTTTTTTTATATATCATGGTTGTTATTTCTCGCGAAGAAGCAGTATGTTTATTTTATGCTGTGCCGTACAATGAACAGAATGTTAAAAAGTATACCAAGATCATCGACGAACTAGAAGATGTTGAAATATGCTATGCAAGGAATCCCAAGAAACCAAGACTTTGCTCGTTGAAATCGATGAATCTTAAATCATCAGAATATAAACAATACCCCGCAATTCTACAAGCAACATTAAAGTTGAGTTCAAACGTTTAAAATAGTTTACTGTGGAAGTTCCTGTTTTGGCTCAATTGAAAAAGTCATAATCGAAATAGTAATATCCTTTATTTTTTTAAAACAATGAAATAACAAGTTTTATGAATAAAGTGGAGTTAATTAATGCAGATTAGGATTAGATGGAGGCAACGTCTTCGAGCGATGAAATAAGCTTTGTCTGCCATCGTCCTCACAATCCAATATGTGTATTTGATTGTCATGCGGTATAGTATCTATGGTTTTTTTTTAAAGTCGGATGTTCACTACAACCGAAGTTAGCTAATCGCTTTGTTTAGGAAATAAATATGCCACATACCGAATAAATAGTTCCAAGTCGTTCATATTAGTAGTCCAGCCTGCAGAATCAATAATTACCAAACATGCTTTATCCATCTTGGCTAAGTTATTTATCAAATCTACGAACAATAGGTTAGTGTTAGATTCAAATTTGTATTCTATAGTATTTTATATAAGATATTGCCTTGGGCGTCACCAGTTACACCCGATAGTTCATCTATTATTTTGTTCTTCTTCAAATCCCTTCTTCTCAAGGGAGTCTTGGAGTTACAGCTAACTGTAACGTAAACCTGGTCTACTAAAGATCTCTCTTGTAGTCCGAGTATCATTGGTTGTAGTGATTTGACTACACTGCTATTGCTCCCCATTGTTTTCGACTTTCGGCAATAACCTAAGTGTCATGCCCCGATCACTGTCTACGGTATCGACATAAACGGCTGTCAACTTAGACTTGAATTATCGATTAAGCAATTGTTCACAAGTCAAACTGGTACAGTATCAGATCCATAACAGTGTAAGAACACGCCTTCACTAATCTCTCGTTAGATCCATTAGTAGTCATTGGTTGTAACTACATCTTCCCAACATCCTCTATAAGCTCAGCCAATCCTCTGATAAATATATAAAGCCTTCATGTTCTCAAAATTGAAATTAAAATTATCTGACTTTTTCGGTCTCGTTCTATCTTGGTCTATAAAAATCTCAAGAATATCTCACTAAGATATTGTATCCTTCTTGTTTGAGGCTTACAATATACTGTTTACATCTTTCGGATAAGCTAGCAATTTCTTCTAATAATACATCTGTGATAACTGTTAATATTTGTCATATTTATTATAATAAACACATTAACTACCTTTAAAACAGTCTTTTAAGACGTATATGCCTCGTAATGAAGATTTCGTTGGTAACGCTTTGTATTTTCTTTTAACTGCTGTGTCTAGAAACGCTAACTTTTGTACAGTGCACCATCTTAGAAATTTGCTGAAAGGTTCGTCTTTGAAAACCGAGCAGTACCTTTGCACCTCTAACATGATGCTAACAGATGACAAAGACTTATGCTCGTATGATAGAGACTTAGGGTCTCTTGACAAATACATAGCATTCATAAATTGCTTTAGTTGCGGTTTAGATTTTATGATAAGGATGGCTTAGTCGTTGAACGTGAAAAAATATTTAATGTGGACAAGTACCAAGCATTTATTTATTTTTACTAACAGTTTCATCGGATTCTTCACTCGCTTCTACAGTATTTTCAATGGTTTCTGTCTATGATATGTGTAGTTGTTTTATAATTTAGTGAACGCGACTCAATAATTGAAAAAGACTGAAGGTGGGATGGGTCCACCTTCAGTCCTTTTATTGTACACTGAAAATCAGAGAGTGGAGCGTTCATGGTGAACTGAATGTTGGTATTGACAACAAAAGAAAGAAAAAAAAAATAAAAACAAAAAAAAAAGAAGTTAAATGCTCGTTCCTGAAATTATCATTTAGAATACAAGGTGACGTGTACAAGTGTTATTATGATTCTATGATCTTAATAACGTGTCTAGTATTTGAGGTGTGGCTAATTTGTGTTTATGTATTATAGGAGGTATGAAAATATCACACTTTCGATGTCCACAAATTAATATTGAACCTATTGGCGTTGAAACGACTGTACAATACTACAGCAGCTTTGCTGTGAGTCGTAGGCTAAATATGATTTCTGCAGCCGTTAAAAGATCTTGTCATATATAACCATTCTAATCACTGGAATCTATGCCAGAAAGCTCGTTATTATGTGTATATGCTCTTCCACAGGTACATCCACTTATCCCATGCATGTTTGTTATAGTATTACTCGTCTTCCTCTACAAGATTGACAGTTAAAAAGTTAGACTTGATTACAAGAAGATGTGTTGAAAAGTTTCTTTTAAAAAGTGTGCTTCATACATATAAAAGCTTACAAAAGTCAAGTAAAAACCGTTTTATTAGGTGGAAGTTATCCTTGAATGTCTTCTTTGACAAATGGAATCTTCTGATTCTCCATATTAATGCGATAAAGTTTCTTATCATAACGAACCGTTTCAGTATCCTTATATTGTTTGCATTTGCTGTTAACTTCAATCGTGATATAAGCTGTGTCTATACAAAAACAACGCCAGATGTTGCGGTCATTGCGATGATAGAATAGCTTTTTTCCTTTAACTTTTCTTGACAAACGTCCATGGTTTCCGCACTAGTGTTTGCTACATTCTCACATTTGCCACATAAAGATACATACTATAACTCCATTCTCTCCAGTAATCGATTTTGTAAAAAGTCTTCCTGATATGGGTTAACGATACGGCTAATAATGAGTGAGCAACCGAGCAAAATTTTTGCCAAAACACAATTTTATCAGTGGTTTTGCTACCAATTATTCAGGTCAATTAGAACGCCTTTCTTGGCGAGTAATCTAACTGCGCATCTAAGAGTCAGGGAATATGCCTGTCTTGAGGGCTAAGTTGTAAACTTGAAGAAAGATCGATTGCATGGATAGATAGTCCAAAAAGAAACGCCAAATAAGAATATCCCCATCCATCAGCCCTTGGGCTTGCTCGGTTTAGAAGGTCGGCTGGTCATCGTGCTCAGGCTTTCCATTGTGAACGGAGGTGGGGGATCATACTGTAGGCTCCCGCATTACAGCTCGTTCACTGACCCAGAGGCAGTAATTTCCCCATTCTATTTTTAAACTCATTGCTATCAGCGGTTTACTCAAAGTGAATCGTATCCAAATATGTCTTAGTCTCTAAGGGCTCAATGACCTCAAGTATATAATCTGATATAGAAGAATAGGACGTTACGTTGTCGCATGTCTTATAATTCGGTAATCAATCGTTGCCAGGGTAATAGTCTGTGCTGTTGGATGGTTTTACGTTGGTGGTGGAGGTTATTAATTGAATGCCAATTTTCAATTTGCCTCCGTCAACCGAATAACCGTTTTGAGAGCTGCAATACATGTGTAATTAGAATATATTATTCATCAACGAGGGTAGTGTTGGGCTAAGATAGCTAGAGGCGGTTTCGACCGTAGTCATTGATACTGTTGCTGTCTGAATGTCTTTATCAGGATCGTCTATACTGTAGGTTTGGAGCGTTTCCTGAGTTACTCGCTTGATCTGTTCCCCTGATGTTACTTTCTAATAACAAACTTTGAATTTCAAACGAAAAGATACTACCCGGCTGCTTCATTGAATAAAAGAAACAAAAGATTTTCATACATAAAAGTGACAGTGTAAGTGGTTCCATTTGTATTGGGATAAGATACGTGCTTTGGGTATATGTAATATGCGTATGATAGGAATAATAAAGTCGTATATATTTAAAAATTGTCGATGATTGCTTCATTGATTGGATAAAGCAGGTATTTTTATAGATAAATAGTGGCGCTATTTTGTATGATTAGAAAGCATGTCGAAAAGAACATTTTCGCCCTTCATTTGTATCAGTTCTTCAATAATTTCATATTTTCCATATTCTGCACTATCCAAGTTTAGTGTACTGGAATTAGCCTCCTTATGCAAAACAGCATCTGAGGCGGTCAAGTTTGGAGAATCTTTTTCCGGTTTCTGCTGTTCGATCTTATACAGGCAATGCAAAAAATGTAAGTTGGATGAGGATGTTTGCTAAAATAGTATAATGATATACCTACAGTATAGGCTGCTTCAAGTAACATATCTACCCCATTCACAGGCGAGATTTCTCCAAAGTGAAAAGCGGTTAAATTTTCCAACCATTGATCTGTGTTCATCATACTCTTTCGTATTTGAGTATCGTTGGTGTTGTTACAATTAATGAAATGGTCCCTTTCGGTATTAGACGCTGTTGCTGAAGAGTCAGAACCAAAATGGAGGGAACTGTTACGGAACCTAATTAGTAGACATTTCTTTTTAGCATCTGAACTGATTGACTCTATTTAAAAAGAAGACATAGTACTTGCTTTCTTGCATAATTTAAAAAGTCTTCCTCTATTTCTTTGTTTGTTTGGCTATAAGCGATGCTCCCATACTGTACTAACGTATCTGCTTCATTAAAAGTCATATCATCCTCCTCCTGAGCTATCTTGACAAACTGTCCGTTCAAGGTTCTTTTCCTATGTCTTCTAACCTATAAGTGTTTAGACCTTTATGCCTATCTTTCCAAGAAGCAGCAGTCTCTATTGGAGTAAACTTACTGGTGTTCGCTCACCCCGATGCTTTGGACATGTCCACGCACCTTCAGGTATTGAAGGCAAAGGTTCAATGAGACATTCCAGATGCCAAGAGGTACCGCAATAACTACAAGCAATCATTTGTTGTGTACTGCTCTCACTCTTCCTGCAACGGTAGCAGATATAATTGTTCACTGGTAGCAACTGAGGCATAATGAAATTTGAGTTTTTTGGCTGAAGCAGAAAGAGATAAAAAGGAGAAAATTTTTCGTATCATCACAGGCTTTTAAGGTACTCATAATTGTTCGACGCATAGAGCTTCTCTACCAGTTACATTTGTTTGCTTTTTTTTTTTTTTGGCTTGGTTTTTCTTTTATTCCATTATAAACTCTTTATTTCATTTCAAAATATATATCTTCACGCTAAACAGACTTGTATTTATATTTAGAAAGTTCCAAAGCATCAATTCCTGTATTTACTGAACTCATCATAGTAAATGCTGAATAATACATAAAAGATAAGATGAGAGGTATGAGCCAAAAGATAAACTCCGCGATGGAGCTATCCTTATGTTGAAGAAGTGTCATGAGGGGCGATAGGCAGCCTGTCATCAAAGCCGCTGAAACTGTCAAATGAATGGGAATTTGTGTTTTCGTCTGGTGTGTCTGGAGTTTTCTATCGAGTATTTTGATTTTCGAAGCACTTATCAAACTAAGAACAGAGGACAAGATAGAAATAATGCTGAGGACGGCAGCTATCTTTGGTGATCGGATGGAAGAATATTTGATTGTGTGTATATAGGAAATGGGTATAACAATGAGTTCTTGATTGTCAAATATCACGTTGAGAAATCTGTCCTCGGAAGTAAGCAAAAAAAAAAAAAAAGAATAGCATAGTCGTTAAGGTCTCCATATGATTACGTTCTACATTATATGCTGCAAAATATTACAAAAGTGAAATGATGCATCCAATAACCACTAAACCTCTCTAGAGTTGTGGAAAACAAATGGAGTCACTTCAGTAAAATGTCGCTTGCATGCGGGATTACCAAATGTCAATCTCTACTTGAATAAGAATGTTGGCTTTCATGTTCTGCTCCCGAAGTTCCTGAAGAAGTCTTTCTTGTTCTACATCAAATATCAACGTGCATACACTGTCAAGAATGAATAGACCATCATGAAAACGAACAGTATCATCAGGATAAAAGCAGTACCTTCTTCATCTAAAAACTCAACTTCATCTTCTGCGTTGGTCTTGGTTTTTCTTTTTCGAAATTTCGAACCGTCCATGGAGCTAAATGGGGATTCAACGTTGCAAATGAATGAGTGTTTGGAAGAAGAATAGCACTCTCTACAAATGGGACTGTTGATGCAACAACAAAAAGTTTCATTGCCAGCTTTTTGGCTGCATAAGAAAATAGAGGATACTATTGGTTCCACAGCACGTAACAACTACAAAATCTTTGTAGCTTAAAAAGGTTATTTGATTGTTCGCAATCAAAAAATAAGCTTAATTAAAAATGAGTCCGTTTTCGTCTTTTCTCATGTTGCCCCTACGCAAGATTGATTCATTGTTCTTTTCTTTTTTATTAAACTTCTTTATTTGACATTTTGTTTTTCGTCAAGGATTAGCACATATCTAACTTGAAAAATGATGAGACCATTTCAACAACAACAACAACAACAACAACGACGGCCACTCACTGATTCCCCGCCTTTTACACCGTCTTCCATTCCACAAAGTAAAGTTAAAGATAGGCCCCCATCACCGTCAAGCAAAAGGACTACCATGACTCTCCCAGAGGAAAGATTATTGTCTTCCACGTACTCAGATCCATCAACAACAAACATGACCACAGTGAATGATTGCTTGAGCCTCGTCAAGACAACCTTTCAACAACTCTCTTTCCAACAACGTCACTCATTCCTCACTGATCTTCTCAACTGTTGTGATACACAGCTTCTTCATTACATTCAGCAATTCATCTCTCCTAAACTTAAAGTGGATTTCCTCAAATATTTGCCTATTGAGATTGCCCTACATGTTTTATCTTTTATTGATGATCCTCGGACCTTAACCAGAGCCTCGCATGTGTCAAAGTACTGGCATGCTTTATTGACAGATGATTCACCATGGAAAGCACTGTGCTTCAAACATAAATATTACCAACAGTACTATTGTAAAAGTCATGCCTCTACCCTAGCAGGATCAGCGTCAACCCTATTACCCAAGCAACAGCTGGTCACAGCAGAAGAAGAGCTCGACAAGATACCATTGATTCAGTTACCTCCATCGGCAAAAGCTCTTTCATCCTCTTATAGAGAGTTTTTTCGAAGAAAATATAATATTGATATGGCATGGAATCTAGGAGGAGGAAAGATGACGCATTGTGAACGAAGTGACAACACTGCCAATCATGAGGAACATGCTCAGGCACCGCAAGAACAGTTGGGAGCAGTAGAAGCTGAAGGACACTTAGAGGAAAGTCAAATTCTGGTGACGACGCTAAAAATGGACGACACCTATATTATAGTAGGCTACAATAACCATTGCGTCGACATCTATGATGCTCAAAACGCGGCTTTCATCCGCACACTCGAGGGTCATGAAGGAGGTGTATGGGCTCTGGATTTCATGAAGATTGGAGAAGAGACTGTATTGGTTACGGGGGGATGTGATCGAACAGTGCGCGTATGGAATCTTTCCACTGGAGAATTGCTTCATATTTTAGAAGGACATGTGTCTACTATCCGCTGTCTCGCTCTTCGAAAGGGCCCAACAGCTACTTCTACAGATGACAACAATCAACCCAACATTGTCGTCACAGGCTCTAGAGATACCTCCTTACGCATTTGGAATATTGATAGCGGTGAACTGGTTCACTTATGCACAGGTCATCAGAATAGTGTGCGTTGTCTTGCCATTCATGGAGACTACGTTGCTTCCGGATCCTATGATACCACGGCCCGTCTATGGTCTCTTATAACCGGTGACTGTGTACACGAGTTGGTTGGCCATCATTCCCAAATCTACGCTATTGAGTTTGACGGTCAACGTGTCATTACAGGATCACTCGATTCTAATATTCGTGTCTGGTCACCTATTGACGGTACGTGTTTAGCCACGTTAAAAGGACATACATCCGTTGTGAATCTGCTACATCTTAATTATCCTACACTGGTCAGTGGCGGCGGAGATGGTTGTATAAGAATCTGGAACCTTTCAACAGATAGCGACAACAACAACAACAACAACAACAACAACAACAACAGCAACAAGTACGAATGTCAGCATAGGATTTCAGCCCATGATAATTCAATGACGTGCTTTGCTGTTGATGATAAGAGGATATTGAGTGGTGGACAGGATGGACGGGTCAAGCTATGGGATCTAAAACGAGGCACGCTGATTAGAAATTTTACAGAGCCTGGAAAAACAGTATGGAGATTGCAAACAACAGAGACAAAAGCCGTAGTGGTTTTGAAAAGAGAGGTGGAAGCGACTGCTGTTGCTGCGCTGAATGATGATGAGCCTCTTTTAGAAAATATCATGCCACCGTGTAAAGTGGTGATTGAATTGCATAATTTTGATGCAGAAAACTGTTCTGGTGAGGACACTCGAGCCACACTTTAAAAATCCTTGCGATAAAAGAATTACGTAAAATAATTGTTTAAATAGAACTCTACATTTACAATTTCGATCCTCTAATACCATGATTAAAGCTTAAACAAAAAAAAAGAACAGTCCAGCCAACGGGAAAAACGAGCTGTGCCTGAAAACAAAAAATCACGGAATTGGTATCGGAAAAGCCCGATGCCACACATGCTGATCGCACTTTTGAATACTTTTAGCCAATTAAAAAAAAGGGCAAAAATCTTTTTACCATATAAAGTTTTGAAACAAAAACAGAGTTTACACATTTTATTCGTTTCATCTCCCTTTAATTTCACTAACTTTCCTGTCTTTATTATCAACTATTTTCAACTTTTCAACCTTCAAAAAACCCACGTTTCCGAATCCTGCAAAAGTAGAAAATGATATGTCTTGAAGAAGCACAAGTCGAAGAACCTTCCATTATTTCTCTATCTCGTCAAAGTACTCAAAATTCTACTACGAGCGGTCATAATTTCCTTGCCCAGTTTGACATAGATGACCGTGAACAGGAAGTGACAGCGCACGTTGGTCAGGTGCATTATGAAGGCTTGAAAGACTCTATTTTGCTCTCTCAAGACTTGACAAATGGTTGTGGTGGTAAAATATGGGAAGCAGCCAATGTCATGATCAACTATTTTATAGGGAAAGAAAGCAACGGATCCTCATTATTGCAAAATAAAAAGATTGTGGAAGTTGGTTCTGGAACAGGTTTAGTCGGGTTGGCTATGGCTAAACTATGTCCTTCCATTCAAGAGATGCTTCTTACGGATCAATTGTAAGATTGCACTCCACTCCTCAAGGGGGATGTGAACAAAAAATGCCCTTCTATTTTTACTCAAGCTTTCCCTTCACTTCGCTATAGATCTATGATGGGTCTCTTGAAGGAAAACATTACTCTAAATAAGCTGGAGTCTACTGTCAAGGCCGAGATTTTAAATTGGTAAAGAAACTGAAAAAGAGAAAATGACAAGGTCTTTCCACTCCTTATAACCAGTAATGACTTCTTCCCTAGGGGCGAAGACGTTCCATCTCACATGCTGGATGCTGATGTTATTTTAGCTTCTGATTGTATTTATCTTGAAGTTGCCTTTATACCCCTCATCGAAACCCTTTTCGCGCTCACTGCTCAAAAGCCTAATGAAACTGTGATCTATCTGGCCTATCGTAAAAGACGAAGTGCCGATAAGAGATTTTTTCAGTTAGCAAAAAAGAAATTCATATTCGAAGAAATCACAGATGATCCGCAACGACTTGAATATCAGAAACAAAAGTTACATCTCTTTATAGTTCGAAGAAAGAATGCGGATAATAATAAACAATAGATAGGCTGTACAATTTTCTCTTTCAAACAGGAATGAGGTGCCAGAGCACTCTTTTTCTTTTTGGCCCACAATGATTCATTAGTAATGACGCGTGGATCTGTTTGTTATAAAGCAGCAGGGTTGGCATCTCTTCATTGATGAGGGCAATTGAAATAGCTATGTGCGTACTTACTTTAGAACATTTTCGAATAATCTCTTAATGTCTGTTGATGATGCTATGGATCGCTTTATGAAATCATTCTCTAAAAACATGGGTTCTTTGATCAGTTGAATAAAGGTTGTTAAAAGACCCCAAGGATGTGGTCGATTCACAATCAAACGTTCTAATAAAACACGTGTGATCCATTCCTTCACTTTTGAAGAACTTGTTGAAAACAAATGAAGTAGAGTGATACTGAAGAAATAGGTTGATGTTGTCATGAATGGAGAACTGCCATCCCTACTATGATAATCGTCAGCTGGATATCGTAAATGGTCTATCAGATAGTTAATCATGAGGTAACAATGATAAGAATTAGGCTGTAACTGTAAGAGCATGTATTTGTAAATTTGAATGGCGAAATTCTCTGACAAAGGTTGCTTCGTGGTGTCCAAAGGTGGCGCATGGAGGCCCACAAAATAAATAAGTTTCTGTAATTTAGCAGCGTGAAGTGTCTTTTGTTGACCTCCTCTTGACGGCATCATCAAATAATTCATGATTTGTTTTCCAATGGCTTTGCTTGTGGTTGATTTGCCCGTTAAATAATCCCTTATGACATCGTAAATTTCCTCATCGTCTTCCATTGCACTCCCATTCTCTTCCTCATCAACAGTGTAGTCATCTTCAGAAAGAATATCATCAATATCCTTATCAAAATACAGTTGCATCATGGCTATTGAACTGCTCGATATGGTTGCTGTTGTTGATGATGTGATATTCTTCATATATTCGAGAGAAGTAGTAAATGGATCTGGCAAGATCATTGTTCTTGGAAATGCACTCAGAATCACGTTTCGTAATTGAATACATTCTAAAGGTAATAATCGAATCAGAGAAAAGCAATGCTGGCAGAGAAATTCAGGGTAATCGTGTAAAATGACGACCAAAAAGCGAAGTGTGCCTTGATAAAACGCTTTTTCAGGTTGTGTGAATCTGGACAAAAATATCGTCGGTTGTAGCAGTTGCAATGGTTGAATAGGAGGCTTGTTTTCATTGTGGGTCTTTAAAATATGTCTAAAAAACCGTAAATGAGCCACCATGAGCTTATAACATATTCTCTGACCATCGAATCCATTTTTATAATTGCTGCTATTTAAAGAGAATAAGAGTGGAAGATAGAATCGGTGAGAGAATAGCTGTAACCAAGAAAATGCAAATCCAGGAAATTGCATAGGTTGTAGCGTATAAAGAACATTGCTGTAAAGCGTGATGAATTGCAGTTGTTCCACTTTTGAATGTTGAGTAGCTGTTAAGCATTCAACAAAGATGGAGCTGAATAGTTTCAAGAAAGGCTTTTGGTTGAATTGTAGTTGCTGTCGTTCATGACGATGAGCCAATACAAGGATAAGAATGGATAAAATGTTGGATATACGTTTCAATTTCCTTGTGGATTGCTGTTGTGGATGCTGCTGCTTTTCTATAGCTGCTGCTGATCGAAGCCAAATACCAACCAATTTTGTATAGGCATCGACAATCTCCGGAGATGTCATGGTATGGCCAGCAGAACTGACAGTCGATGGTCCACTGATGTGTTGCTGCTGTTCATACAAGTCAATACTTGCTTCTGTACATACTCTAAAGAAACAGCACACTCGATCCTGCCTTTCATTTTCAGACTTTCCTCCCTCATCATCATAGACCGCTGTCATAATCTAAATAAATGGTGAACATCAGGTACAAAAGAGCGCAGTAGTAAAAATGTACGATAGACAAAACTTTACCCTTTTTGCAAATTGTTTGTACATGATGGATGGGGTCTCATTCACTCGGCACACTCGTAACCATTCCGCAAACAACAGTCTGAACGTAAATGCGTTTTCATTACGATACTGTTCTGTCAACTGCTGTTTCAGCTCGGTAATGAATCTTTTTGCGCTCTCCTCTTGCTGCTCCATTAATGCATGGATGACTAACACATGCTCCTCCATGGTTGTAATCTTCCAGTTCAGCATGACCTGTCTCAACAAAGCCACAATAAAATCCACATAATGGTGTCTCCTTTCTTTGAGGTTCTTTGATAGCTTTACATCCAATTGTTCCAAAGGTAATAGTCCATAATAGATCAATACTGTCGTTACGAGAGCATTGTTCTTACGTTCATCATCAAAATAAAGCAACCAGTTTTCTGTTTCTTTGGCGAGGACAGGTGACAATTCCAGCAAGATTTTTAAGAATCGACAATAAACTTCGATCGACAAAACATGTTGATTATTACTACTATAACCACCCTCCTCGTTGACTGTTGTAATAGCATACGTAGAATACAACTGATTGATCACTCTTTCAATCACAAGTCGAAGCAAATGAGGTTGTCCACTTTGATTGATCAATAAAGGTATTTGTCGCATCACAAGAATAATATCGTGGTTCGATGGGAGAAGATGGAATAATGATTTATGTTGTTGTTGATGCGGTAGAGGTAATAATGATAGTTGCTTCTCGGCGACCAGCAAAAGGCGATTCAATTCATATAACATGTGTTCAATTTTGGAAGCAAACAGATCGTTATCATTGCTGTTGCTATTGCTGCTATGGTTATTGTTCATGAGATGACTATCACTGGGTGTATGGGATGGTCTCAAGTTGAATAAGCCTAATCAAATAAGAGCAAATCTATTTCAATACAGAGAGTCTTGACAAGAACGAACGCGTTATCCCACTTACTTGCACTATGTCCAATAGCAGTGGTTGGAAATAGCGGTAGGTTGGGTGGAATGGGTGGTACGAGTGAAGACGTGGATAGTGATGGAGGAAGTCGTTGATGAGGAAATGACATGGTGTTGGCTGTTGTTGTTGTTGCCAGAATTTGTTGTTGCTGCTGTTGTTGACGCTGTTGTTGCTGTGACAAAGAAGAAGAGGTAGAAAGTTGATGCTTTTGTGCAAACATTTCATATAATTTCATCTTTGATTCAATAGTATTATTTACATTAGTATCATTATTGTTGTTAGAGTTCATATTCGTGGTAGTAATAGGGTGTTAATGTGATGAAAAAAAGGAAAAAAAAAAAAAAAAAAGCTCATTTAACATCGAGTTTCCAGCTGAGTGCACTTTTTTACTGTGGTGACTGAAAAATTTTTTAAATTCCAGCTCATTGTTCCTTTCAAAGAATTTTAAAGCATTTTTTATTCCAGCATACATCCTACTTACAATCCTACTCTAAATAATACATTGTTCTTTCTGCCCTTTTTCCTTTTGGTATTTCCATTATTAGAATCTGATGTACCTGGGTCACTATCTTGCTTCACATTGTTCGCACCAGAGGGGTCCCAAGCATTTTGTCCTAGTCTATTATTACGCATGTTCATTACAATTTCATGTTTCGTCTTGGAAGCAGCCGGTAGAGCAGGAAATGCTGCGGTATTGGTAGGTTTGGGTGCTGACATCTTTGTATTCGTCGAGGTAGGCGAGGCTGTCGAAGATGTGGATGGATTGTTCAAAGTAGGGAAAGAACCATTATAGTTGTTATTGGATGCTGCTGTTGAAGGGCTCGTCGGTGTCATCAACGCGGAAGAAAAGGCTGCATAGCTTGGTATGGATGGTAAAGGTGAGGTAGATCGTGAGGATTGGGGTGACGTTCTGGCGCTTGAAGTATTACTATAAACACCATTCGCCCGATTGGCAGCGGTAGCCACTTTACCCCACATATTTGTTTGTTGATGACTACTACTACTGCTCTTATTTTTGTTGCTACCACTACTGCTTGCTCCTACAATAGCTTTTCTTGTTTGTCGGTTCGTTGGACCTTTTATAACTAGCACACGTGATGGAGGTTTACTGATGGATGCTAATGGTTTGTCTTTTACTTCTAATGCAGGAAAATGTGACATTGCTGTTTGCTTATTTCTCCATACACGAACAATTTCTGCTTTCTTTTCTTCCTTGTCCATTAAATTCTCGACACCCTTCAAGATCTTGGCCGTATGCTCTACATTTTGGTTTGTCAGTAATATAATCTGCTGAACATAATCTTCGCATGACATAGAGCTGTTGCGGTACGCTTTGGTGAGAGATTTGAATTCAGCAACTTTGGCTTTAGTTTGCAGCATCACACCCACCTTGGATAAAAAGGCTTGATGTTGAGCGACAGTCAAGTTATCTGCAGCTGATGATGCTGCACTTGATGGTGACGATGACGTAGAGGAGAGCGATAATGTATCATCGTAAGTTGGATTGCGATCAAAATCCACTGGTTGAGGATCACTTGATAAAGCTCCAAATCCAGCAGGCTTTTGGATGGCTTTACCCTTTCCTTTACTTTTCTTCAGTCCACTTGCTCCGGGCACAACACGAGGTTTCTCTACCTTCTTTTCCTTATTGTTTATCGCTGGGAATTCTTCTGTACTCCTGTTGCTGACTATATTACTACTATTGCCGCTGCCCTGTGGCCTGATATCCCTCACTTCAAACGATCGAGGAGATCCTCTACCCGATGATGAAGACACTTCCTGATCCGATATCGTCGCTTTTGCCTTTCCTTTCCCTTTACCGCCATGTCGTTGATTTCTAACCGAATCATATTGAAAAAGATTCAGATCCAATTGTCTGCTACCTCCATGCACTTCTACTTCATGCGCTTTCAGATCAATATCAGTTCCAAAAACCACAAATTTCTTTTCCAAACAGCTCTTATACAAGCACAGATGATGCTCCGTCCTAAAATGCTGTTCCAGCTCGTCATAATTAGCGTAATATTCATGTCGTCGACCATGCATTTTTACACATAGAAAACATTGTTCATGTGAGTCTCGACAATGGATAAATAATTCGTCGTCGCTGAAATATCGTTTTTTACAAAAGCCGCATTCTGGATGCCCTGAGAAACCGGTTTCGTCTTCAGGGAGAAATGATTTATCGCCTTCTTTGTAATGAGTCAAGAGTTGAGAGGGAGTATACAAAGTATGTTCAAATGGAAAAATCTTTTTAAAACGAGTACAAAGATCACTAACAAAAAAGAAAGGTATCTGTTATCAAGCAAAGTAAGGGAAACTCTTAGGCCATCCAAAAGGACATTTACCACAAATTCATTTGATGTTCCTTTATAACATGCTGCTTCAATTCATTCCAGTTCTGACAGACTTGTTGGCAAGAGGCTTTATTACCTTCTTCAAGTCGTTGGATAGGGCAGTTGTAATCCATCATATGCATGGCCTCTTTGTACATACTTTGTGTCTCAAACTTTATGTTTAATTTCTTATTGAAAAAAGGTGTGTCGCGTTCCTGATCATAACTATCAAAAGCTTTATGGGCATCCTTCGTGAATATCACCACTGATTGTTCAGACTAAATAAGGTATTGATCATCAACATGGATTATGTAAGGATCAAGACACTAAAAAGCTGGAAAAAATGATAAACTATACTTACTTTACAATAAGCGCAGTTTTTTGTCTCGTATAAAGCTCTTAATCTCAAGGCACACTTGTGGCATGTTCTATGATCGCAAGAAGAAACTGCATAGATCGTGATGGGCTCAGTACAGATAAAACAAAGCTCTTCCTCCTCTTCTTCCTCTTGTTGAGGTTTGGGCTGATTTTTTGACAGCACTTTCTGTGTTGTTTTCGTATTGTTTACTTTTTTTGCAGTCTTGGTGGGTGACATCCTATGCAATACCAAAAACAAAAAAAAAAAAAAAAAAATTAAAGTAAAGGAGATACGCCAAATCACAATAGAAAAATGGGGTGTGTTTTTGGTTTTTTTTTCTTGTTTTGTCCGCCAAGTTCTCTTAATTTTTTTACTTCCCTTGAAGCTTAATTTAATTTAACTCAGATTGCTGCCAAAGTTGTTTCTATAATGTACGCGACAAATTCTATATGCCCACGAATTACTGTAAATGCTATGGTGTATATATGAATCCTTTGACACCAATGGGTTTGTTTATAGAAGCATCCTATCTTTTCTCTATTAGTTTACATACTTCAATTGAGTTGATACATGCGCTACTTAAGAAGAAATCGGCTGTAATGTTGCTGTGTGTAAAAATCTAATATTAAGAGCAAAATCTGAACGCGCAGATCTTGACGATAGGTTGAGGAGGTATATAGGAATATTCCTTTTCATCCCCCATCCGTCTCTAGTTAAGCATATAACATAATTTCTTTGAGCCTGTCTTCCTCGCAGCTCATGCGGGAAGCGGCTGCTTTCGACTAATTTACTTGCCATAGAAATCTTCTTTTCCTCTCCATGTCCCACCCCTCAGCGATGTGTGACTAATTTATTATTTTAAAATAAAATAATCTACAAAAAAAAAAAAAAAAAAAAAAATAGTAATGGAAAACTTCCTCTTCTAGGTTCTTAGAATAGTTTCGAAACTAATTTTTGCTTATCAAGTATTCTGGCGGTCTTAATTTTCTTTTGAATCCCTCAATTGCTCGATCAACGATAACAAACTACTTACATAATTGTAACGAACTGAAGCATTACTTAGGTAACAGCAATAATACTGTAGCACATACAGCCAGACAGCATACAGTCCATCATAGCTTAATTATTTTTGCATTTTAATGACTTTTACATAACCATCACAAAATTATTGTAAGAATATTTAATAACATTTATTATCAAGCCCACGATGTTGACGTAATATAATAGCTGCTTACTCCTATAGATGTAAGAAGAATTGCTGCTTCGTTTTCGCTCAAATGGTGGGCTTCATGGGATTTTTATCTGTGGATCGGGTTCAAAAGATGGAGGACCAACGTCAATCAATTTGATTGAAAAAAAGCAAGAACCAAACAGACAAGTTGATTAATTTTGGGCCTTCGGTCCTCGATTCGAGCTGCTATCGTTCTTACATATGAAAGCACCTATGAATCTCAATATCGTTCATTTATAAGGTTTTTATATACGCTATAATAATGTTATGGCGGCCCAAAGTAAGGCCCAAACGCGATCAAGTTGATTAAAAAAATGCAATGATCGGGCAATCAAATTTATAAGTAGCTGATTGAGCGAGTGGCGTGTTTGGTGAGATGACATCTACAATACGCGAGTACGTACAACCAGGTAGAGAGTACATTCTACCACGTCTATCTATATTGTATCTAATATAGGTTATGTACAACATATAACAAGATACAAGCCTTAAGTATAATAACCACCCGCCCAAACACCCGAACCTGAAATTAGTGACTAATTTCTATACGCGTCCTATTTCATCTGAAGACCAATAAAGACACTAAGTTCATAGTCATCGACTCATAACAGTTATCAGTTTTAATTGACTAAATATCTCAGCGAGACGTCGACGCCTGCGTTTAAATAAAAATTAACTCCCGATTCAACAATCTACAAATTTCTTCAGAATAAGGAAAGATATCAAGTTCCTAACTATCGATTCATAACAGTAATCCCCATAAACACATAACGGTAATCCATCCATACAAACAAGCAAATATTGCACACATTAATGAATATTAAGGCTGTTTTTGCTGTCTTTCGGCTAATAATACTTTCTTTCTGTTAACAATCCTCACAGCATAATGTCTCCAATTTGCCCCATGTCTGAAGTTAATGATAACATTCGTTTGAAACTATTGATTGAGAAGGTTAATGATGCTTATGAAGAATATACCAGATTGCCTGAGGCAGATATTCAAGCTTCAAATGTAGCTATCATGCATTCTGTTCTGAAGCTGAACCAGGATGATGTCAAAAAAGTGGTCCACAAAAACTTTGGCAGAAAGCAGCCAACTGATTATTCGTTGATGCTGGGCCACTTTTGCCGTGAAAGATCGGTCAATTTGACCAAGATCGTTCCAAGCGAAGTGAAGGAGGCTGTTCAGGACCCCAATAATAAGGAATTGGTTGAACAGTTTAAAAAAAAATCTTTTACTAAGCGTATTCAGGGCATTCATCCTTCTACTTATATTGCCAAGGAATATAAGAATGATCTCAAGGGATTGCAAAAAGCCATTGATGATATGTATGTTAAGTATAAAACGAACATACTTATTGGCTATTGCACCAAAACAGAGACAATTGCCACATTCCCTTCTGGCACCATGCATAATTCAGGTTAGACACTTCATTTACCATTTAAATGATGAGGACACATCAATAACAGTTTATTTAGTGGGCTCAGCGATTGCCTTATCATTCGTCAAAGAGAAACTGAATGCTGATCTTTCCTTTATATTGTGGAACAAACTTCCGAATGGCGCACCCTATACTGGTAAGTGGAAATCCCCTAAGGTACATATTACGACTATCCTGTTGTTGACATAGAATCGTAGCTGTGTCCGGCAGTCTACCTGTAGTCGAGTTTGTTCCAGCAATGCAACCAGTTTGTCGGTCAGTTCCCCCTCCTGTTCTTCATAATCCCGCTGCTTTCTCAAACTTTGTAGAACCTTATCGAAAAGGTTCGAGAGACAAGCTTAAAAGAGAAGTTCGAGGAAGGATGTTGGGCTTGTACAGTAAGTCATCAAATATTTGCGGGTTTGAACAATGGCAGAAACACCAAAAACACCAAAAAAAGTTTCTGATAGGAGAACAAACTGGTGGAGCACAAGCTGATCATGTGCCATATAAACAGTTGTTTACAGAAAAGCATCCTACACATAAAATTGTGGGATGGCCGCGCGATGTTCGTACCACCGTGCCGTCTTCCAATTGGAATTTATCAGAAGTAAGATCAATTGAAGCTTCTCTTAAATTCCATAAAATAAACTTTACTCGTAAATGATGTTAAAAAAGAATTGCACAACTATGATTTGAATTTTCATCTCCGACTTTCGAGAGGTAGTGACAGTGTTTAGCAGTCAACTTACAATTGAACAAATAAACTGTTACGACCTTTTGCTTCTTCTGGTTACAAACGCAGAAGACACGGTCTATGTCTAGAGGACCCGCACGGAACGTTGGCTCACCATGCAAAGCCATAGACGCAAGATACCGCGTTAAAGGTTCTTTACCAAACTGCCCCCACAAGGCTTGGTAATTTAAACGGGGCATGGTTGACTGTGTGGGTTCATCAGGTGGAGATTCCAACGGAACATATTGTTGCATGTTTGCAGCAATTTGTTCAGCTTGGAGGTCATCCTCCAGTTGATAATCAGTGAGATAAGCATCGGCGTTTGGATCGTATTCCGTGCCTAAATCAGGACTATCATACCCTTCAACTACTACAGATGGTGCAGATGCTGCAACATTTACATCAACTACTGCTTGCTGTTGTTGTTGTTGTTGTTGTTGTTGTTGTTCAACTGCAGGTTTACACATGCTCCGGAGCAATTGTTCGATTTTTCTCTTCTTACGTTCACCGGCTTTCGCGTATTGTTTACGAAGCTTTAAATATTCTTTATGTGTAATCATTCCAAACTCATCTCTTTCGAATTGATCCATTTTGTCAGTAGTTTGCAATTAAAATATAATATTTAAAAGAGAAAGGAAAGTTTGTTCATATTTGTGGCGCAAGCAAACCTTGTACCTGAGTTTCACATAGTGGACTTTTCAATCAGCGCATTCAACGCCTATTACTGTTGACCCTTCTTCATTGCGAAGATTACATTCCTCATGAGCTGTAAAAACTAATTCGTGGGCAATTGATTGTTCATTTATAGACCATTATCAGTAAATTGATAGTACACAAGACTGATTTTTTCATTATTTAAAGTCGTTGTCATAGGTTTTAAACAGACCTATTTTGTCGTTGTTGAATTACATTCATTGAAGAGCGAGTTCTCAACATTATATTGTTTAGATATTACATAACAACCTAAAATAGCTGTTGACGTACTAAAGCACTAAAGCTAAAAGTTCTCAATTGATCTTCAAAATCATACTTTTAGAACAAGCAGTTAAACGCCAAAATGTTGCTTCACAAAGGCTGTTACATTCAAGTTTAGCAATCAGTTAGAAAGCCATCTATTATTTTCCTTGAATTTCATGAGATCAAACTATCAAGCCCTTCTGATAATACCGTATAATCTATTCAAAAATTCCTTACTAACGTGGATGTATCGATGGGCTGCATACCATTAGTTCATACTAAGAGAATACGAACAGCTATTGACATTGGATTTAATGCTTCTGTACGAGCAAAATTTTTATTCAAAGTAATACAAATAAGTACGCCTGGCATAAGTGATAATATACAACGCTAGTTTAGTAGCTTGTAGACTTTATAGGGCTGTTGGACTCTTAGACAATCTATTTACAATTAGTAAGTCTAAGGACTGTATAGGAAATGCAAGCCATCAGAAGGTTAAGCCAAACCATAACATTTGTTTCAAAAGACTAAAATGCGTTGAGAAATAACGTGCTGATATAGAAGGCTGGCGTTTGATAATAATCGTTTTGTAATGTAAACGCTTCATTCCGATGAAGAAAGATAAATACAAGTGTACCTCGTTGCTTCAAATTTTTAAATACACTCTAAGAGCAACCAAACGTTTAATGCCATACAGAAGTGCTCATATTGTGCTCTTTCCTTAATACCGAATATTGTAGTTGTACTTTGCTGGTAAAGAGTATTTGAACAAAAGGGGTATTGGGCTAGGAGCGAAACAAAAAATGGCCTGCCTCTATTTACTCAACTGATGTCTACATCGAATTTTATTGGCAAACTGGGTTCAAAATATGGAGGACCAAAGACAATGATGTTATTGAAATTCAAGGGGAATGCAGTGCGATTTTAGATTTTCAAAATTGAACATGTTTTCGACCCGAAGTCTTTGTATATTTTCCGAAGACAAGCGGGCACTTACTTGAAACCCTATAAGAGTGTCTTTTGCTTATTTGCTCTCAAGATGTTCATAGTCAATACACCATCATATGTAAAGAATCTTGTTCATCACTTTTGCTGCTTAAACACTTCGTCACTGATATGCTGATATAAGCCCTGAAAGGATGGAATGTGGTCTCAATTGAAAGAAGCAATCAAATATTGAAATCGGAAGACCGTTTTCAAAAGCATGAGAAAAAACCCCTCATACAAAATGGTGCTGCCTTGATGGAGCTTTTTTTTTCAAGTTAAAATTACGAACAACATTCGCTTACCTATCGTCGCCTCAAGCCCTTTTCATATATAAAAAAAAACCTATTGACTTTCGACTTTGACGAATATATTGTTCTTCATCTTTGAACATCAACTTACTGAAATAAAGTACACCCTTTCATTTTACTATGGTTCGCTTTTTATCTATTGCACTCTCAGCGTTGCTCGTCGTCACAAGCGTACATGCAAGAGCTCGTGTTGTGATGCCTCCTCCTCCTCATCATGGCTCCCATCATGGTATACTTCCTTTCCCTCCTCCTAATCCTCCTAATCCTGGTAACCCTAATCCTGGTAACCCCAATCCTGGTAACCCCAATCCTGGTACATGTGCTGGTTATGGATTAAATAACGATGCTGTAAGTATTGAAGGAAAAAGAAAAAAGATTATCCTATTTGTCATGAAATGCCATTTCATCTATTAACATAATGTCTACTACAGTTCGGCCATTTCAATGCCATCTTCTTTGGTAATTTTGAAACGGGTGGTGGTTCTGGTACCATGGGCCCTCTCGCTGTTGGTGGCAATTTCACTGCTCCCGATTCTGTTGTTAACGCCAACAACGGCTCTAACTGTGATGACAATCCTTCCTCCATCGGTTCTATGGGTATTGTTGTCGGGGGAACTGCCATTACTTCCAATACACAAGTCCACGGTAACGCTTTGATCGCCGGCGGTGGCACCCTGACCCAAATTAGAGAGTCAGAAGCCGGCTTTCAAGTGACTAACCAACTTGGCACCGGCGATTTCGATTTCTTTGCCGTTCGAGAAGCTGCCCTAGATAACAATGAAGGCTATGCTTATATGGATCCTACTGCTATCATCGAACCTAACGGCACATTAACTCAATTCAGATCCGATGCTGACTACGAGGTTATCACTTTTGGCGGATGCGGGGGAATGCAATGTAGTCTTGACCCCAATACGGAATCAGACCCTTCCAATATTCTTTTAGGCTCAGGTAATTGGAACGGTTTCCAACCTATTGATCCCAATAAGACTTATGTCTTTAATGTAAGTAGAAAAACGCTGTTTATCATTCGATGCCATTCGTCCATATGCCTCTTTTAACCCCCTCCTTTTCGACGATACATAGATTCCTGTCATCAATCGTGGCACCCTCACCCTTCGAACCAATGATCCTCTTGATAGTCTCAATCCTTGTAGAGTTGTTTGGAACATTTATCCCGTTGACGACCGAGGCGTCTACCTGCGTGATGGTGAAATCACCGTTTACCGTGCCACTGCTTCTCAGTTGGGTGGTTTGATCATGGCCCCGGAAGGTAAGCCAATCTTCTGCAATAGTCATGTATGAAAACAAAAGAAAAAAAAAACAAAAAAAAAAGCCTAATGACTCCATTCTCTCTTCTATTTGTAGCCCACATTATTGATGGTAGTACAGGTAACTTTGCTGGTACCGTCGTAGGTAGGGACTATACTTGGTCCGACATGAGTGCTGGTGTTGAAATCCACGATTACCACGCCATTGGCGGCGCCTGCGATGCCTTCCAAGGATGTAATCCCCACCCAGATCATATTGTCAATGAATGTACCAATACATTGACAACTACCTCGACTGCTACTACTACGCAAGTAATTCCAGTTCCTACAACCACTACGCAAGTAATCCCTGTAACCACCACTGAGGAAGTGCCAGTTCCTACAACCACTACTGAGGAAGTGCCAGTTCCTACAACCACTACGCAAGTAATTCCAGTTCCTACAACCACTACGCAAGTAATTCCAGTTCCTACAACCACTACGCAAGTAATTCCAGTACCTACAACCACTACTGAGGAAGTGCCAGTCCCTACAACCACTACGCAAGTAATTCCAGTTCCTACAACCACTACTGAGGAAGTGCCAGTTCCTACAACCACTACGCAAGTAATTCCAGTTCCTACAACCACTACTGAGGAAGTGCCAGTCCCTACAACCACTACGCAAGTAATTCTAGTTCCTACAACCACTACTGAGGAAGTGCCAGTTCCTACAACCACTACTGAGGAAGTGCCAGTTCCTACAACCACTACGCAAGTAATTCTAGTTCCTACAACCACTACTGAGGAAGTGCCAGTTCCTACAACCACTACGCAAGTAATTCTAGTTCCTACAACCACTACTGAGGAAGTGCCAGTTCCTACAACCACTACGCAAGTAATTCCAGTACCTACAACCACTACTGAGGAAGTGCCAGTTCCTACAACCACTACGCAAGTAATTCTAGTTCCTACAACCACTACTGAGGAAGTGCCAGTTCCTACAACCACTACTGAGGAAGTGCCAGTTCCTACAACCACTACGCAAGTAATTCTAGTTCCTACAACCACTACTGAGGAAGTGCCAGTTCCTACAACCACTACGCAAGTAATTCCAGTTCCTACAACCACCACAGAAATAGTTTCTACCACCACCACAGAAATAGTACCTACCACCACCACAGAAATAGTACCTACCACCACCACAGAAACTGCTATTGTCACTACTACCACCACAGAAATAGTACCTACCACCACCACAGAAACTGCTATTGTCACTACTACCACCACATTAACTGCTATTGTCGACCGTCCTACTACTGTCACCAGCATTTTTACCCAACCTATAACTACAACAGATATTATTACAACAACCACATCTATGACTACAACAGTTACTACGATAGAAACGTTAATACCTACAATACCAGCTTCTGTTCTTAATACTGGTGAATGTTTAAGTGTAATCAATTATGTATTACCTCCTGGGACGGCCGGAAATACCTTTGATATGTATGCAGAATTAAAAGATAGCCAACCAATTACAAGAGATAGTTGTTATACTGTATGTTCAACTTCACCACACGTACCTAATGGTGAATGGTACTTCGGTATTACAGACGGTCTTTCAATAAGTTGGGGTGGTACTAATTTAAACTCACAAGCTTGTTTATGTTTCATTAATAAACCACCTAGTATAAGTCCAAATGCTGCTAATCCTCCAAGTTGTGCTAACGGTAGAGGTAGTACACAATTCTCATCATGGGTGTATACAGTTAGTCCATAATAATTATATAATAAATATAAATAAATTTTATCTAAAATAAAAAAATAAATAAAATATTGCATTAGAAATATTAAAACGAGATAGAAATATAAATTTTTTCTTTTTTTTCCCCTTAAGGACCCAAAGGTCCGGGTCCTATAACCACAAGGGGTGGCTGTGGCTAGAAGTAGGCTTAAAAGTACTTTAATGGGCACGATAATTGAAGAGCAAGGGATATAGTAACTGCGTACATGTGGTTCTTTCTCTCTTTTTCTTTTCTTTGGTAGATAAGCAGACTATTTTTTTGATAGGCTTCTTCTCTTTTCACCCAAAGCTTTTTGACTAATTTATGTAAATTTATAGACCTTTTTAAAAGATATCACATACTAGACTTTTTTCTTCCTTTATCTATTTCATTTTTAGTAGACGAACCATCCCATCTTAGAAGATGAAAATAAAAATTATCTAGAGTACATTCTTTCTTTTTGGTTAGCGTATCACTTATACATTAGCCGTTGGGTTTGTATTCTAACAGATGGGTCAAGCTCTACAGTGTTTTTACTTGATGGAGACGGGTCAAAGTATCGCTACTGACGAAGTAAGATTGATGTTTGGATTTCCATAGCAAATGTACGAGCCACCACTACAATTTTTATAGAATCGAGCCAGCTTCGTTCTGGCGATTAGAGGATGCTGTTAAGCGTATGATGCGGGTGACTTCCTTGGTTTTTTACAAAACTCAGTAGGTCTTCCCGTTGACTTGCATATCGACACGCTAATTACCAGCATGATTTTAGAAGCGTTGACGTCCCGGTTCAAAAGTATCGAACAGGTTTTGCAGGCAAGGATACTTTGACCTGGAACAGTCTTCAATGCCTCAACGGTGTTCGAGCGGCAATTGTTGCACGTTCGAGAGGTAAAATATTCATCAATGGTTACCATTACTAAATCGCCGGCAGCCTCTCCTCGCTCAATGGACGCCACAGAACACCAACGACACCAGTTCTAAGGCCTTAGATAAATGGCCGATTTGTTGAACATCCCGTCACCAAATACAATCAAAGGAACTTTTTTACTACCACTCAACGTGATATTGTCAGGGGCCCATTGTCTTGTTGAAGAAAGATAATAGAGTGAGTTTACACAAATTCAGTTGACAGTTAATCGCTACAAGACTTACCAGATGTGGTTCTCTTTCTCTTTCGTTTTTGGTTTCTTTTTTTTTTTTTTTTTTTCTTTTACGAAGCTTAGGTTTGCCCTTCTTCTTTGGCCATTTCGTCTGTTCTTCCCTTCTCTTTGTTGTATTTGATACCTGCATCGCTTAGCATGCTTACCATTGTATCTGTAGCACACTTGCTGCCTTGATACAGACGGAATCTTGTTTCACCCATACCAGGCCCATAGAATGAGAAGAGGATCTCTAAATATTTTAGTATATAAATAGTATATCTCTTAGACTGTTCAGACGAGCCTGAGGGAGTTGGAAAAGGGAAGAAGCGATGAGGTAATGGTAACCTACGAACATCGTAGGGAAGATGATTAGAATGCTCTTCTTCGTAGTAGTCTTGGATAAACCACAAGGGCTTGACAAATTTGACTGGATCGGCCGCTAATGACAGAAGCGAAACCTTTTCCTCCACAAGGTCTGCAAAGTTTTTGCGAACGAGCAGTGGTATGGCCATCTTGTCCACAGCTGAGGCACTTTGCAGCTTGTGGGTTGGTCTTTTTCCGTTTAACTGCTTTCTTCTTCTCTTTCACTGGGTCACTCTGTTTTCTCTTCTTACTACTGCTACCAACTTTAAGGAGGTTACTCATAAGCAATTAAGTGCTGTGTGTAAGATAGATTTAGATTTATTGCTTACCATCATCAGCATTTACGGCTTTGTAATACTTGCATTTGTAATAACGCTTGTCAAAATGACCTGGTTCATAGCTATCTCGACACTTGGTATGTTCTAAAAAGTTACAACAAATATCAGAATCCTTATATCTTGATCTGACGGTTCTCCTACAATTATCAAGCATTTTACCAAATGGGTTCGTTTTAACCTGGTTCTTATGTTTTTCTTTAATAGATCTAATCTTCTGTATAATAAAACTTTTGTACATGAATAGAGCTGTAAGTTACAAAAAAATGCGAAATACGGAAAAGTAGGGATCTTATTCTCGTTTAAAAGAACCTCTTCATTATAACTTAACTTTGACAACAAAAACGCGAGAAAAGAAAGACACGTCTTTATCATTGGGCAAAGTTCCAAAAAAGGCACTGACGAATATCTGGTTAGTCTTATCACACACATCGTCATTTGACGAAAGAGTTGTCAAGCTTTTTGTAGCTCACCCTATTGCAAAGTGAAGCCAATCAGAGCTTTCTTAGCGACTTCCTTACTAATGAAGACTCATTTTTAGGGCTAGCTTGGATGTTACTGGATAATTGATCATCAACGAAATCGTCCAAGAATAATATTGTTTAATCGTAGTAAAAGCAACTTCTCTATTAAGATCAGAGACACGTAGAGATCAAATGTTCTTTAGATGCTAAGCTTCAGATGCTTCAGCCTGTCAATTCTTATCATTCAAATGACGACTGTCTTTTGCTGTTTGGTATTCAAAAACCTTATACAGGTTATTGCGAGCTTTTCTATTGCTGGATTTATTCTTTCCCTATTATAGCTTTAAAAATTCATAAATGTATAAAGTATAAAGGGTGTATTTATACATAATATATAACTTGATGCGTATTAGGCTTTTCCCTTCCGTATCCTTTTCTTTATCTGCTGTCTGCTGTTCCATATCTTTATTTTACTCGCCAAACAATCTTCTGACACGTTTAAGGACACTATCTTTCTCAGGATCTACGCGTACAAAAAGCAACATTATTCAGTAACTCTTTCTTCCCTCTAACAAATTGAAATATTGAGAGTCTTTACCGTAAGGATGATCTTTGGAGGGTATCTCGAGTACAGCAGGGAAAGCAGCATTATGACCGTCCACTAACTCACGAATATCTTCAGCGATCTAATCATTCATAGCCAGCAAACGTATATTTAGCATACTATATCCAAAGCATGCCTACTATGTTTCCTTTCCTTTTTTGGAGAGAGCTTACATGTTGATTGATTAAAATGATAGCGATATCTTTACGTTTGGTATATTCTGTAAATGTTTCCTCGATTGTTGTTAAGGGTGTTTCTAGTAAAAAACAAATGCATTCAAGGTTCGTGTCTATTGTTAAAAAGTAAGCATTGCTATTATGCGTATAACAACTTACTAGCATCAACCACTAAAAAGTTCCTCTTTTGTTGTTGATTAACATGGCCAATACCTGCCAATAAAAGCCCAGTGACGGAATCCTAACATCAAGATGAGCGAACCCAACGATAAAAAGTTTGAGAAAAGGTTAGCATCATTATGTTGCTACAAGCAATGCATACAATCTACTTTTATATACCTCGTCACCAATAACCGCAATGAAATTTCTGTCTTTCTGTAGTGATGCACCTCCAGACATAATTACTCAAAGACGTTCAGGAGAAAAAGGTATGGAAAGGTGAGAAGTTTCAGCTTTTTTTCCCTTTAAATGATTATACGTTTCAACGCAAATCTACTTGCACTCCGCCTCTCTTAAGTAGGAAATCCTTTCTTTTTTTTCTTGTCTTCTGTTCCTCGATCAGTTAGCATAAATTTTGGAAGATCTACATTATATACTTTAATGAGCTCATCAACCTCAATAAACTCAAAACAGCAAACTCAAGAAGACGAATTTTACGATGATATATATTTTGACACAGATGCTGAAGATACTGATGGGGAACCTTTGCCATCAGGGAGCAATCAGAACACAAACTCGAAAAGTAACTGACATAGATCGGCTCGTCTTTGCTAACCAACTACTGCACGAATGGCTAACAATGCGACATGTACATATAAATAGGCCGTAAAAAAGTATTAAGCAATGATGAACTATTATACGATCCAGATATGGATGATAATGATGAATCTTGGGTGATAAAGCAGATCAACAGTAAGGGTTTAATAGCTCGGCAATACGTAGCGATGTTATTTGATGTGTTATTCATGCTTTTCTCGTTTTATACAACCTCTGCAATTCTATAGAGGACTCTATGAAACAAGACAAAAATATACCCATTGAAAAGAAAACAGATGCAATCCTAACATGTCCAATGTGTTTCACCACTTTATGTTACAGCTGTCAAAGGTAAGAAAACTCAGAGATCTTTTCGCCTTCGGTGTAACTTCATTGAAAGATTCTAATATTTTCTCGCTTTAGGCATGAAAAGTTTGCAAATCAATTCAGAGCCATGTTTGTACATAATTGTCATGCAATTAAAAATGAACGATATAAATATGAAGACGAATATTATTATAAAGTTGTCTGTGATAACTGCGGTATACAAGTGGCGATGATGGAAGAAGACGAAATATATCATTTTTTTAATGTTGTGCCCACATAACGACAATAATAAAAATGCTTATTGCTACATTTGTCTGTGTATATTCTTAGTATCTATGAGCCCAGTAGGAAGCAGCTGATATAGCACTTTGCTGTTTCTCTCTCTCCAACTATGAATTGAAATTGAAGGAAAAGCATTGTAAGTAATTTAAAGCGCTAAGGCTCAGTCCAGTAGGATACGATGAAGCTTACCTCGAGTTGGATCTGTTTATGTAAAAGACATAAATAATCGACATAGCTTAATTCTTGATAAATGGCGTCCTCTACCAAAACATGGGCTAAACTCACTTCCAAGTCAACACCTTGTCGAACGATTTGAAATGATGGCAAATAGGCAGTCGCAGATATGGATTGCTGGTATAGTTTTCGTAGTAGAGCATTATAAATAGAATCAGTGTCATCATTGGATGCTACAGTAACAATACTTTGTACAGGGTCAGTAGTGCTAGGGCTGAAGAGTCCATTTACGATAGAAGCAGGTGCTTCATGACCAATCCATAGGAAAATTGTATCGTGGCTATGAATCCAATATATTCCTTTCGTATCAAAGCGATCATAAGAGAGTCTTTCCAAAGGTGGCGTCAGTAAAAAAGTTGAAAGGAATGAATCAGCCGTGCCTGCTGTAAAAGAAGGGTGCTGTTGCTGCTGCTGCTGCTGTAATTGTTCGAACCAAATGTGGAGTGGAATGCATTGAGGATAGAGCCACTGACTCGTCTCGGGTACTGATAACCCCTTCATTTTTCTCATGTTGAATAGGCGGGTATCAACATTGATCTTGGTATCTTTTCTAAGGAGTATGGATTTCTTTAAGGCTGAACATAAAAGCGGCATATTTTTAAATTGTTCCGGCAAAATCAATTGAGCAGGCGAAGCATCTGGTGCACAATATTTTCGATAGGCGGATAATATATGTATTGCTAGATTATCCAAAGCGCTTCCATTGTCGTTCAAAGATTTCTTAGCTGTAACTTGTGAAATCATACGTTTTATATGGAAGGTCATGGATACGTCCAAATCAGCTGATTTAAATATAGCATTAGCACTTGATCCGGCTTGTAAGCAAAGATTATGAACGCGTACACGACGATGACCATCCACTGTTGTGTAAAGTACAGCGCATTGGAAATAGACAGGTTGGTTGGCTGGCAATTTGCTGTCATGTTTGAGTGTAATACCAATGCAAGTGTTTTCATTTATGTTGGCGAGTTGGATATCAGTAGCGTTACTCATATAGAAATTACCATAATGCTCACCCACCGACAAACCTAAATGAAATGGATGAGTTAAACAAATTAAGTTCAACAGAATAGAGCTGCTTCATAAGCTTACCATTAGAACATCTTAATCTTAGCATTGCACTATATCCTTGTTTTCGTTGTATAGATTGAGTTAGATCATGTGTCACACGTCGAATTTGATCCTGTTGCTTGGTATTGTCGCTATTGGGGGTTAGTGGCGGCGCATAAGGATCATTGCTACTATTGCTAAAATTTGGATAAAAATGTATATCTCCGCCTGTTAATGCAGATAAGACACCTATGGTAGCCAAATCTATGTAGCTATGTTTATCAGGAGCATTTGGTGGAAAGCACCATAAATCGATGGATATGCCAGATTCAGCGTATGCTGTACCCATTTGCTTATAGAAGGTTGATTTATCTTGAGGTAGAAACAAGCTCTTTTCTCGTTCTGTACCATATAAACTAGGATCATCACGGTTTTTCAAAATGCTACTTGAAGGGCCAATGGAAGGTAAAGTAGTTTGTACGATGGACGTCTTGCCTCCTGTCGATTTCTTTAGACCGTTAGAGCCTGTTAGTAAATCAAGTATTATGTCCAACTTTTTTTTTGTTTTTCGAAGCTTACCAGAGCTGCATATGCACATTGGACAGCAGCGCCAAACGCAGCATGAGTTATCATGGTAGTTTCGTACAGAGTAGGTAGTCGTTCTAGCAAAGCTTCGATAGTAGTACTAGACGATTTATTGAGATGGGAGAGAGTATTGCATTTTAGTCATGCAATTGTTCATTTTTCACTTGTTTAGTCCTAATGTCTTACCTGGCTTCCACTGAGTCTATGAATAAATGATCAGTTGACATAGGAACATAGACATCATCCAAATCAGATACGACCATGATACTCGGTTGCTCCTGGAATTATATAGACAGAGTCGTTATGAAATAATCCTTTATACCAATTACATTATTGAACCTGATGGTGGTTTACCTTTCTTAAATCATAAAAATGAAGTGTCTTATCAAATGTCATGATAGCTATTTTAATGTTATTTTTACTGCCATCTCTTGCTGCAATTTCCTTTTGCTTTTGTATCCACTCTTTCAATATATTACAGATTGTGTGTACTATGCCCGACTGGACTGCAAATTTGGTCACATCAATTGCAACTAGCCAATGCAACGGTACAGGTTTTACTATTGATCCTTTCTCGTCACCGTTTGTTGCCCAATATTCCTTAGGTACATCAAACTCAACGGTTCCGTTGGACATAAGTTCGAATGATGGGAAGCTGACATCACCAATACTATTGCTCTTCAACTGCACGATATCTTTATTTTCGAACCCACATAAATTACAAATGAATCCTGTACTGTTAATTTGACAGAATCCATTGATGTACCCTTTACATCGTGTACATCGAATAAGCTCCTCTTTCTTCAAAACAGGTACTTCTTCTTTCATTATTGATGTTGCTTTTGCAAAAGAATAGTAAGGCTGCAAAACAATGCCGAATGGTAGTTCGGTATCTCTTATCAGATTTTCCGAGTCTGGAATACAAGGTAAGGTCGGTTGCATGATTTGTGAATGACAATTCAGTTGCTGTCGTTGATCCTCTGATAGATAATGGCCATTGTTAACGTATTCACCTGTCAAGTGGTGATGCTGATGAAAACTCCCATTGGGTTGTTGATTTTCAAGTATCGATTGGAGGCGTTCTTCGTTTTTCTTCATTTGGGACTGTATAGGTGAGGGAATAGCATTCGGATCGATACGTGGTTTGAGAATAGGCCGAGTGGGCATACCTAAAGGCGTCTTGCCGCCACTTGTTGGAAATGTTGTAGAAGAGGGCACGCTATGGTTGGTGGTAGCAGTAGGGGATGGAATCGATTTAGGGTTGTCCAAAGCTGCATAAACGCGCCTGGATCGTCCTGTTTGCTGATTACTAGCATGATGACCGTTTTTATCAAGCGTCATATTGGACATTAATTTATTAATCGGAGTGATCAAACCACTATTACTGTTTTGTGAGGTGCTTTGAGGAATTGTCTGCTCTATCGGGTTTGTTGCATATAATTGCTGTGGCAGCTGTTGAGCAGCATTGCGAGGAACAAACCCACTACTATGTGTTAATGGTTGTACGCTAGGAAGCTGTTGCTGCTGAAATACTGGCGCTGATGGCTGTGCAAACGGCTGTTGCTGCTGTTGATGTTGCTGTCGCTGTATAGGTCGAACTTTGTCATTAAAAATAGGTCTATACTGCTGCTGATTCATCATTGGAGGAGGAGGAGGTTGCTGGTGCTGCATAAGATGCGGCGGCCTGAAAGGAGGAGTTGGGCGAGCATTAATATTTTGTGGTGTATAATAATCAGGTTGTCGTGTCGCAGTGGATGAAGTGGATGATGGCAAAGACGACATTGTGCAAAAGAAAGGAACACAATTTGGTTCAGATAACCAAAAAATGAAAATTCCGACGTGCAGATTGGTTTAAAAGCGCGGGGGAGGTCATCCATTTGGCCGTTGCAAAATATTGGTGCTATACCTTCTTAGTCAAACTGGGTGCTATGAGTTGAGGAACACTTCCATTGGCTTAACGAGTTTGGAAAATTACACAAATCTTTTGGTACCCGTAAATACTCCACCATAATATTGCTGAACCAAATGGTAAATAGAAATTCGTACCCTTTTGTTGACGAAGTCCAAAGAGGAATAAACACAAATCATATATGGCGTTATGTCATTGTATATCTATATGTAGCTTTGAACATATGTTAAACAAGGACGTTAATGATGGTAGTAATTGGCTGCAGTGGAATAGTTAACGTCTGGTATTTTGAAAGTAATAATGTAGTTGAAAACAGATTAACCGAAACACTCCCTGAAATACCTTTTGTTGATTATTCTGACTGAACATCATCAATGTTTAAAGCCATTCACTGATTAATAGACTCAACCAACGATGATTGATTGTCATTCCTGTAAATCAATGATCTGTTTTTGGCTTGGGTGTTGATAAGCTATATTTGGATCATTGGCAAAAAATTGTATTCGGAGCTTATATGTAGATGACAATAGAACTCGTATGAAATTCTTATAGCACCGTTACATGTTCCGGTATACCTCCAGTGAGATACATACAGAGCGACTAGCTAATTAAGGCGCGTTCAAATCCCATAAATGACAAGTTATAGATCAACACTACCTTCTTTCCGGTACGATCTCTATTGTTGATATTGTCTACAATGATTCAAAAGGCACGAAGATGCTATAAATAGTAGTACTCAATAGTCAGTTATCTCCGGCCTTCATCGGCGACAAGCCGAGCCTTTAGCCAGACTGAATGGGATAATTGCATTTTTGAAAATTCTGGAACGAATTACGCGAAATTGTTCAAGTTCCGTGCCTTGGGATCAGAAAATTTGTTCTCCGGCTAAAATCGAATGGGTTGTTAGATCATTCCTTCTGCTATTTTGATTTGGAGAATACACGGTAATGATGCATTTAGAAATGGCAACATCCGAAGAGATAACTGGAGATTTTCAAGAATTTGTTCTTTTCAAAACAGAGATATACTGAAATGTGGTTGGCTGGTCCTCGTTTTTAACTTTCTCTTACCGGAAAAAAGATAGCTAACACATATCAAGGAAATACTATTATTCCCAAAGAACACTATAGTTTAGGCCTGCCATTTATGGACGATGCATTAGTCACTAAACCGGTCTTTCAATAAACTGATTTGTATAATCAGTGAAATCACAAAATTGCCAGTTAGTAAGTACATCGATCGCGGCGCGGTTGATTGAGGTGAAGATGCTGCTCTCTACTCGGACTATTGTTTTTAGTGTCTACTGTTTTTTGCTAACGGACTTAGTCAGAATTACATGATATACCCTCTCAAATAAACTTGATGTCTATTTTATAATCAAGCTTATCCTAGCCAAAATACCTAAAAAAAAGAGCCATTGTTTGCTGAGCATGTTCTCATTTTATCAACAGTATTGAACGTTTTCAGAATATATTCGATATGCAAACATCAAGGATCGCCAGCAATAACCCTCATGAAGGAGTATTCTATAATCGATGAGTAAATTGAAGTCAAAATTCCATGTTTGAGAATCATCAAAGGGTCGCATTTTACCCTTAATGTGTGCTAGAAACCCTTTAATTATCGTTTACTAAGTCAAATGACAAAAGAAAGGCGGAGGTTGCTTGCTAACCGTTACATTTTTGCCCTGATTACTGCCTTTACTTGAAAGCCTCTGCTTCTTTATTCCATTTTTCTTCAATTGTTACACAGTTTGATATTGATCAAAATATTCAGTATCAAACATTTGTACTTAGTACGGATCAAAGTACAACGGAGGTTCTCGATGATTCTGTGCTGACTCTAGGTATTACTATTTTTCCATTTCTACTCAAGTGATTGGCCTTCATTCCGATGTTTCAAATGACTACTGCAAAATTCACGGAGAATGAGGAATCCATCAGCTTCATTTGCTTTGAAAGCGGAGATCACTAAAACATATAAAAATTCAATATTATTTTTTTTGATTTAATGCAAACACAATCCTTTTCATCAATTTAAAGTTATCCTACTCTTTAACAAATAATAATGATCTTTACTTCTCATCAACCTAATAAGCCTATACCTGAATCAGCCAGTCTTTTTCACTTCTTATTTGAAGACAACGACAAGAAATTTCCTAGAAATAAGCTTGCATATCTCGATATTGAAAATCCTAGCAAAAGATACACTTTTGAACAAACTAAATCTCAAATCCTCAAGGCCGCCGCTGGTCTCAAACGTGAATTCGGTTTCGAAAAGGATGATGTAGTTGCTATCTGTTCGCCTAACATGGTTGACTATCCTATCATACTTCATGGTGCAGTTGTTGCAGGTAATATTTCGATGATGCTTTTCAGAATTTTAAAGTGACGCGAGTGCCGGTTTTAAAGGGAATTATTGATCTAACGTTAAAATCGAAAATCTATAGGAGGCGCTTGTGCGACTATTGACCGCGAAGCTGATGCCAAGCTTATCGCCCACGATTTGGATGTTTGCCAAGCTAAGGTTGTTATTACACACAGTGATACCCATGCTAAGGTACTTGAGGCCTGTAAGTTAGTTAACTTTCCCAAATCCAACGTTCTCGTCTTCGACGAATCTTCCGTGGATGGCCTTCGTACTGTTGGTGAGACCATTTTGAGCAAGGAGGAGTATGCTGAACCTGTGAAGTTTACTCATGATGAGCTTGTCAATAATCCCGCCTTCCTTTACTATACCTCTGGTACCACTGGTGATAAAAAGGCTGTCATTATCACGCAACACATCATCATGGCCAACCTGACAATCCAGGAAGACTTGCCTTTCAACGATCGTATTAATATCCTAGCTTACACCGAATTCCACCACGCCAGTTCATTTGTGACATCAATGCAACTATCTTTATTGTACGGTATGTCCGTCTTTGTCATGCCTCACTACGAACTTCGCAAATTCTGTGAAGCAATTGAGAAATATAAAATCAGCATGACCAACACTCAGCCCTACATCATTGCCGCTTTGACTAAAGAACAAGTTTGTCAGGAATACGATCTTTCATCACTCAAATCCGTCATTTGTTGTGGTGCCGCTCTTGATAGCTCTGTTACTCTTGCTGCTCGGGAAAAGATGGGTCTCAAGGTTCTTGACATTTATGGTATGACTGAAGTTCTTTGCGCTTTTGAAACAAATGACGAGCTTACATTGAAGCACAGTATCGGTCATGTTGCTTCCAATTTTCAAATCAAGTTGATTGATGATGATGGCAATGAAGTTCCTGCCACTGGTGGTATGGGTGAGCTTTTGATTAAGGGTCCCACTGTCACTAGAGGTTATTACAGAAACCCTGAAGCTACAGCCAAGGCTATAGACAAGGATGGATGGCTTCACACTGGTGATTTGGTCAAGGTAGATAAGGATGGTTACTTCTACTATGTCGATCGTGCCAAGGATATGATCAAATACTACCTTGTCCAGATTTATCCCAGTGATATTGAAGGAATTCTGATAACCCATCCTAAGGTTGCTGATTGTGCTGTTATCGGTATCTATCAAAAGGAATTGACTACTGAATATGTCACTGCCTTTGTTACATTGGTGGAAGGCGAAAAACCTTCTAGAGAACTCGAAGAAGAACTCAGGGAATACTGTGATTCTCGTCTTGAAGATGAAAAGCGCATCCGTGGTGGAGTCCATATTATCCCTGAGTTCCCTCGTACTGCTTCTGGTAAAATCCAAAGACGCGTCCTCAAGGAAAAGGCTACCAACGGTGAATTATAAACTTTCTGATATCTTTTACTTTATTTATTACATTCTACTATCGAATCATTTAGACTTCATATCTTTTTTCATAAACCCATCTTTTTGCATGTCTCATCCTCTTCACTCTGCTTAAACTTTTTTTTTTATTCATGAATAAAATCACTTGTTCTGTTTATACAATGTTTTTCTTTTGGGGGTCAGTAGGAAATCGGAGAGCTGCAAAGGAAGAAATGTAGACGTACTCAAGCCCGTGAATTTCAAGGAGAGTTTGCCACTCGGACTCACAATTGTAGGTGAATGGGACTTAAAACAATTCATGCTTATGTTTTTATGGTTCTTTTATTGAAAAAATTATTGTATTGCACTAGCCATTCATTTTCGTGTTGTAAAATTCATGAAAGACAAAGAAGTGCGTTAGTTATTTGGCACAATAAAAGGAGATTTGAGCGCTTCGTCAGAGAATCCTGAGCCAGGAGGAATGTCAGGAAATAAAGTTGTGAGAAGTGTAGGCAAAATTCTGTTGGTGTTGTTCGGATCTCCTAACATATAATCATAGCCCCAGTTTGTCAGGTTGGCTGGTATAAATTCTTTCATAATGAAGCGGTCTACAAAAAACATTCAATAAAAATACTTTAGTCACCAATTTTAGAGAGTCTCGCAAAGTAAATAGACATACCATTCTTAAGAAGGTTGACTGCATCAGATAGAATGCCTCTATTCATTGTATAAGGGAAACGGATGCCAAGGGGCTTTGGTTGTTCTATCAGCAAGCCAGGGAAAAGCTCAACGTTCTCTGGTGTTCCATACAATTCTTGCAGGCCCTTTTGTACTTCAATATCCTCTGAGAAATCCTCAAAAGTTTGTAAAGGCATCAAATTGAAATGCCTACGGAAATCGTTGAAGGTACAAATGTTTAAAGCTCGTGCTTGATTTATGCCCGCAATTTCAACATGTTCCAAAGCAGCAGGTGTATTTCGACCATTACTAATGTAAATACAATATTCAATTATCCACAGTTCTGAACTTTGAGAATGGCAATCATTCAATTGTCTTTATTATACTCACCCCAGCTCCGATGCATTCTGAGAATAGCCATCCTTCAAAAACTGTACAAGGTCACGGTCCGGAAAGGTACCGTCCTCAGACCGATGGGTTCCAGCAATTGGAAATCCCCTTTCGAGCTCTTCTGGAGTAGCGTGGACAAAGTGTTCACAGAATTTTTCATATAAGCGATCTTGAAAAGAGCTGTTTGATTTAGCTGCCTTTTCTGTTTCTGGTCTCTTTTCTTCTTCTTTTTTCCTATGTAATAGATGGTGGTGATCATTCTTCTCTCTTATGGCTAATGATGCAGCGTCAGCGTCATGAATTTCAGTAGCCGTATTACTATCCCCCATCAACACTTCAAATACCGTGGTCATCCATTTTGTGTCCTTTTCACCCAAAGCCGCATGCCAACGGTAGATAATGTTAAATTCATATGATACGGAATTACCATAAATTGGATCAAAAGGCGCGTCTTTAGGATCAAACAGTACAAAATCGGCATAAGCATCAGCACCACTTATACTACGAACATACTCATGGATGACAATATTCAGATAGCATGCGTTGTTGACCAAACGTGCAGTTTGAAACAAGTGCTCATCTTGTTCTTCTTGATTCCTCAAAGCTTTGCCGATTCCGTAAGAGAACCTTTCATTCTCGTTGATTTCGAGTAATTTTTTAGCGATATGGTTGTGGTTGCGAGAAAACATTACCATCAGTGCACAAACGCCTGTTTCATTCAAGTCAATATATCAGAGAAACAGGGTCTCAATTTCATTGGCTTTTTTTTTAAAAAAAAAAACTTACCTGGAATCTGCAAAACCAATCGTTTGTCTGCCCATTGATCAGGCTTCAACAAACCACATTTCATCTGGCGTACAGCTTCTTGTTCTGAACGGTTATTACCATATAGAGACGACCTGTAACAAGTGGGTAATGCATTGAAGTGAGAAAGTGAAAGTGAAAAATAAACAAAGGTATATGTATATATCATTTACAAATCAATGTAGCTCGTTGTCAGATTTCTAGCAGGATTCTGGGGATCGCTATGAAAGAGGTCATGAGTAATCAAAATAGCGATATAAAACAAGAGCATGTTGATTCCATTCTTGTTTTTGGAGAATTTCCCATCGGGACGTCTTAATAGTTTGTCAAAAACGTCCTTGGCTGAGGGAAGCGGATCCATGTTTCTCTTGCTTGTATTTGCCACTGTTCTGGAATAGTAGCTACCTGCCTTTCCCTATTTAAAGAACAACGTATTATGTTAAGGAGCTGTATATGCCCTCATTATATTTCTCAGCCCCCCAACCCCACTCTTTATTATGTGCTTAATTGTCATATACATACTACATCAGGTATTAAAAGGCTGTTGCCACTTCCGTCAGCACTGCGAAATTGTTGACCCATATAGCTAATGAATGGCTTGCGTATATCATTCTTCATGAAGTTTTCAGATAAACAGTAAATTGTTAAGTTTGATTGCTTTCATAATTTGTTCGATCACGTAAACGTACATAATACCCTTCCATCAGAGGCGCAATGAACGATTTGACAAATGTTTTGTATTCTGGTCCCAAATGGCATAAAATACTGACTACAGTCTCAAATGTATTGTTCCGGTCGTTGACTGGCATATTTTTACTCAAAAGACTACAAAGATGATACGAAAAACAAAATGTTTCTTGTTACGTCTGCCTGATGTATGTCACCTTATTGCTGTATTGACTCACGCTTCCGTAAGGCTACTAATCAGTAGCAGCTTGTCATTCAAGGGCAGTTTTAGAGCACTTTTCAAAACCTCCTCATTGGTGGGGGTCAAATGCAGTAAAGCCTTGGCATTTTCAACAATGGCGGTCAAGGTCCACTTTAAGCCAACTGGTGCGCTACTTTGACCTGGTTCCACCTTATGTGATATGTTTTCCAGAATAGTCATCGAGCCCTCATTCATACTCTCCGTTAACTTTTTGAGATTACTAAACAAAACCTCGTGGTTTGGTTCACTTTTAACGAGTCGATGGTAGATTTCGGTATATGACGGATGTTGCGGTTTCAAGGCCTAATTTGTCCAAATTATCATATTTTATTATAAATAATTGTACCTTGCAATGAAAAAGTCCCTGCCTGAATGACTGATTCAATCCTTTTATATTGGCTTTGTATTAAATATATTTAGTACCATTTGTATGTTGTGCAAAGCTTCAAGTCGATAAGAAACTAAACTTGATGGTAAAGTGAATGAAAAGAGCCTGCACAAGAAAGTTGCGTTTCAGCAACTATAAATATTTCATGCAGAATACTTTTTGAAAGGATGCGAGTTAGATGTGGTCAGCGTGCATGCATAATACGACATATTACTCAAAGCAAATAATCAAGTATACGTCCGAATTCACGCAGGAAGGCCTTTAATATGTTGGAATATGCAAGGCAGGCAAATAATCAGAAAACGTAAAGTTCTCTGCAAATCAGTTTGTTTTTACAAAACAGATAAAAAGAATCGCTAACGCCAGGCAGAGCATCACTTCTAGAATTGTCATTTTACGCTTCTCACATACGCATCCAACCTTCTTTTTCTATTTCCTTTCTTTTTTTTGGGGGGGTTGGGTGGCGGAGCGGGGCTTTGCAATGTTCATTGTAATATTTTTGACTTTTGCAGTATGACTAGGTTCAATCGTTTCAATTTGTATCGACGTTCAATGGATATTTTCTACTCGATAATGCAAGTTATATTTACTCAATGCATGTTTGCTAACTGATATGCTCGGAGCGCTCATTTTGAGAAGAGCTGGCGCAATAAACAGAATATTTGGTACCTGTGTAACGTTGCGAACAGACATGAATATATCTATTGTCCACCACTTGTGTTGTCAAAGAATGTCCGAAAATAAATTAAGGTGCAATGTTGGCAACGACATTAACTCAGAGTTACTTTTTTCTTGTACGCAATTGCAATAAAAAATCAATATGATTTTCGAGTCAAAGATGCCTAAACGCATCTTTCCAGACATCACGCTGTATCAACTGTTATTCGAGCAAAACAAGAAATTCATACCGTCCAATGCATGCTATATAGATGCCGAAGATCATACGCAACAGCTTACATTCGCAGAAGTACAAGATATTATCCTCAAGTTTGGTGCAGGCATAAAGCTTCAATTTGAGGATTTTAAGCAGGGTGATGTCGTAGCATTTTATGCTGGAAACTGCGTAAGTACAGATTGTCTCGTTGCATACCGAAATCACAAATCAAATTGACTATTCAATTTACCAAAAATAGTTGACTTATGCAGCTGCAATTCATGGTCCTGTGGTTATTGGTAACTCTCTTTGTATATTACATTCAGTGAATTTAAAAACTGATATGAAACAAACTTTATGGATGCATCAGGTGGAGTTTCTACCACTATTGATGCTTCTTCTGATGCAGTATCAGCTTCAATTGCTCTCAAAACGGTCAATGCCAAAATTCTTATTACCGACTCGTCACATCTAAACAAAGCCAGAAAAGCAGCCAAGCTTGCCAATCTATCTGAGCAGAATATTTTTCTCTTTGACGAAGGAAACGAAATTCATCAACTAAAGGACGACCTATCTGAATACCAGACATTTACCAATGCCTTTTTGAAGCATAATGATTTTGCCACACCCGTTACCTATTCCTCGAATAAATTAGCAACAGTACCCTGCTTTTATTGCTTTACCTCAGGCACCACAGGAAAAAAGAAAGCTGTGACTATAACGTAAGCAGAAAGGTTTTTATTCAAGTCCATGCTTGACTACCATGGTCATGGAGCTCACTTGAATAATTGATATAGACATAAATCGTTGACCAGTGCTCTGCAGCTCAAGGACGATTGGCTTCCTCCCACACTTTCTATGCTACTTCATACAGACTTTCATCACGTCAGCTCTCTGTTAATCACTTTCCACATGAATGTATATCATGGCTGCACTTCGTATATTTTGAAAGAATATACATTTGAGAAACTCTTACGCGGCATTCAAACATGCAAGGCGAATGTAATCAGTACACAACCTTGGATCGTAGCGGCTATGGTAAAAGAATTTGAGAATATAGTAGAAAAAAAAGGGTATGACCTCTCAAGCCTGATGTTGGTCGTCTGTGGTGGAGCATTCATCGACAAGACGGCCTGCATGTCTTTTTATCAAAAGTATAAAGCGCCTCTTGTGAATGCTTATGGTATGACAGAGATTCTAAATTTTTTAGAGTCGAGTTTTCCTGGCACCCTCAAAGGTAAAGTATAGCTATCCAAGAAGGAAAGAAGACTGTTTATCCACATAAAATGTCCATGTTCATTAGGAGAAATGGGCTGTCTCTCCACTGGTTTTTCCTGCAAGTTATTAGACCAAAACGGCAAAGGTAATAAGAAAGCCATTTCCATGAACAAAAGCATATCTATGTCCGCACGGCTAATATCCTTATGAATTAGAGGTCGGTTATAACACTGCTGGCGAGCTTTGTGTAAAGGGGCCTACACTGACTCCAGTAGGTTTATCAGGTGTTTATTCATGTTACATAAGTATTGATAATACTCATCACATTGTCCTGTGTTATTGTATTACTAGGGCTACTATGATAACGATGAATTGAACGCAGCTTCCTTTGATAAAGACGGATTCTTTCATACAGGTGATTTGTTCAAGGTCAACGAGGACGGCGTTTTATTCTTTATTGACCGCTTGAAAGACATCATTAAACACAAAGTCCATCATATAGCACCACAAGACATTGAAAGTGTATTGATGCAGTATCCTCTTGTTACAGACTGCGCAGCTGTAGGTGTATACTCTGATGAAGAAACATGCTGGTTACCTCGCGCTTTTGTGCTACTTTCATCAGCTACGGAAAAAAAGGATCTCGATACGATCAAGCAAGAACTTTTAAACCTTGTGAAGGAAAAGCTCCCTCCTCAAAGTCAACTCTACGGAGGGCTCTACCTCTGTAGGGACTTGCCTCGAACATCCACCGGGAAAATTGAACGCCGTACACTTCGATTGAGCGACCGAATGGATCAATGGTTGTTTTGAGAGAAAAAACCGGCTCCCTCATCTAGAAAATAATAAATGCTAATTCAGACACTATTTATGACTTGTCCCCTCATTGAAAAGTTGCGAGAAAATTGTAATTGTTGCCGGTAACGCATATGCATCACCTTTACTGGCGTTAAAAATTGTCATTGAGCACCAACTATGCTTTCGGACTAACAGTGCTGATCTTTTCTCAGCTCATTACACGTTATTCAGCAATCGTATATGACTATTTGCATAGGCATAGTGGCTATCGTCCTTGCATGTAGGATTTTAGGTACAGTAAGCTATAGGGGAAAGCATACCGCGTGATACCAACTTTTATTTCTTACAACAAAAATTTTTGCATGTTTTGTGTAGCCAAGTCGTTAGCAATATGAGTTGAGGATAATCTATACATCACTCTATACATCATGCCTATACATTGTTATGCATCTTTCGATAATTTTTGTTCACTTTAAGGGTCTTATCATCTCTCTCAAAGTCAAAATATTATTTTTGTTCATACTCATAGAAGTGGAAGTTTGCTTCATACGTGTGGACAGTAATAAGGCTGTGGTGTATCATGCTGATCATTCAAGATCATTTTGTTTCTATTCAATCTTACACACCAGAATCGTCAGCCAATTTGTTTCGCTGTAAACCCCCTTGAACGAGCACTATCGGAAATGAAAAATGATAGCAACATAAAGGTTCGGTAGAAGAAACGAGGAGGTAAGGCAAATGACTTGGAAATATTCCAGGCACAAAAATACAATGGACTGGGCAATAGCCATGTCATCCTCCATTTTACCATGAGAAACAAACAGTAAAGATATTGTTTTTAGATCAAAGAGAACAAAGATATAGAATTGTCCGAATCCTACGAACGGATTTCAAGCATAAAGAAACCTAAAGAGGTAGTATTCAGGTCTATTCACTCATGAAATGACGACAGCAATGTTGAAAAGTATGTATAGATACTATGGAATATAAAGGGAATGGAGATAATGATACAAAAGACGCTTGACGTTTTTTTATTAATCTTCAATTTCAGGAGGATATCCGTCATCAACTAATATGCAAATGAAAGTGATAATGATGTTAGCGTAAAATACGTTATTATGCTAACGAAATACTCCTATGAGAAACAATAACTTACTCTTTCGTCTGAATAATGTTATTTCTTGCTGCTTGAAATAGCGTCGATTTTCTTCGTCAATCAGCACTAAATTCAAAAAGTACCTGGTGGAGAACTTTTTATTGACATCTAACAGCAGCAGTAGGATTAGATATCACACTCACTCTACACTGCTTTCAAAAAAAGATGGCACAAACCTCTGAAGGTAGGTGTTAGTTCGAAGCCACCGAGGAATAAACGGATAGGAATGGTTTCGCCTATAAAATGTTGGTTGAGTATGCTTTGTGTCCCCTCATTTCAGCTCTAAGTGATAAATACCTCTGACAGGTGCGCCATCCATAATCTCGAATTTTGTAATCGTTTCGCTTTCATTGTATACGTTGGGTACTAACAAACAAGTGGGGATCATATCAATCCACTAAGCTCGCTTTATCCTTCCTATCATTTTTTTACGATCAAATCACTTACGGGCGCCTGTTGTTTCACGTCTGAGGATGGACAATTCCATCGTTTTGATTTTTATACGAACCAATAAAAAGTAAATTTTGCCCACAATGACATCTTTCAAATGATATCTAGTGAATAACGATGTTAGTACTGCTTCAAGACCCATGCCTTTCAAGCCACCCCTTCTACTTACTTTGATTTGTTATACTCAAATTCGATATGTAAGCAGTCTTCAATACCCACTTCCATCTTTATGGAATTGTTGATCTCAACTGGCATCCTGTAAGAGTTGACCCAGATATCTCTTTCACAAATCACATCTGCTAAACGACGAGCAATAGTAACACGAATAAAGTATCTATACCGATGGGGGGACAGTGTTTCAATTACAAATAGACTTCTATGGCACTACTCGTTCTGATGATTTACCTAAGCTTGACATTGATACCATTATAACATTCATACTGTTTTTCTACATTTTTAAATTCAAATTCGAAAGCAGCGTTTTGTCGCAATTCTCCAGGTGCAGCTAATTCTTGCGATAATGTCAAGAATTCGTGTGATTTGCCTTTATCATAATACAACTCTATGACATGAACACGACGGGTAAAGAGAAAGGGGAGTTTAGCCTCACCCTGCTGAAGGCTTTCCTATCTATCTGTCATTCATACCTATGCTGCCTACAAACTCCACTTTGATACCGTTATGCTCCAGCTTTTTGCCATCTCTTAAATTCACATTCACCTGTTTCCACAAGTCCCATGAGTGAGTGGGGGGGTGTATTTGTAAAAGAATGTATGTTTCCTCTGTTGTCGACACTTACTTTTCCAGTGACAGACTCGCCGTCAAGGAAAACAGGATATGTTTCCTTTCTATTCTTGTCTACTTTGACATCAATATGTTTTCTTGCGTCTTCATTGGTGAAAGCAACTTCTATTTCAACGGGTGTAGATAACCCGAATAAACTCTAGAGGAGAAAAAATAGTTCAGCTTTTGGTTGGTTTTCAGCGTAGGCCTAATGGAGTGGTACTTTACAGCCATGGACATTGTTTCTCCTGCTGCTGATGGATTGAAAATGGAAAGAAGACACAAAAAGGACACACAACTTGCTTGAGATTTTTTGGCTGCTGCTGCTGCTGCTACTGCTGCTGCTGCTGCTGCTGCTGCTGTCTTTTTTGTCATGCATTTCACTCCCCGCATTTCACTGGTGAGTCGTTTGCGTTTTTCGTGTGTGTAGGGTACTTTATTCATTTTCTGTAGAGCGTCAACGGAGAAAGTCATCCTGTCTCGTCAATGACTTGATTCTGTGGCACTACTTGAAGCTGCTGTCTTTTTGATGAATAGCTTTCCTTACGTTTGTCATTAGCTGCATGGAAAGAGGAAACGGCGTTTGCATGCTCCGTTTTTTTACGGGCATTGAAAGGGCATCACAGGGACAGACAGCCTAAATAAGGAAATCAAAAATTTTCATCTTTTTTTTTTTTTTGTTTTCACTCTTTTTGTCATTGTCAACCGCATCCATAGATCATGGAACGATCATTACCCAATATTCTTGTCACTGGTACACCAGGTACTGGTAAAACAACCACCAGTGAAATGATTGCCGAAGCAACTGGTTTAAAACATGTCAATGTGGGAGAACTTGTGAAAACGCAACAACTTCACGAAGGATATCTTGAAGAATTCGATACACATATCCTTGATGAAGATAAGGTAAAAGTCTCAGTGGCAACAGGTTCAGAACGCACATCATTTGACACCCTGTTATAGCTATTAGATGAAATGGAAGACATGATGAAAGAAGGAGGAAAAGTAGTCGACTTTCATACATGCGAAATCTTTCCCGAAAGGTGGTTTGATCTCGTCCTTGTGCTTCGCTCGGATACAGCCAACTTGTATGACCGTATGGTGAAAAGGTAGGTGATCTATAGATCTATAGAATAGAGTAGCGTTCTCTTGTCATGGTCCATTCCAACTGATTCGATATGGTAGAGGCTACAATAAGCGAAAAATAGATGAAAATATGGAATGTGAAATCATGCAAGTTGTATTAGAAACAGCACATGAATCCTATGCGCCAGAGATTGTGGTTGAATTACAAAGCAATACAGTGGATGATATGGAAAGTAATGTAGAACGAGTACAGATGTGGTTGGATGCATGGAAAAAGAACAATGTGTAAATAGATTTTTTCCGTGGATAACGTTGTATATATTATATTCATCAGTAAAAAAAGAAGACGAGGGTCGATGGTGGAGGCATCATCATGATGGGCCATTTTTTATTTTATTTTTTATTTCAAAATATGTAGAATGGAGAGCAAAAGAGTGAGGATGCATTTTTTGAAAGGAAAGGAGTCGTTGATGGGAAAGGTGCACAAGAAGCATAATGAGGGATATATTATATGTATAAATAAGTGTAGTAAAGGTGATGGAGTGGAAATGGACATTTATAAATTTTCTTTTTTTTTTTTTTCAAGAGCAATAAATAATGGGGGGGGGAAAAAAGAGCCTTAGTCTTTTTTCTGTTGATTTCGTGCGGCAACGTGAGGATGAAGTAGGAATTCGTGCAAGGGTTTGCCACCGGGAACCATAGGGAAGAGCACTTCCTTCTTACAGACGACAGCATCCATGAGAACAGGGCCTTCATTGTATTCTAAGAATTCCTTCATCTTGGATTCGACTTCAGAGGCTTTTGTCACACGAATGGCTTTCACACCCATGGCTTCAGCCAACTTTACAAAATCAGGATTGGTCATGATGGTGCCTGAATATCTGTTTTTGTAAAAGAGGTCTTGCCATTGTTTCACCATGCCCTGGAAAGAGTTGTTGAGGAGAAGGACTTTGACACCAATGTTGAATTCAGCTGCGGTGGCCAATTCCATCGCTGTCATGGAGAAAGAAGCATCCCCGTCAATATCGATGACGATTTCATCTTTGGCGGGTTTCGCTACTTTAGCACCAATGGCAGCGGGCAGACCGTAACCCATGGTGCCGAGACCGCCGGACGTGATCAAAGAGCGTGGTTGCGTCCAACGATACATTTGGGCTGTCCACATTTGATGTTGTCCTACTCCCGTGGTAATGGTGACTTTCTCTTTCTTGTCTCGGGTCTGCTTGTCTAATTCTTCGATCAATTGTTGCGGTTTGAGGGTTTCGTCATCGGAGACCGTCTTGTCGTAGTAGAAAGGGTACGCTTCTTTCCAAGCTTGGATTTGGTCTAACCACGCTTCTCGACGTTGGGGCTTGATATGAGGGAGGATCTTTTTCAAATTTTCTGTCACGTCGCCTTCAATGGCCTCGGTCGCTTGTACCACTTTGTTGATGTTCTTGGGCATGATTTCAAAGTGAAGAATGCCGCCGCGGTTTTCTTTCGCCGCCTTGAAAGCTTCGGGTGCAAAATGAGCGATATCACCTGTGACACGATCATCGAAGCGAGCGCCCAGGGCAAGGATTAAATCGGCATTTTGCATCGCCAAGTTTGCATAACAAGAACCGTGCATACCGAGCATATGCAGGGCTTTCGGGTCCAATTCATCGTAGGTGCCGAGACCATGCAGTGTGGTGGTGACGGGAATGTTGGCGCGATGCGATAATTCTCTCATTAACTCTGGACCGTCGGGATGGCCCAGCACACCATGACCCGCATAGATGACGGGACGTTTGGCTTTGTTGATGAGTTCAATGGCACGGGTGATGACAGGATGAGGTTTGGATCGTGCTTGTTCGACAAAAGCACCCACGGCTGTATTCGGGATGATAGGGGTGGAGGGTCGGGAAGGAATCATGGCATGGGTAGGGATGGGCTTTCTGAGGATACCGGCCGTGATGTCTTTGGGAAGATCGACAAGGACAGGGCCAGGACGACCACTGGTGGCAATCGTGAAAGCTTCGTTGATACGGCGCGGAAGTTCAGCAATGTCTTTGACCATCACATTCCATTTTGAACAGCTACGAGTAATACCGACCACATCAGCTAGGATCAGGGAGAGAGAGAGAGAGAGAAAAAAAAAAAAGATAGAGTTTAGCACATCAACATGTTGAAACTCTAATGGGTATGAGTAGGGGGGGGGGTTCTTACCTTCTTGGAAAGCATCGGTACCAATGGCGCCCGTGATGACTTGACCGGAAAAGACAACCAAGGGAATACCATCCGCCAAGGCATCCGCCATGGCTGTTACTACATTGGTGGCGCCAGGACCGGATGTAACGAGAACAACACCAGGTTTACCTCTATCCCATTAGCATAGTAAAGTTAGACCTCCCCCCTTACATCTTTTTTTTTTTTTTTTTAACAGAAAAAAATTCTGTAAGCTCCCTTACGTTGCTTTAGCATAACCTTCTGCCATATGCCCAGCACCTTGTTCATGTCTTGGAAGAATAAAATCAAAATATTTTGACTCATAGATGGCATCAAACACAGGCAAGATAGCACCACCAGGGTAGCCAAAGATATGTTTTACGTTGTGTCTCAACATCATTTCATGAAATATTTCTCCACCCGACATACCAACAAAGGAGTCATCCATTTCTTGTTGTTGTTGTTGGTAGTAAGGCTTTTTAGAGACGAGGGGATGAAGAGGACGAGCCGTCCTTTCGGTGGTTGTCACACTAGCCACACGATCTGATTGAGGAATGGATTGTCTGATAAGAGAATGGGATCATATTAGTCTACATCATGGGATCAGAGTGTAGGTCAATGGAAAGAAACAAAAAACATACGGTAATGCTGCAGCATTCTTTGACTTTTGTGTGATATGAATACGTCGTGCGCCACAGCAGCCGACCATGGCTTTACTGTGTTGAAAGAAAGCGTTTCGTGACGCTTTTATAAGATGGTGTGTTGCTGTCGCTTTCGAAGTGATAAACATTTTGTATTTCTGATCCAAGTGAAAAGAAGCAAAGAATGAAAAGAAAAAAAGGTGTAGAAAAGTAAAACTGAAAAAAGAAGACTAGATAACTCTACTTTTGGTTTTTTTTTTTGTAAAACACAATAATTTATATATGGAAACAATCCAGATCAAAGATAATGAAAAAAAAAAAAAGAGAGAACAGAGAGAAAGGATCTAGAAGTCCTTTTTCATAGCGCGGCTGAAGAACCTATTGTCTATGTAGGCTGCATTTCTTTTTTAATTTTTTTTTTTTTTTGTATAGATAAAAGGAGCGAATCACAGTTTGACCGGCGATTGAAATAGAATGACTCAATCAAATGAAAAACAGCTTTCTGTATCTCTCATTTTGCAGTAATGACTTGCTTTCATGAAGGAAAACAACTTGACCAAATAGGAATCGTTCAGTAGAATAATCACCCATGTCTTTGGACTGTTTACGGTCCAGAAAGCGTGTGTTTCAAAAGCATGGCCAAGTTGCTAATACCGGTTCCTTAAGCCTAGAGTTGCCCAATTTTCTAAACAAACATAAAGGCAGAACAAGGGGTTAATTGTGAGTCAGCCCAATGAAAATGCTCTTTTATGTCGAGTTGGCAGTTTTTGTGTCTGTCATGCAACAAAAGACGATCCCCGATTTTCATTGGTGAATAATCAATATGATTCGCGAATTTATATTTTTTTATTGATTTTGATCAAAAAAAGTGAATTTCTAAATGTGGGGTAAGCTGACTTTGATTTTCTGTATGATGGGTTACCAATGTGCAAAAAAAGACCATGCTTCAATAAGAAATTTTCAATACAGTATTTTACCTTATATTTTAGACGATTTACAATTTTTAATGGACAATATACATTTTAATTTTAGATTTATTAAAAAATATTTTTAGAAAAGTCCATAATATTTTGGATTTGGATACTCAATTATTCAGTGATATTCAAGCAGCATTAAGGATGACATACAATCGAACCCTAGAAATTAGTCTCTATCAGTAAGAAAGTCGCCAATAATGGTTTTATTGATGTTATCTTGCAATAGGACAAACTACAAAAAGCTTGACAACTTTTTTACTAAATGACGATGTGTTCCGAGACCAACAAGATATTCGTTGGTGCCTTTTTGGACAAGAATTCCAAAAAAAGTTAACTTTGAATTGATTGACATCAAACCATTGATAGAGGGCTGATGGTCATAGTATAACAGATACCATAGCGGAATGGGATGGTTATATTAACTGTTGTCAATGTTTTTGTATGCGTTCATGGGTGACTTTCAAAGATAAGCACTATAAAATATATTGCTCTCTTAGAGTCAAATGTTGTCTCTTTCACTTTTATTTCACGTTTTTAAGATACATACTATGACCCATGTTCAAAACAATAATTTATGAAAAGAAAAAGCAAATCTTTGGAAAAGATGTAGTAAAATTGAAAGGGCAAAGATGTGGTGTTGTCGGTAAACTTTTTGCAACTCTGAAGAAACGTGAAGCTGAAGGTCAATTGATTGTTGTCACAATCGATGAATTCAAAACCTCTAAAACATGCAGCCTCTGTTTCTATGATGATATGCAAATTGTTGATACTCCTGGATTCAAGGGTACCGGCGTTCTTCACTGCAAGCAATGTCTAAAGCTATGGCAGAGAGACATTAACGCTGCTATTAACATGATGACTATATCTCAAGCAGTTTGGTCCGGAGCTGGAAGACCCGACATTTTCAAGCCAGCGAAGAAGAAGAAATAATCGCCGTAATAAACACGGTTTTCCTTGTATTTCAAGGATTTAGATCATTACAGGTGAGGAATAGTACGGTTTTTTTTTCTTTTTTTTTTTTTTTGTTTCGCACTGCTAACAAGTTTTTGGAATTTGAATCATTGTTTAAACGGTTTATATTTTGGTCTACAACACAATTGCAACTCATCTAAAATGAAAATATTAATCGTCCAAAAAAAAATGTATTTCATCTAAAATATTAGTTAAAATACTGTAAAAAGCAAACCACGTCTTTACCCATCCCTAATGACTGATACGTAGTCATGTTTTTATTCCTTTTTTTTTTTTTTTTTGCATTGTCCAATTCTGCCGTGCCATTCTATGGAAAAAGGGCCATTTTTTCATATATATCAAGCCAACTAGGTGGCTTTACTGAATCACCCGAATTATTTTCAAATTGTCACGACCTGAAAATATAAAACGGTAAAAAAGTAGGTTTATGCCCCTCATCCAGCTGAGCCAATGAAATGTCAAGTTGAGTCATGTATCACACTTTACACATGTCTGAGCTTATTGGTAGAATTCAGTGTTTTTATGCTTTCAGTAATCGACTTTGTTACTGCTACTTTTTTGACTTGAGACCAAGATCTTGGACTTTCCCTTAGAATAATCCTTACTCGGCTTATCAATTTATTGGAGAGATGAGTTTATCTTGTGCGCGCACGGAATTTCGATATAAAATAAAAATACGACTTTTTTATAACTGTTTTATTTGGTTTTTTTTTTTTTTTATTTCTTCCCCTTTTTTTCTAAACATTATCCATCATGTCTTCACGTATCTTTACTACTGCTCTTCGTAGAGCTGCTAGCTCTTCTACTGCTGCTCGTCTCAGTGTCATGACTGCTGTCAGACCTGCCTTTAGATCCACTGTCATGAAAGCGACTACCGTAAGTCAATCTTATCTTTTTTGTGAAATGAATTGGAAGGGGCCGGACATAAAATGGAAAAAAAAAAAAAAGACGATAACATCTTAACACTCTATTTTTTTTTTCCAAATGCTAGATTGCTCCTACTGTTCAATCTCGTGGTTTGAAAACACTCGACTTTGGCGGTACCAAAGAAACTGTCTATGAACGTTCTGATGTCCCCAAAGAAAAGCTTCTCGAAACCTTCAAAGACGATACCATTGCTGTTCTTGGTTACGGTCCTCAAGGTCGTGGTCAAGCTTTGAACTTGAGAGATAACGGTGTCAATGTCATTATCGGTCAACGTGAAGGTAAAACTTTCCAACAAGCCATTGATGAAGGTTGGGTTCCCGGTAAGAACTTGTTCCCTGTGTTGGAAGCAACTGAAAAGGGTACGGTCGTCATGAACTTGTTGTCCGACGCTTATCAAAAGGAGATCTGGCCTCAAATGAAGCCTCTCATCACTCCCGGCAAGACCCTCTACTTCTCGCACGGTTTCTCTATCGTTTACAAAGATCAAACCAACATTGAAGCCCCTGAAGGCGTTGACGTTGTTTTGGTGGCACCCAAGGGTTCTGGTTTCACCGTCCGTCGCTTGTTCCAAGAAGGCCGTGGTATCAACTCCTCCTTTGCTGTGTACCAAGATGCCAGTGGCAAGGCCAAAGATCGTACCATCGCTTTAGGTATCGGTATCGGTTCTGGCTACATGTACGAAACTACGTTTGAAAAGGAAGTGTACTCTGATTTGTTTGGTGAACGTGGTGTGTTGATGGGTGCTATCCAAGGTTTATTCCAAGCTCAATACGAAGTCCTTCGCGCCAACGGCCACTCTCCCTCGGAAGCCTTCAATGAAACCGTAGAAGAAGCGACACAATCTCTGTACCCTTTGATCGGTGAGCGTGGTATGGACTGGATGTACTCCAACTGCTCCACCACCGCACAACGTGGCGCCTTGGATTGGTGGAGACCTTTCCATGATGCCTCCAAGCCTGTCTTTGAACAACTCTACAAGTCTGTGAGGGATGGTTCAGAAACCGCACGTTCCTTGGATCGTAACTCTCAACCTGATTATCGTGAAAAGTTGGAAGAAGAGTTGAAGGAAATCCGTGAATCAGAAATCTGGAGAGCAGGAAAGACGGTTCGTCAACTCAGACCCGAAAATGTTGGAAAAGATTAAACGATACAATGTTTTTCTACCCTTTGCCTTAGACTCGACAGATGCTATTCCATCTGACTTTCTTTCTATTTGTACATTTTAAACAAAAAAATGACTTGTAACCCACCCCCTTCATTCTTCCTTTCTATCGCGCCTTATGTATTCCTCTCACCTTTTTATTGTCATGACTAAAAAATAAACAAACCATTTTGCTAGATTATCTTGAAATTTTCGAGTCAATGGACATCGCGTATAGTGTATGAATATAGAATGGACTGGTACTCTCTGATACACTTTGGTTCATCCAAAGTGGGGCCACTACTGAATTCTTATACACAGACAAGGCTCTTTACGTTCACTACAACTTTTCCATCACATCCACGCTAAAAATTCATCCCTCTCCATTGTCACTTGTTACTGTACATTGAATAATGACGACCAAAAAAAAAAAAAAAAAAAAAAAAAAAAAAAAAAAAAAAAAGTTCAACCTCAGGTAAGCCTGTAACTTTTAAACGTTCCTCTTTGTCACAGTGATCGTCTACCAATCGGAGATGATCACCTATGATTGGCTCGCAACGTTGCGTGAATCATTCACAGAGCTAAAAGAGAAAGCTATTAAGGTAGTGTTCATTGCTTTAAGGAACTCTTTCATTTTTGTTCCTTTTTTCTTTCTTCTTTTTTCCCCCCTCTTCCTTGTTATAAAGAAATCCCATCGAATGTCACCAAGAAAAATTTCCATTGTTTGTCTTCCCGGGGACGGTGTTGGCCCTGAAATTGTTGCTGAAGCTGTCAAGGTGCTCAAAGTCGTCGCTGAACATCGCTCTCATGTTCTCGGTGTTGAATTCGAGTTCCAGTATGAATTGATCGGTCTTGATGCGATGGAAAAAACCGGTGAACCTCTTCCCGACAGTGCTCTTGAAGCGTGTAAAGCCGCTGATGCTATCCTCTTGGGTGCCGTGGGCGGTCTTCCCGGCAATAAAAAGATCGAGAATGGGCCACGTCCAGAACAAGGTCTTTTGAAACTGAGAAAGTCGCTCGATTTATTTGCCAATTTACGTCCCGTGTCTTTTGCCTCTGAAAAGTTGACAGGTCTGTCTCCTTTGAAAGATCATGTGGTGCAAGGCACCGACTTTGTCTTTGTACGTGAATTAGTAGGTGGTATTTATTTTGGTGATCGTAAAGAAGCTGGAGAAGATGGCCAAGGTAAAGCCCAAGAGAACACAAAGAGGGAAGAAAAAAAAAAAATAGTATGCAGAACCTCTCACTGATGACTCTATTGTGTAGCTTACGATACCATGCCTTATTCTCGTCAAGAAATTCAACGTATCACTCGTTTAGCAGCTCTTTTAGCAAAAAAACAATCTCCGGTGGGCAAAGTGCATTCTGTCGATAAAGCCAATGTACTTGCTACTTCACGTCTATGGCGTCAAACCGTGACCGATACAATGGAGCAAGAATTCCCCGACTTGCAATTTGATCACCAACTCGTCGACTCGTGTGCCATGGCCATGGTGCAACGTCCCAGCTCCTTGAACGGTGTCGTCTTGACAGAAAATATGTTTGGTGACATTTTATCCGATGAAGCTTCCGTCATTGTAGGATCGCTAGGATTATTGCCATCCGCTTCCTTGAATGGTTTGCCCGATGGTCAAGGTAAATGCTTGGGTGTCTATGAGCCTATTCACGGATCGGCACCTGACATTGCTGGACAAGGTATTGCCAACCCCATTGCCACCATTTTGAGTGCAGCCATGTTGTTGAGATATTCGCTTGGATTTGAAGCCGAAGCATGTGCGGTGGAAGAAGCAGTGCGTAAAGTATTAGATGCAGGATTTTACACGCGCGATTTGAAGGGAGATAAAACAACAGTAGAAGTAGGTGATAAAGTCGCTGAAGAGTTGGCTGCTCTACTGAAGCAGTAAATGGCTACCTCTCTCTTTTTCTGTTTTTTCCTGTTCTCTATATACTTTTTATTCAAAATACCATTTTCAAAAAAATATGTAAATTTCTTCATTTTTGCAAATAAATCATGACGCTTTGCTTTCAATTGTTTCGTGATTACGGCTATCGATACCATTCCTCGTAACCCAACTTTTTTTTTAAAATGGAAAAAAAAAAAAAAGGTATCTGCAGCTTATACTGTGTCTCTGTGCCAACACGAGCCATTCATTTCGTAAGCAAATCATTGATTTTTCCCCCAAGTGTGTGCGTATCAGTCAATGGAAAAAAACGAATGTTGATCAAATTCCTGTGATTCAGCAAAAATTAGGGACATGTAAAAAAGAAAACCCGCGGATCTACACTAGACAGCCTACTTTATACGCACCTGGTTCAAAATGGGGAAAATATCCAGAAATGGCAGTCTCTGTTTCATTGTTTTTGCCTGGGGGATAGAAAGAACCCACCACCTATTCATTCTATTGTTTGCTAAAGACTGATCAAGAGATGCTGTTCACAGTGAACAGTTCCATAAGGGGCACAAGTTGGGCATGCTAATTGCCAAGAAAGTGTCTTTGGTCCTCACAGATTATCAGCCCGTCTTCACGCTTAGATGAAAGGATGATTCATCCTCTCTACTGTTTCGAATCGCGACCAATTGAATCTCCCCCGTGTGCTTTACATAGTATACGATCTTGTTGTTAGCCGTGGCATGAAATACTTTTTTTCTGCTGATATAGTAATATTGCCGAGAGGTTATCCTGAACACATCCAATAAAGAAAAAAAAAATGTATATATAGTCCAAGTTCAGGCAAAACGAAGCAATGTTTTTTGACCTGGTGATTGTATTACCATTTATCTCTTTTTTCAATCGTTTCTACGCCCATTGACATCCAAACCGTCTTTGACAATGGTCTATACTTCCAAGCATCCCAACGCAGACATTCCTACCAATCCCAGTCTCTATCATTTCTTATTTTTGGATAATCCAAAAAAAATCTCGGATGACAAGCTCTGTTATTTGGATACTGAGGATCCTAAAACGTCTTATAACTATGGTCAGATGAAGTCCCAAATTCTAAAAGCTGCTGCAGGTCTCAAGCGTGAGTTTGGTTTTAACAAGGGAGATATCGTCGCCATCTGCTCTCCTAATGATGTGGACTATCCTGTGATCCTTCACGGTGCTGTTGTTGCAGGTAAAATCATAAAAAGGAGAGAGGTGGAAGAAGACCACATGCTTTCATCTACTTTATGGAGTGGAAAGTGGGGGAGGGGGGAGGGTTTAAAAACAGTATCAAAGTGAACGCGTCGAAAGAGACAAGAGAGATTGACTCTTATTTTCTCCTCTTGTGGTTTGAAAACAGGTGGTGCTTGCGCAACCATCGACCATGAAGCCGACGTCAAGCTCATCGCTCATGATTTAAATGTGGTTCAAGCAAAAGTAGTGGTCACACACAAGGATAACTATGCCAAGGTGCTTGAAGCGTGTGCGTGTGCTCATCTCCCCAAAACCAACGTGGTTGTCTTTGGTGATGCTGCTGTGGGCGGTCTACGTACTGTGCATGACACCCTCTTAAGCAAACAAGAACTCGCTGAGCCTATGACCTTCACGGCTGACCAGCTGGCCAATGATCCTGCTTTTCTGTACTTTACTTCAGGGACGACAGGCGACAAGAAAGCCGTCATCATCACGCAACGTATCGTCATGGCTAACTTGGCTATCAAAAAAGAGTGGCCTTTTGACGACATCAACATCCTTGCTTACACTGAATTTCATCACGCCAGTTCTTTGTTGACAGCCATGAACTTTGCCTTTCAGAACGGCGCTACCGTTTATGTCATGCCTCACTATACCCTTCGTCGCTTCTGTGAAGCATTGGAAAAGTACAGCATCCATCTCACCAACACCCAACCTTACATTATTGCTGCTTTGACAAAGGAAAAGGTAGCTGAGGAATATGACCTCTCCTCTCTCAGTTACGCTATCTGCTGCGGTGCTGCTCTTGATCATTCCGTTACGCTGGCTGCAAAAGAAAAGATCGGTCTTCGCGTGTTTGATATTTACGGTATGACGGAAGTGCTCTGTATTTTTGAAGCAGACGCTGATCTAACCGAAAAGCACAGCATCGGTGAGATTGCTCCTCATTTTCAAGTCAAATTGGTGGATGAGGAGGGTAAGGAAGTGCCGACCGGTGAAATGGGTGAGCTATGCGTCAAGGGCCCTACCGTGACAAAGGGCTATTACAGAAACCCTGAAGCGACTGCCAAGTCGATTGACAAGGAGGGCTGGTTCCATACGGGTGATCTCGTCAAGTGTGATGAAAATGGCTATTTCTATTATGTGGATCGTGCCAAGGATATGATCAAGTATTACCTTGTTCAAATCTTCCCCAGTGATATTGAAAGCGTCCTGATCACTCATCCCAAAGTGGCGGACTGTGCTGTCATTGGTCTCTATCAAAAGGAGCTGACGACCGAATATGTTACTGCTTATGTTACGTTGGTGGAAGGCGAGAAGCCTTCAAAGGAGCTTGAACAAGAACTAAGAGCCTATTGCGATTCCCGTCTCGACGATGACAAGCATATTCGCGGCGGCGTTCATATTATTCCAGAGTTCCCTCGTACGCCTTCAGGAAAAATTCAGCGACGTATCCTCAAGGAAAAAGCCCTCAAGGGGGAACTGTCATTGTAATGCAAACATTATTTGGCTATTCAACTTTTTTCATCATTTCTACTATTTTTATTTTATTTTTCTTGTTACAAACAGTTGTCTTGAAAATGCAGTGAAATTCATTTATACTGCAAGACAACCTTTTCAATACATTTCAAACTGCTCATCCGCTCTCTCACACCAACTTATCAAATGGAATACAAAATCTACCACATATTTGATCGCCTTGTCACTGAGATGAGTTTATTTTTAGGACTGTCTATTTTTATGACAGAATAGCGGGAATAAAGCAAATACCATTCACCCTTATTGTGGTGTAACTATTGTGCCAGGTCTTTTTTTTTTTGGATCTGATATGGGATCATCGGCGAGAAAAAGTGATTGTTGCTCTTTCTTAATTTCGTATGGCTCGACATAGACAGCTTCCGAACATCTGGCTGGCCAATGGAGATTTTTTTTTTTTTTTTTTGCTTTTTTTGGTATGGTAGCGCTCAACTGTAGCATAGGATTGAAAAAGAAAAAAAATGCTTACGCCTTTTTCATTAACGTTCACTTTTTTTTTATCCCCGGTAGAACCATTTAACAGCTGTAATAGATCTGTCATTTTCCAGAGGTGATACTTTCTAGTAAATCAGCGAAATAAGATAGACAGTATTAGAGTAATAAAACTTTCGTAACTCATTGGTTAGAAAAACTAATATTTGGCCAAGGTTGTTAATGGCTTCAAAGTGAGATCCTTCCTAAACGAAAAAAGTGCATGTACGTCTGTAGAAATATAAGCCTTCAATCACCTTAAGTAGTTTGCATTCTTTATGAACTTTTCTCACATCAATAAAACGACTCTTCTCATACAGAGATAACCATGTATAAATAGGCACAAACGGAAAGGAGACAAGATGAAAGCAAGTTTGCACTCGAGGTTTGTGTACCCATTGATTTGAAGAAATGCTCCATTTTAAAAACTTTTTGCTGCAATGTTCACTTTAACCATTGAGAAAATTTTACCTTATTAGGACGAAAAACGCCTATCGGTTGGAATGGCAGCAGACAATTCAATGTACATCTTTGGTCGAACATAATTTTCAAGATGTAGTATTCGGTAAAGCTCACCTTGACAAAGGTAATCAAAATGAGAGCAGTTGCCAAAATAAGACTTTTCACATTTCTTACAAGTTTTATCCATTGCCTAACAGCATATTATGTGGTTACATTTCATGAAGCTTTTCCTGAGTATTGCATTACAAAACTTTGATAAAAGTAAGGTTCTATCAGGATAGGGTACTGTCCTGAGGTTGTCTACGGCAATAAACGAATTTTTCGTCCATCAAAAGCCGCACCTTTTATGATTTCAAACATATTCTTTACAGCAGAGGACATTGAATCTATTTATTGCATTTTTTTTTTTTTGGAATATAGTGTTTTTACCTCCCGTTCATGAATTTCAGTCGCGAAAGAAGAAATAATCGTTGCCTTGGTTTGCAAATGTCACAGTCCGTGAATCCTATTTTTCATCGTTACGTCGATTTGTGTCATCCTTATGAATTTTGTTTGTTACGCAGCTTTGTTGAGGTCGAACAGCTTTAGCTATTTATGGCTATATCACTATCCTGATTCCTTTCATCGCAAAATAATGGTTTACGATAATAAACTGTTTGATCTATTCTTTAATGAGTATTATGTAACGCAAATTACACGATTTGTCCAGATTGTGTGGACTTTTAAATTTTTGGTCAATTGGATTTGCTCTCTCCTGTTTTCTGCATGTTTCACACTGTCCTGAGTCTACCCTGGATCGATCAACGGTGACTTTTTTTAACTTTTTGAAAAGGGTAAACATTACCCGGATAGGTCTCTGAACGGCTAAAAGTTAATCACGGAGATCAATTTTATTAATACAGTATTTTACCTTATATTTTAGACGATTTACAATTTTTAATGGACAATATACATTTTAATTTTAGATTTATTAAAAAATATTTTTAGAAAAGTCCATAGTATTTGGATATTTGGATACTCAATTATTCAGTGATATTCAAGCAGCATTAAGGATGACATATAATCGAACCCTAGAAATTTGTCTCTATCAGTAAGAAAGTCGCCAATAATGGTTTTAATGATGTTATCTTGCAATAGGACAAACTACAAAAAGCTTGACAACTTTTTTACTAAATAACGATGTGTTCCGAGACCAACAAGATATTCGTTGGTGCCTTTTTTGGACAAGAATTCCAAAAAAAAGTTAACTTTGAATTGATTGACATCAAACCATTGATAGAGGGCTGAGGGTCATAGTATAACAGATACCATAGCGGAATGGGATGGTTATATTAACTGTTGTCAATGTTTTTGTATGCGTTCATGGGTGACTTTCAAAGATAAGCACTATAAAATATACTGCTCTCTTAGAGTCAAATGTTGTCTCTTTCACTTTTATTTCACGTTTTTAAGATACATACTATGACCCATGTTCAAAACAATAATTTATGAAAAGAAAAAGCAAATTTTTGAAAAGAAAAAATCAAGTGCTGTTAATGGTAACTTGCCTTTTGAAAGCCTCTATACCTGATCATATATATACGTAGAGATTAATCGTCGTGTACTGTTAGATGTAACGTGTATTGATTGCGGTAAAGGGGGTCATCACACCCAACAATACTTTAAATGTCAATTGTATGAGACAGAAACTGCAGATCAAGGTAAGCACCTCATGTGGCTTCAAAAGTTGGTAAATTCATCGTTAGTAAGCGACCTCATTGTACCTATAGTTGGTTCGATAGGCAGAAAACGCAAACAGAATTTTGAAATCAAGAAGGAAAAGAAGAAAGCAAGGAAAGAGAATAATGAAGAACCGGATAAAGACAATACCTGTTGTACCAAATGCAAGCAACCAGGACATAAATCGGTGCGTTCTCCTCTGTGTCCTCAACATGTATTATCAAAGGCAGAGGTCTTTCAACATCATTTGGGAAGTAATTACAAGGCGTTTACAAGAAGGTTGCCTCTTGATAACTGTGTTTTTGGTGACTATCGCAACACATTCAAGTCAAAAGTTGTTGAAGCTTGTTCTGTTATCCGCAACTTGGTTCTTAGAGCCAAGCTCTTTGTGAATTATTACGTCTTGGAAAATGCCACTCTTGCTGGGCCAAAGTGTATTAAATATATCTTCACACAAAATTTCTGGTACTCTATGATACAGCTAGTGAATGGACAAAGACCAACAAATAGTAGGCTGATACCACAACAATTACTGAGCTCGTTTGATTCTTTTAAAACGACTTACCGTAAGATTGTCTTCCCTGTCAAGCTCTTTCCTGGACTTAGTCAAGCCATTACAGAAGCATGCACCGAAATTGCTACTTCCTATACGAACAGTATAGTGGAAAATTTTGAGGAGAAACTTCTCTATTTTTTGATATATAAAATACAAATGGCATTTGTGGTAAGTTGCAACTCAATATTACTTGGGGCCTTACATGAATTTTAAAAAAAAGCTCTCATCTTGCGTAGTGTATGCCTTGGAAGCTTGTCAAAAAGGTCACAAGTGATTTCTGCTATCAAGAGATATGCCAAGGAAAACCTAAATGGCCAACTGATGACTACCTTACCAAAGATATAAAACAAAGATCCAAACCTTTTGTGAACCTTGGAAGAAGAAGCTGGGGAAGAAAGTGAACATGAAGACATTATCTGCTGATCCTGGGTCTTTCGTACCCTTTTTGTTATCTTTGAACGCAGAATTTGAGAGGGAACACGATGATCATAAACCATTTGACGTACGACGACGTCCTCTTCCAAAATTGTTATCCTTACTGCCAAAGGTTTCCGTTCAATGGAGGTTCATTACCTTGAGCGTGAACGCTCTGTCTTCTTTTGTGAAACGTTCTTAACCCCGCAATTACCAAAGCCAATTAGAGCTGTTTTTCCATGTCTTTGATTTCAAGAAACTCAGGTACAAAAGGTAAGCATACAGTTAATACGGTATACAGTCGAGTATAATGTATGAGCTTTAACTTCTTGGGCACTTGTAGTATCTCTGAACTAACACCGAATGGTGATAACAAAGAGCTCTTTGGTAATATTGTCAGAACGGATGGGTTTTCAGTTGACTTTCTTTTTTAAAAAAGACAACAATCTGGCCATGGTGCCTCGTTCCAAAAATTTGACCTCACTCTTGATGATTTCTCTCTGGATGAAGTTGACAATACTTATTTACCTATTACCCTGGATCCCGGAAGAAAGTCTGTTTTTACTCCTGCTATTGGCCTTGAATATAACAGACAAGTGCGAAGATGCACTACATCCGAATACTATCATATGGCAGGGTCAACGAAATATTGTAAGAAATTGAACAGTATGAAAGCTGTTACAGGAATAGATCTAGTAGAAAGTCAAATCCCCTCGTCAAAGACCTCTCGTCTAGGAGTATATGAGGCGTTCACCATTTATATGCTCAATAACTTAGACGCTCTCTTTAGTTTTTATGGACATGAAACAGCAAAGGACCGGTTTACGATGTACCAAGGAAGGCAAAGAGCACCCGAAACTATGGCCAACATGTTGACTCATGGAACGGCCAAGTACAATCACAAGAAGAGAAGCAAGGCAAGGAAGAGGAAAAAACAGCAGAAGAAGAAGAAGAAAGGAAAGAATGTTGACAAACAGCCGCCAATCAAGTGAGTATCAATGAAATACATGTTCATCGTTTAGCTTACGCGCTGATTGATAATTTTTAGAAGTGACAAGAAGTGGAAGGCTGATAAGTACTCAGGATTCCCTAGAAGGGTACCACTGATTGTCTTTGGTGCTGGAATGTTTGGAAAAGATGTAGTAAAATTGAAAGGGCAAAGATGTGGTGTTGTCGGTAAACTTTTTGCAACTCTGAAGAAACGTGAAGCTGAAGGTCAATTGATTGTTGTCACAATCGATGAATTCAAAACCTCTAAAACATGCAGCCTCTGTTTCTATGATGATATGCAAATTGTTGATACTCCTGGATTCAAGGGTACCGGCGTTCTTCATTGCAAGCAATGTCTAAAGCTATGGCAGAGAGATGTTAACGCCGCTATTAACATGATGACCATATCTCGAGCAGTTTGGTCCGGAGCCGGAAGACCCGATGTTTTCAAGCCAGCGAAGAAGAAGAAAGTATCGCCGTAATAAACACGGTTTTCCTTATATTTTAAGGATTTAGATCATTACAGGTGAGGAATAGTACGGTTTTTTTTTCTTTTTTTTTTTTTTTTTGTTTTGCACTGCTAACAAGTTTTTGGAATTTGAATTATTGTTTAAACGGTTTATATTTTGGTCTACAACACAATTGCAACTCATCTAAAATGAAAATATTAATCGTCCAAAAAAAATGTATTTCATCTAAAATATTAGTTAAAATACTGTATATAAGTTACAGCCTAAATCTCCCCCATTTCAATCAATTTTTTTTTTTTTTCAAAAAATTACACTTCATCGCTTCTTCCTATCGCCTATAGACAATGCCTCACTCTACAATAGAATCAACTATTTACAAGTCAGAGCTACCTACCAAACAATATCCAAAGGCGGCCAGCATGTTGGAGTTCTTGTTTAGCAACCCTCACAATATTGCAGGAGACAGAAAAATTTACGTGGATGCTACTGATAATAGCAATTATTTAACTCTGGATCAAGTCAAATCAAAAATATTGAAGGCTACTGCTGGTCTCAAGCGTGAATTTGGTCTGAAAAAGGGTGATGTTGTGGCTATTTGCTCACCTAATCACATTGATTATCCTGTCCTTCTTCATGCCACCGTTGCTGCAGGTAAATTCTTTGCTTTCGGTTCTCGTCTACATTCAACATTCTGACCTGACCTTTTTTTTTTTTGAATCATGATTTAGGTGGCGTGGTGGCTGCTATTGATTATGAAGCTCATCCAGACAAAATTGCTGAAGATTTAGATACTGTTCAAGCAAAACTTATCATCACTCACAAGGATAACCTCACGAATGTTCTCGCTGGTGCAAACATTTTCGGCATGCATGAATCCAGAATTATCACCTTTGGCAATGTCAGCGTGCACGGTCTTTCTACTGTGGACGACACGATTCTCTCCAAGGAAGAATACGCCGAACCTATGACTTTCACCGAAGACCAATTAAAGAATGATCCTGCCTATCTTTATTTCACTTCCGGTACCACAGGCAGAAAGAAGGCTGTGATCATGACCCAAGGGGGTCTTCTCGCCAGTATGCATGTGATGGAAGACTGGGATGTCTACGAGATCAATCTTCTTGCCTACACTGAATTTCATCACGCCAGTTCTTTATTAATCGTCCTTCACTTGGCTATTATTTTCGGCTACACCTGTTATGTTGTCTCTCACTACGACATCCGTACCTTGTGTGAGGCGATCGAGAAATATAAGATTCATGTCACTGCCACTCAACCTTATATCCTTGCTGCTTTTGCCAAGGACAGGGTGGCTGAAGAATACGATCTTTCTTCCCTCAAGTTGGTTGTCAGTGCTGGTGCTGCCCTTGATAATAGCGTTACTCTGCTCGCCAAAGAACGACTGGGTCTGACTGTCATTAATGGCTATGGTATGACCGAAGTGCTTGGCTTGTTCAACATGACTCCTGAACTCACTTTGAAAAACAGTCTCGGTACTTTGGCTGCTGGTTTCGAAGCACGCGTGGTCGATGAGGAGGGTAAGGATGTACCTCGAGGTCAAATGGGTGAACTGTGGATCAGAGGCCCTACCGTCACAAAGGGTTACTATCGCAATCCTGAAGCTACTGCCAGTGCCATTGACGCCGACGGCTTCTTGCATACAGGTGATTTAGTCACTATCGATGAAAACAATCAATTTTACTACGTTGATCGCTGTAAGGATATGATCAAATACCGTCTCACCCATATATACCCTAGTGAGATTGAAAATATCCTCTTTACTCATCCCAAGGTGGCTGATTGTGCGGTGATTGGTGTCTACAATGCTGAACTTATCACTGAATTGCCTCGTGCTTATGTACATTTGGTTGACGGTGAAAAGCATTCGCAGGAAGTGGAGCAAGAACTTCAGAAATATTGCGATTCTCGTCTTCCTGACGAAAAACATCTACGTGGTGGTGTCGTTATTGTGGATGATTTTCCTCGTACTGCCTCTGGTAAAATCCAACGACGTCTTCTTCGTCAACAAGCCAATGAAGAAGCCAAAGTTAGCGTTGTTGCCTAATCAACCTCTTTTCCTTGTATTTATTTAATTCCATATCTTTTTCCTTTATACTCTTATTGTTTTTTGTTGTCTTTTTTTTTTTTTTCTTCTTCTCTCGTAATATTCATTCATTATTCATGTTCACTATCGCTCATATCAGACTTTACAAATATAAAACCTGCATTTTCAGATATCAACCCTTATATTTTGAATGTACATACTATTATTGAAACTAAACAGGTTGAAACACTATTTTCACAAATTACCAAGATAATAATACTACACATATCAGTTGGAGGAAAAAAAAAAAAAAAACTACCTCAGCTAGTAATTATGGGATAAAGTGGATGCATGATAAAGAAAAACGTGTCATCAGTTATCGAAAACGATTGCAGAGTAGGTCACATCTCTGACATTGCTGTCTTGCCAATGAGCTGAATAGTTCTTTGTTTGTCCAAAACCTCATCAATGACAAAAAATTACCGCCAAGTAGAGAGAGTAAGTATTGACGTACAACTTCAAGGGACGTGCATTGGACAGTATACGATCAACAACAAATAACCAGTCAAATCACTCTATCCATCTCGATGGAACGAAAGGTCCATAGCATCCGGATGAACGGATCAGATAATATTAGCCCTCTGAATACTCCAATTTTAGGCTACGTGATAGAAGCGTTACGATAGGGTACACAACTAAATCTTCAAGGTAGAATTAAGATTATATTTATGCTTTGGGTTTACCCTCTGGTATTGTACTTTTGAGAGATGTATTAGAGTGTTAAATGACAGTTTTCCTGTCTTTTCCACTAATTCTATTTATGTTTCTGGTACAACTAAAAGATCCTTTCCATGAGTTGACGAACAACATATTAATAACAACCGGTCTAAAATCGATAAGCTGCGTAGTTTATTTGCCTTCAAATGATGTAGTGCTCATATCCTATTATTTTTGCTGGAATATAGCTCTTTTGAACTCAAAAAGGTCATAGTACAACTGCAGCACAAGAGTTTTTTGGCTATTGCTTTGGACATCTTCATAACCTGAATCCTTCCAAAAATGCATATAAAAAAAAGGAAGTCTATTGGTTTTCTTTTTAGATTTAGCTTCAGGTTATGGTCTATTGAAAATATAACAGATAATATTACGAGAATGCAAAGGAAATAAATGATAAAAAAAAAGCAACGGAAACCCACCAACAACAAGATACAGTAGGGTCTACACGCACCACAAAGGAAAATAGCAAAAAAGTAAGCTGCTCACTACAGGGGTCGAACCTGTGACCTTGGCGTTATTAGCACCACGCTCTAACCAACTGAGCTAAGCGAGCTTTTGCTATATTTGGACAATAATGAAGTCAGTGATAAACATAACAACTCTTGGCTGCTGCACGTGACTTTTTTTAAATATGTACAATTTCTGATTGGTAGCTGTAGATTGTCTGTAAAAGAATGCTAGCGATTCAACAATTTCCAAAAGCCATTATAATCCCTCCTTAATATCCTACGTCCTCGTTTTTGAATAGTCTCTTTATGAAGTTTACTGTTGTATCGAATATAAATCTACTCTTGGATTGCTACATACAGTGACTCACAAAAGAAGCTTAATGTTTCTATGGTGTCTCAAATAATCCACCTAGGCCAAATATATGTAATGATCCACCTTAACAAAGTTACATTTATTTCCCTATTTGCCCAATATTATTCATAAGGTCTCAGACATGCATTTCCTCTAAGCAAATTACCACATCAAAAGTTGTAACAGAAACCAAAATGTTATATCGATACCAGTAGAATCAATATCTTTTTATAGTCTTGCTACTTAACTTGACTTAGTCCACTATAATCTCAAATTTTGATAATGTTTACAGTTTCTGCATTTTGCGTTTCTTCACTTTCACTAGATACTGGATAGTTTTAGCTTGTTTCTAGCAATATGACTTCAAAGGGCAATACGACAGGTACTATTTGTACAAGTTTCGTGCAAATCGCACTATTTCGTCTGCCATTACGAAATCAGAAGGTTGAAATGTCAACAATCGAGCATTTTGCATAAATTCATGAATTACTAACAACCTTCAAATAAAAAACCACAAAAGGGAATGTAACTTGAGGGTCAGACAGTTTCGCATATTGCAATTCGCATAAATAAGCATCTCTATGTTTTACGTTTTCTTTGAAATTGCAGTTACAGCTGTCATCAGATTCCATTGATTACCATTACCCCCCATTTCAACTACGTTAACACAAATTGCAACATCAGACCTATTCCTTACAACCCAAAAAAAAAGGATATTATTCTCAGACTGAAGTGAAACGATTCTCACAGATAATTGCAAAGACACTAGAGGTTTCGCGTGCAACAGTTCACAGAATTGTTATCGACCTTGCATGTGCATCTAATGGCAGAAGGGCAGGCCTACAAAGATGAGCGCATTGCTCGGACGATAAGTTGGTCAATTTTTTTTACTGCTGTCGAGGCCGCCCGGAACCTTCGAGGACACGGGTATGAAATCTCTGCACAAAAAATACGCAGATTTTCAAATTATCTGTTTTCGTTTTGAAGATCAAAAAGGTGGCATTGCCGTTAACCACTGAACGTCGCAAGAATCGGTTGATTCAGTGAAAGACTCACAAAAGCAGGACGATTCAAGGTTGGAAGAAAGTCGTTTTTAGTGACAAAACCAAATAAACCGCCTATGATCCGATAGAAAGACGTGAACGTGGGACAAAAAGAGATAACCCCTCCAAGTTCACAATGTCAACTATGCCTACAAAGGAGGTGGATGAAGCTTGATATTGTGGAGCTGCTTCACCCAATATGGCCCGGTTTGCTCCGTCCACTTGGGAGTTCTTTTGGTCGCTGCCTCTTTCTCAAAGAATCATCACGCCATGGTGGAGTACTGTATCCTACATCATCGCATTGCTACTGCTCCGTATTTCTTCCATATCAATTGGCAAAAGTGACCCTCTTTTCTTTGCGCTTGTGCTGCTCAGCTACTGAATCTACATATTATTTTGTGTCGCATTGTTACTTGAAATGGTTATATTGGCAAAAAGCTCTCGCTTATTGCTCCCTCTTTACCGAGGTTCGATCACCCCATGATGTGGGGTTGGGTATCTCCACATTTCACAATGCTTCTGGTAACCATACCCATTCCCCCTCGCCTCTACATAGATCTCCATCTTAATTCTTCTGATTCTTACTCACGGTCCTCCTAACTGTCACTATCTAGCCCCCATTTTAATTTCATATTACCCCAATTTATAAATTTATTATTTGATAATAGAAAAGTACGTGATTTCATCCAAAAAAAAAAGAAAAGAAAAGAAGATAGCCCCGGTTTTGCTGCCAAGGTAGAGGGCGGGACGGACGCCAAGTTTACTTTGATTTCTGAAGGGTGATGTCTCGTTTATTACATTTCAGTCTTCAACGCGTAAATACCGGTCTTAAGTCCACTACTATCCTGCTCAGCAGTGTTTTTATTTGTTCTTACTATAACACTAATTTGCATTTTCTGTCATAAAAATTCTTGTTGTAAAGTATTAACCCATTTCCTTATTGTAACTTATCTGTTCAGAGTATTTTTAACACCAATTCTAGTCTATCCTGGGCAAAGATTTTCCAGTCAATTTAGTAGATCACTGATTACGCGTGACTTCTTGCCCTCAATGCTTATGGCCACAGAAAAAGTACATCATCCTTCCACAGGATAGTTACCTTAAATGTACGGTCAAAGTGGCTAAAGAATGGTTCAGAAAAAATAAGGTAGATATTCTTGACTGGCCCTCATAGTCCCCTGACCTGAATCCGATTGTGAATTTGTGGCCCTACTCGAAATGCAAGCGCGCTTCGCACGAAAACGCGCAGAAGGAGCTGGGTAAGGTTTCGGAACGTATAGCCAATATCTGGCATAATAAAGCCACCCCCGAATTATGCATGATGTAATGGTAGTGATCTATATAACTGATCATCTAATCTATGTCCAAGATAAGCCTGACAGGAGGTTATTATTACTAACGCTTTGAGCAGATAAGTTGCAACAAATATTAAAGAGTATATTCTTATTTAGGAACGGATTAGATGAACAATACGAGTGAAAGAGGTAGTGAACCGAGAAAAAGCTGATAAAAACACCGAAATTATATTGACGATGGACGTGAACTATTTTTATATGGTTGGAGGGTGAAACCTTTCTTATAGCAGTAAAAGCCGCTCATTACACCCTGTAGTAGATGAACTCAGTCAACTTGGTGTCCCCTTCATGCGTAATGGCATCTGTTCCGCATCCGTAGTTACAAAAGGCAAACCCGGAGCCCTCAGTCGATGGTGCAATTAAAAATCTATCGGTGCTAATCATCCGGATTTGAAATACTTTTCTCTTCACGGTTATACACTAATTTTGTTCGTCTCAAACTCGAGTATGGCCTAGACATCATTACAAAAAAAAAAAAGAAAAAAAAAAAGTCAATTATCAGCAACTTGAAAAGAGTCAAGACATTTGCTTCTAAATGATCTTGAGGGCTACCTCAGTGCTTCAATGGCTGTTTGTGAACATGTAATCAATCTGCTAGATATGCAATTCTGAGCTGATCAATTACGTATTAAATTTATCTTTTGCGCTCAACATCTTCCCCCTGGTTATTTAATCTATTTACTGACAAGTTAATTCTCTAGCCCTGCTATCGGCGTCCTCCAACTCTGTTTGGTCTTGAATGCCCTTTCAGACAACATTTCTCGAAGCTTTTCTACTAGTAAATTATCCATATGGCTACACACATATCGACAAACCTGTCTCGACTCTTTCCTTCTCAGCACTGATAAGAAGCTGATCAAAGCCTGCCGTCCCCATCTAGCTATTAATATTGTTAGGTTCCTTCCTGCCTCCTGACCGTAGCTGCCTCGTCCGCTGGCGGGTAGGTTGGCCACCAGGCAAACCAAAGTCATGCCCTTATAGGTTCGATCACAACTCCCGCTGTAAGGTGTGCCGAGGTCGTTTGAAGTGGCAAGAGTTTGCTGAGCAATGACTGGAGGAAGAGATTAGATCGTAACACCGTCGAGACAAGAGGTTGGTGTTATTAACGTCTGGTTACAACAATGTGGATAGGTGTAACCTTTAGTATAAATAGGAAAGGGTTAAGAGATAAAGGTAGTACTAAGAAAAGAACAGTATAAAAAAAAAAAACCCCACTAAGTTCTATGAGTAGGGTAATTTCATGCCTATTTGTATAAAATTATATTGAACTGCATAGTTCTGGCTTCTATTCTTTACACCCGCCAACATCTTATTACTGTGTGATATCTCTTACTATCAGAAATAATTATTTAATTAGATAAAAGTAGAGACTAGGTAAGTCAGCGAGACCGAACAGGAAGTTCTTCAATGTTTTCTTTTGGTTTCGAATTTAGTTGTCCTTGTACATGAATGCGAGGTAGAACTGAGCTTATAGTGGAATTAAGAAAGTAGAAGTGACAACCGAGTAATATTGTTCCTGTTACTGCGAGATATCTAGATTACCAGTAAGGAAGGTTGAAGTGTGCCTGATGAAATCTTATTTGTTCCAGTACACCATAACTGGTTAAGGCAGTAAGTCCGGATTGTTTCTTAGATTGTTTTCAGGAACTAAGGGCTTTAGAGGTTAGAAAGTGACACACTGTTTGCCTAGAGATTCCACTTTCAACTTGGTTTACATTACCTTTGCCAGCAGCGGGATCTACAGTGAGCCGCATTGATTTTGTCCACAATAATCTGCGCACCAAAGCAACAAACAACTGTCCAACTTGTTTGGTCACTCTTCGCCTACTGCTCTAGAAACATAGGAGTAATTTTTGCAATCTTGAAGGGCGACTATTTGACTGATCCTAACGCAAGTGAAATATGGTTCCGATCGCATCCACCCGCTACCTCAATTGAAGATTTCCAAGTTCCACGATTTGCTAGATTTCTAACTGTGAACTGTACCCTTTGCAATACAGAGCATCAAGACGTTTGTAAGAGAAAAACATTATTCCGTGAGCCGCCTCCTAATATCCGATTATTTCAAGAAGAGGATAAAAGAAAGTTCTGTGTCAACGGCATAGGAAATCGCCCAAGCTCATCAGAATAATCTGACCAGTTACATGCATCACAACAAAGTCCTAAAGACACATGCAGCCGTGTGTCATCCCTTCTTCATATCCGGAACCAAGTCAGATCTCTTTGTCTAGATGCCTCTTATTTTGACGAACATCATTCTGTGAGCCGCCTTCTAGTATCCAATTATTTGAAGAAGAGGATAAAAGAAAGATCTGTGTCAACGGCAAAGGAAACACCCCCCCCCAAGCTCATCAGATAAGCTGACAGTTACACGCATCACACTAAAGTTCTACAGATGAATGCAAACCGTGTATCATCCCTTCATCATATCCGGAACCAAGTCAGATCAGAATAAGGCGCAGAAATATGCTGAAAAGGTATGCAGTAAATCATCAATATTGTCACCTATAAAGTTAGAAACAATAACTTATAATTACTGCATATTCATGTTATAGCGAAAACAAGAACAAAACTAACCTGCGGAATTTGGCTTGACATATTTACTAAGTTGTTGAATTTACAGAATTGTATCAACAGTTCTGAAGAGAGTAAAAGATGATGTTTGCCAATTTGACTCTCTCAAAGACAAATGTAAAATAAAGTCTGAAAGAAGAGAAGTAATTGTCCATGATCAAAACGTCCATATTATACAAATAATAAATCAAATGTAGCAGGTGCAAGTAAATAAAGAAAGCAAGCATTAGGGAGTAAAAAGAGAAAAGTATTACTAATTTCTTGGGTCATAATAAGTTTGGACGTCATCATTTGCTTTGCATACACTTAATTCACAAGGTTAATGTGTACGCCACGTAGAAAAAATTTAAATACATATCATTTATTTTAAACAACCTTTCTTACAATCTTCCAAAAAAAATGTTTAATTATTCCCCAGCTCCTCTTGAAATACGGTCTTACGCCTCAAGTTGAGCGTACCTATAGCCAGATGAAAGCAAGCCATTATATCCCTAAGCACGGTGTCAAATTCTTATTAAACAATATCGGGAAGGGTGCTGATATCGAGAGATGATACAAACAAGGATGCTGCTGCAGACAACATTTAACATTTCGTTATTTGTTTTCTGAAAGATATTGTTTCGAAAAGAAGATAACATTTAGTTTCCATATATATCAAAACTGCATCAACGGCTCAATTCTAAAAGTAAAACGAGAATTAATACCCTGTGGAGGTGCGAGGGAGTACGGTTTCTACGATCAGTGACAGGGGCACTGGAGCTACTATCCAATGCTTTGTGGTGGATGTTGCGGATAGAATACCGCAGCAGATTACGGGTAGCTCAGCCTTTTTTGCAGATGTCCTACGGAATCACATCGTTCACCGTTAGGCTGGCAACATCAGAGCTCGTGATTTGGCTCATCATTTCTTCGAAAGCAACGATAAACTTGTTTTGCTTAGCTATATTAGGCTCTACTCAGCTCTATTCAGCTCAATTCATTTGAAATCTTTATCAACCTAGAAGGTGAAAGCGCACAAAAAGCTTACAGTAGTAGTACGTGACTTCATATGGACGGTTTGCTTGCTCCAAAATAAGCTGTTCAGATTGATGCATTCAGCGAAGTACTTTAACAGTCATGTTCACGCATTCAGCCTTTTTAGACTTGCCGGAGACACATCATATAAATTGAAGCAAAAAAGAAGCAACTCTTCCTTCAATATTTCTCTGATCATCCTATCAGCGAATGGACTTTCGTTGAGTTCAAGGCTTCGATCAATAAAGACAAGCTTTATCCAGCAAATGATACCAAACTCAAAAACACATACTTGTCCATCATGGGTAGTATTCAAAGCTTAAGTGATATACCAGATTTTGCAAGGATAGAAGCTCGCCATTTATTATCGTCAATCAAGTCTCTGAAGGAAGAACCCCAAAACATTAGTTATAGCAATACAGCAAATGATTCAAGCTTCATCAATGTATTCAATGATTTGGGCAACAGCACAACCAATATAACTCAACCACAGCCGGCAAAACACATCGTACCCCAAGAGAAGAATCCGACTTTATAAACTTAGACCCATATGATGAGGAAAACGATGAAGATGAAAAAATTCCGTCAGACTTGTCAACCCACCACCATCCTCAACGTATTCGTGAGTACACCCTTACATTCACAGATTCATTTGAGAAAAAGGTAAGAGGAGCAGAAAGAAGAGGAACAGGAAGAAGAGGAAGAAAAAGAGTGTTATATTTGCTTAATTGAAATTGGTAACAGTTGTAAGTTGATGACTACGAACTTAAGTGTCTTTATTGTTCTTCAAATGAATATAGATGGACCATGGTGGAATGTATTCTCTACCTGGTTGTACGTACTCGAGTATTGTAGTTGTTATCTCACCAAACACGTCAAAGAGGAGGATACAACCGAGGTTGAAGACACCTCAGAGCTAGAATGGGTGTTGGATGGTGTTTGTCTTTCTGATTTATGCCTTAATTTCAAGACAGCAAGCTCAAACCTGGCTAAACGCACTGATCCAGACTCTCAGATATTCGCCTCCTCGCACTGAATGACATTTACAAATTTGATAGAGACTCGACATTCTTTGTTAGCAAATGTTTCTCACATAGCGTCCGTACTATGCTCACACCAACGTTATCATTTGATGGCTATTTGGTCACAGAAGGACTGAATTGCTATGGTTGGTGTAGAAACATTGAGGTATCTCGTCCCGTTGATTGGGTCTCTTCACTGTCATTGTGCGCTCAATTACTTCAAAAAGCCTCCGAATCAAAGAATCTCGTAGATTTACACACTGCCCAAATTCTTACGCAAATTCTCCCTGTTCTGATCAATGGACCTCCTGACGACTCAAATGAAGACAGCTACGTCCATTATTACCTATCACCCTGACTGTCATCTGTATTTGCTTCACACCCTCTACTCAAAATGAAATGGGCCAATGGCCAGCTATCAAGGAACAACAGTGTGTTCAAGCCAGATTTCTCGGTGTACAACATTTGTGGTAGCGCCAAATGCGTTATTCTTATTGCTGAGTTTAAGCCTACGGAAAAGAACTCAAACGTGGAATCTGACTTAGTCTAACTTTCTAAGCAGATGAAAGAGACTTTAAACAGATTGGTCTTAAATGGTGTGAAGAAGCCAAAAATCTGTGGCATTCACTGTGAAGGTAAAAATGTCCAAACTTTTGTGATGGATCTCCCTTCTCCTAAGGTTTACAGATTGGTGAACGTGCCAAAGATCAGACTGTTCAAAAGCCTTGATCAAATTGCACTTCTCCCTAATGTAATGAAACATTTATTATTTAAAAGAAATTGTAGTAGAAACTGCTACAAAAATTGAAGCAACTGCAATTTATAGCCAATCAAAGTTGAAACGTCCTGTGCCAGACCCACCTACAAGTTGGTTATCAACTGGCAAGTTGTCCTTTCGCGTACTTCTAAGAAGCGAAAGGCATCAATAAACAATTAATCATTTGTAAATTACAGTTAATTTGTATTCAAAATGTTGGTGAGTTTAGTTAATCCATTGAGCCATGTAAGTTCTATTATTCTGGGCAACTTATCCTCACATATGTCATTGATAATTCATGAAAGTGAGCAGCATTTTCACAAAAAGTGGTAAATTGAGAGTCGTTCCAATCGGATTCTGTTATAAGTCTTTTTGTTTTCAAAGCAAAACAGATGTTTGAGTTCTCAGCTTTTTAAAGGAGGATTGCATTCAATTTTCAGAAATTATAAACAGTTGCTTTTCCTCACACTAATACCAGAGAATTTATGTGTGAGGAAGTCCATCGCATCAACTATTCGTGTTTGTGGTAAGTCGTCGTAAAAGCTTAGGCGCAGCTTGTCTCTATCATCTAATTGTGTTTCACTCTCTAAACCAAATTGGGTTGCTTTTCATAAATATTCCAGTCTCTATCCTCCTCAAGTTTTTTAACCCATTTTAGTGATGTTCGGTTCGTTCATGCCGCCTGCTAGCGCCCAAATTTAGCATCATTGATTAGCTTGATTCTATTATGGTACTCAAACAAAAGCTTTTGCTCATTGAGTATCTACGATAAAAGATTTACCTGCTTTCAACTTCGGCTATAACTTCCTCCCTATCAATATCAAGTTTTCTTATGTGGTTTTTCGATAACTGTGCATCTTTTTGTTTTTTGCAATATTCTCATGATCGAAAGGAGTTTGGCTACATTAAATATGGGAAAAGTCTGAAATACAAAGTAAATAAATGTTAACTACAACATCCCTATAGTAGTTTGAATGGGACGAAATAAGCATTTATGAAAAAAAAACAAAGGAAAAGAGAATTGCAGTGATAGTTCCTAACTATTTATTATTTTATTTTTAAAAGTGGACGTTATATACTGATATACTTCGAGCTATTCATTTTAATTGACTGATTCACTTAGAATCATACAGAATTAGGAGCGCGATTATTGCAGCCTGTTGCCCCAATACTATCATTAGGAAGGGATTTCCGGAAAGGTCAGCAAGGCACTATGACAGTCGTTATTCGTATACACTGATAGAGTATATGAACTATGAGACCGATTTCGAGACAGATCCGTGAAATATGATAAATGTATATGCTATTAGTACCCGAAGAGGCACAAACAAAAAAAATAAAATAAATAAATAAATAAATAAATGCTGTAATACTTGCATATGAGGTGTAGTGCCAAAAGTTAGAGTTGAGCAGAATGACACATTTGACAGAAAAAGTAGTGTTATTGAGGGCTTTTGGCAGTCTCGTTTATTTCTTTATATCTCTTACCCAAAAGGAGCTAAAGGGATTATACTAGAATCAATCAAGCTCAAGTTTTGAGTCATATCTTGGCTTGCTTTGTTTATCATTCAATAAGCAGAATGGACAATTATGCAACAAAGAATACAAAAGTGTTAAAAGAGTCAGATTGATCAGCTTTATACAAGTCTTGGGAGTACTCTTTTTTTCCAGTTTGATTAACTCATCTCTCAGTATTATTAACACGTACCTACCCTATTTGGAAAATTTTGGGCAAGAATGTCACTTATTTTCATGATTTAGCTTTTTTTCTTTTTTTTTTTTCTTCATTTTCGCTTTTATTCCTTATCCCCCATATTCAATACGAATCTCGAAATGTCTTCCACGGCCGGGCAAGTATGTGCATTTCTCAAGTAATGAACTTCAATAGCACTCACAAATATTTGCTTTATCAATTCAAGGTTATTAAATGTCGTGCCGCAGTTGCTTGGGAAGCTGGAAAGCCTCTTAGTAAAATATAGATAAGCATTGTTTCTTAGCCAGGCCGACAGAAACTAACTAAACTACATTTATATCAGGCATTGAAGAAGTCGAAGTCGCCCCTCCCAAAGCGCATGAAGTTCGTATCAAAATTCTCTATACTGGCGTGTAAGTTCTTCTTAATTGCATTAAACACGTGTGTAAAACCCATAAAATACTTAATTTCTAAATGCTTATTATCAAAGTTGTCACACTGATGCTTACACCTTATCCGGTGCTGGTAAGAGCTTGACGTTCGCATAACTCTGTTGGACAAATTCAAATCTCTCACTCGAAACTGTTATATAGACTCCGAAGGTGTATTCCCTGTTATCTTAGGTCATGAAGGCGGTGGTATCGTTGAATCCGTCGGAGAAGGAGTTACTGACGTCGCTCCTGGTGACCACGTCATTCCCCTCTACACTGCTGAATGTAAAAAGTGTAAATTCTGTACCAGTGGTAAGACTAATCTCTGCGGGTCTGTCAGAGCCACTCAAGGCCGTGGTTTGATGCCTGATGAAACTACACGTTTCACCTGTAAAGGCCAATCTATTTACCATTATATGGGCACCTCTACATTTTCCGAGTACACTGGTAAGGGAATAAAGTATAAATATATGACTTCACTAGGGAGATATCTGTTTGAATGCTGAGAAGGAAGGAAAAGCTTAACTTAATGAATCACATAATTAGTGGTTGCCGATGTCTCTGTTGTCAAGGTTGATCCCAAGCCCAGCCTTCAAAAACTTTGCCTTTTAGGTTGTGGTATCACCACTGGCTATGGCGCTGCCACCAAAACCGTACAAGTTGCTGAAGGTGACAATATTGCCGTTTTCGGTGCAGGCTGCATTGGTTTAAGTGTCATTCAAGGTGCTGTTCAAAATAAAGCAAAGAGAATTATTGCTATCGATATAAATGACAAGAAAGAAAAAGTGGCTCGTGAATTTGGTGCTACTGAATTTATTAATCCAACTAAATTGGATATTCCTATTCAGCAACACCTTGTCAACATCACTGATGGTGGTCTAGAATACACTTTTGATTGCACTGGTAATGTAGATGTAATGCGTGCCGCTCTTGAATCTTGCCATAAGGGTTGGGGTGAATCTGTGATTATCGGTGTCGCTGCTGCTGGAAAGGAAATCTCTACTCGTCCTTTCCAACTAGTAACAGGTCGTGTCTGGCGTGGGTCTGCATTTGGTGGAGTTAAGGGAAGATCTGAAATGGGTGGCCTCATTGAAAAATATCAACGCGGTGAACTGAAGATCGACGAATTTATCACTCATACTTTCGATTTGGAACAGATTAACGATGCTTTTGAAGCTATGCACAGTGGAGACTGGTAAGCTTGACATAGAAGGCCTCATGATAATTTCTCATTTCTAAGCACTGACGTTTCTTCTACCTTTAAACTTAGTATCCGTTCTGTTCTCACTCTCCAAAAAGAGTAAAAGAAGGGTTTGAGTTGTTTAGAAATTTTGAAATTAAATGTGAAATTATTGTTATGAATGTATCGTTGTTGTAAGGAACAGCAGTGTAGGGATGACTTTTGCATGCCCAAGCCGGCCTTGTGTGTGTTTCTTTTCCAGCTTTCCCCTATAATTTTGAGCGTACGAGGAGAGATACAATGAGAGATACGATGATGACATAACGGATAGCTTAGAAAAACGTACCAACGGAAAGGTACTTTTCGAGCGCGCCACAAAAGCGTAGAGCATCATCCGAATGTAACAGTAGTTTTCTGCGGCGTTAATGTTCGGTTTTTGATAGTCGTCATCGCTCACGAGAAGCTGGTGTTTGATAAGGAGGTGATGCTTTTTTCATAATAACAATCAACAATAACGTTCTTAGTGTAACTATGTGATATGACAATGATATTCAAAGGTTGTTCATACGTGGAGGTACAAGGTTGATTCTCGTAATTATCTTTCTACAATGAACTTGCATGGCTAAAATAAGTAAGATAAGGAAAAGGATTCTTTTTGTATGTCAAAGGCGCGTGTAGTCAGAAGTTCTCAGTAGGCTCCCATCTCATAGCATTGCGGAATGCAAGAGTTTTCATTTAAACTCTGTTCATTACGGATAGCTATAAAGATGAGAAGGGTTCCATTCCAGAGAATTCAAGAATATAAAGAGATGATTTATTCCATGATTTAAATAGCCGTTATACGTAGAATTATAAATACGTATACGCTTACAAGCAGCTCTTATCTGGCTCTTCATGATATCAAAAATACAAAAATGTTCAGGCGTATGTCAAAACACCGAATGGCATAGGTTACTATACAACGACAATTAAACTCGACCAGTCACATTGGAACTGCCTCCTTATAATTATATCACTACTTTCTCATAAATAAAGCCATAGACAAAAAGAGGAGAGTCCATTATTTGGCAAGCGGTTGTATAAAATTCATAGGTAAAACGTTTGTTTGGTATGCAGAAGCAGCATTATCGGTGTCAAGATGTGTTTGTGCTGCAAAGCACTTACGCCGAAATGTACATGGCTGGAAATGTAAATAAAAGTGATTAAAAATAAATCTTGTCTATTTTTATTTAAGAAACGTGCAACGTAAACAGTTGCAGTACATGTGTCATTGTACATTCGAAATATATGAGCATACAAAGAGATTCATCAGAAACTTCTCTATTCACACTTTACCAATCAATTCATGATCCAGATCACAGAAAAGCCCTTTCTGGGCAAATTGAAGAACCTCCTTTTTTCATTTAAAAATGAAAATGTTCAAACCTCCTTGGAAAAAACTTCAGGAGACTTTTGTTCAACCTAATTACGCATCTCAGGGTATATAATGCATATAAAGTTGTTGTTTGGACCAACTATAGTACTAGCTGCATACATTAAATTTAATTTTTATTCTTCTTTCTCCACTATTGTTCATTTTTTCTAGTTTTTTCAACAACGTTCTCTTGTCACTGGGCGTAATCACCTTGTCTTTTGCTAACTAACAAAAAGGAATAATCCATATCACTCAATAAATTCACAAACAAAACAATGAAATCAATGAAGACCACTCTTACTACTGTGGCAGTCGTCTGCTTCTTGGTCCTTTGCTTATTCAGTACTACGGCTTTCGCCAATAGCGACTTTGATACTCCCCAAAGCATGAACAAAGCTGATGCTACTATTTTGGAATCAAGGTTTTCAAAGCGTTTGGTAGATCGCTACAAGAAGCATAAAGCCCAAGAAAAGCGAGGTGAGTCGACAATACCAGAATATTAGCGCTGATTACATTGAAAAAATGATATACTAACCTACTATGCATTTGCTTGCTAGGTACAACGTTTTGCCCATACTACAAATGTTGAATGGTCTATGTGCTAGTCCTACATTTGCCAATTCTCTTCAGCTATTATTTCCTTTTCTAAATGTGTTGTTGTGTATGTATTCGAGTTTTTCGTCACATCAATATCATAGAAGTTGTATTATCATTGTATTCATTATTTATCACTTTCTTTCATAAACATACTTTACATAAAAAGAAAGGTCAAAATAAAACTTCTAGAAGAATGTTACGTTTTGTTCGCTATTAAAAAAGCACTTAAATGTCTACTGCTCAACGTACTTATAGATTTGAGGCTAAATAAGCGACAATTTAAGCTGCCCTAATGCTTGAGGCTAATGGTTTAGCAAAGAATGGTAGAATGTATAACTTCCTTTTATGAAAAGCGGCAGACCGATAAGAAAAGGAGATACGAATTTAAAGGCAGTGGTAGGGCGAAATAGTTGATCCATGAGCTTGATGGTCTGTTTCACAAGAGACTGACAGAATGAATAAGGAACTGCTGATGTGCATACTCCGTAATCATCAAATGCTTATAAGAAGAAGCAGTACATAGTGGTTCCGGCTATTCTTTGAGTTTTTAAACGCTTAAAGCTTTCCCTCCTTCTATTCCTTTCCTTTTATTTATCTTTTGGACTTCTACACTTTCTTCTTATTCTAAGCAAGCTATATACTATCATGAAACCTTTCAACACAGTACTCAAGTCTATCGTCATTTTAGCATTTATCACGCAGCTATCGATTGCTTTTCCTTTGGTGGCAAGATCCCCATTATCTTTGACTAGCACTGTTGGGTATATTCAGAAACGAAGCAGCCAACGACAAGGACAACCGATTGATCTGAATACAGCGGTACAAGCAGATTACGCTCAATTAAATAGAGTGTTAACTCAAAGCGATTTATTTTTGAGATTCAGAGATAACGGACCTCAAGAATAATAAAAAAAGCTTATTTAGAATGTTTTTTCAACCTTTAATTATAAAAATGCTTCAGAGGGATAGATTTGATTTCCTTCCTTTTGCATACTATGATAAACAACAAAGTTATCATCTTTTTATTGATATAGATTAAGTTGTGGGTGAAAGCGAATTATAATATGTCCATTAGTGATAGAGAGAACGATCTTATTTGGTGCAAGCAGAATCTTTCTTGAGATATCTGCATATCACGATCATACCTTTAACCTTACGCTCTAACCTTAATTGTATCTATCTGTATATAATGACAGTATTTACCTTCGTCTAGTAAGAAAGGACAGAAAGCTAGGTATGATTCAGAATCTTTACTTACTTGTATTCTTCATGAAAATAGAAATAATTGCGCGGTATTAAAATAAAGGCCTGCTATACTTTTATCCAATCTTTCCTCAAATTGCTCAAGATGAATATGAAAAAGCTTCACGCTATCTCACAACAACTCTTGTTCTCTCTATCGATACTGCTCAAGCACTGCAACTGTAAATGAAAATTAGTAAGTCACTATCTACATCAAACAAAATATACAAGACTTAGTCATGAAGAAACGTGATTTTGCCATTACTTCTGTGCTTTCCGAAGCGGCACTTGCAATGTAAATAGTAAGAGGGACTGGAATCTAAAGAAGCAACAGCATTTCACGAAGAGCAACAACGCATACAGATGAAGAAGCATCTCAAGTAGCAGCATCATCTTTTATAGAGTACCAGCAACTCTACCTATCAGATGTAACAGCTATATTATACCGCCTTCTCCTTATTAGATGCCTCCAGCTTCTCCTATTCGAGCTGCCTATAGACTTCAACAAAACAGTTATAATCTCTTGTATAGAGACGCAAATATAGAAGAAAATGTTAAATACAATCCAAAAGTTGATACGATGATATCAATAATGCTCCTTTTAACAACGGTGTATCTGCAGATACAGAAACGTAAGTAAGCATGCATATTCATGGCTGGTTAGTAAGTTTAGAAACCTTATTGTTTAAAGACTAATAGGGCTCTGTAAGAATAAATACATTAAGCTCTGGAATATTAATAAAGTCTCCTTGGTATACTCACATCAAGAATCTACTTCATGCCTTTTTGCAATATTCGTATTCGTACTGTCAGATTGTTATAGTTTCAGTGTGTGTAGTCCCCAATAAATAAAGGTTTCGTAAGGGGAAACAATTGAATTATAATCGCACGTATATAAATCAAGTTGGCTCGTAATATTTCATAAATTGTAAGTAGGCATCTTTTCTGAGAAAGAAAGGAGAGAGGTAACATTATAAAAGAATTCAATCGTGGGGTATAGTAAAAAAAAGGGAGCTATAAGCTCTTACTAACCTTCAACCATAGTTTGGATTATAAAAGGAACGAAAAAGTTAAAACAAGCCAAACTTACAATTCATAGAAAACTTTTACATTTTTTTCTTACTGTATTGAAGTAGTTAATTCTATTGATAATTATGTATAATCACAACCATAAATATGCTCTAACTGTATGTCTGATTGCTATTACACTTGTCTCATCATGTATTGCCGCCACTGTTGAACCATTACCTCAACACCAACAATCGGTTATGCAATACAGTAAGAGGGGTACATTGGACGCTCAACCCATGGTCAAGCTAGCACAAACTGGATTAAAAGGAATCTTGGGTGTCACTAAACATACTGTAGACGGTGAATTTGATATTTTGGGGCGTCACAAAGGTGGTAGCGATAGCGATGACGAGGAGGATGATGATGAAGATAAACGCAGAGGGCGTGGTTCAAGGACGTCTCATCATACAGGATTTGGTACCGATCTCAATAATAAAGTAAAGCATAGAAATCAAGGCAAGGCGAAAAAAGCAGGTACAGCAACAGCAAGTGTTGCTCCAGCTGGTAAGAATGATAACCACGGTAAATATGGTGTGAAACCGATGAATGACACGACAGCCAAGAAGCTGATTAAGAGAAATATTGCCGACAAGAAGAATTACAGAAGGAATGTGTCCTCTGTTTCTGCTCCTTTCAATGTTCAAAGCCCTAAAACGTTCAGTGAGCATGATGATGTGATGAAGAATAGTATGGAGCCTGCAATAGGCAGAAAATAACACTTGCTCAACTTATTTCCAGCGAGGAGATAGAGAAGTAAGATTTAAGATCTGTATATTTTGCAGCTTAAATACCATGCTGCTAATCCTCCCTTAACCACAATAACTATTGTTCTAAATTATTCATAACTCTTTGCATATTATGAGAAGCATTGTTTATTCGACTTTTTCTCAGCTATATACAGCTTAGTCTATTCAAATCGATCTATAAGCATCTATTTCTTGACAATAAATATGCATATTGAAACATAATTTTGAGAGTATATGGTGGTTAAGAGGTAGAACATATTGATTGATACAAGAGCTGATTTTCTAGATTAATGACATTTCTTCTACTATAAGCTGTTGTGGAACAAATTGTGTCGTCTGTGCCCAGACTATGTACGTCCCATAAAATGATCTTATCGTCATTAAGAGATTCTACCGTCCTCCTTATTGCTTCTGTGAAAGCCGAACTACGTCCAGTATTCCAAGCAGTTCCTCTAATAATGCTACAACAGAAAAACTGGGGCGTACGTATAATCATCAATTGACGGGAATAAATGTTTCGCCTGACCTCCTTTAAAAATCGTTCAAAGGCCACCATAAACTCTTTGGGCGAGATTTTCAAATGCTTGATTTCGTTATTGCCTATGCCCAGAACAATCACATCTGCCGTTGCTGCTGTCTCTTGGCTTTTGGTCATGTGTTCTAAAATTGTTTCTGAATGCTCAACAATGTTGTAGTCCGATAGAGCATTATAATATATGCTTGTATTGACACGCCATGCGTTATCAAGGATATAAGGGATTGAAGAGTTTTGAATCCATGGGTATAATGACTTTTCTTCCTCCTCCTCATCGATATTATTGCAAACACATTCAGGCTCTATGATATGTTCGCCATCGTCTATCTCTTTCGTTTTCTTCGGATCTACATTACACTGTCGATGGCCACTGAAGGCTACCGCTTTTAAGTTCCTTTTCAACTGAATGTCTCCCCATGCGTGTAAAACTTTCTGGTTTAAGCATTGTGATATAGTGTATCCTAGACTTTTGAACTGAAGCTGACATGGATCGTCTGGTATAAACACTTTATCTGCTTCCTTGAAATCATTCACAATCGTGCTTTCATAGGCGGCGTGAAAACGTTGATATAGATCTTTATAATATTCATGATTGAGTAATTGCATCATTGCAGTAGGATTTACCCAAGTTCCTGATAACCTATTATCGCTACTGCTACTACTTTTATGATAATTGGAACAGTTAGATAATAATTGCCTCTGCTGCTGCTGCTGCTGCTGCTGCTGCTGAACAACAAGGTAATTGGATGATCTATAATGGAAAGGACGATATTGATGCAATATTGGTATCTCCCAAAAATAAGATCGATATTCGCTGCTGACGTTCAAGTAATAGTTGTCGGGAAAAAGAAATGAAACAGAAGCAAAATAAACATTGGGTTGATTGTGATGTTGTTCTAATTGAATGCTTTTTTTGGTATAATTTCCTACGGCAAACATAACAATGCTATCTTGTGGACCTAAGTGGTCAGATGCTTTCGCGTTGGATGTTGTTGTTATAGATTTGGCTGGTATCGGACCGAGCTGATATAAAATGGAATGACATAAATCAGCTAGAGTATATCAACCATGTAAAAGACTATACTTACTAGTACGACAATGCATATTTCATCACCAGGGTTAATGTACACATTTCCTCTTGTAAAAATGCCGTCCGGCCTAAAGAACATGGCCTTATCCCTCCAACCATCCCAATACATACGATCGCTTGCACTATAAGTAAAGATCAAACGAGTTTTCTTATTAATTATCTTATTTGAAACCGAGACGAAAAAGATGACCAGCTTTACAGCCATTGTACATCAACTAGGTCACATATGGAAGGCTTCTTAAGTGGTATCTGGTTTGTGTTTGCATTCAAACTTGACGGTGTTGACGATGAGGAAGGTGACAGGAAGAGCGGTTTGTAGTTTATGCAGAAACTGGTTATAAAAATACATAGTATGAATGTAATCGTAATGAAGAGCCTGTTTTGTTTTCTGATAAGGTTTTTCTTGGCAAATGTCAGCATTTTTTTAACAGTAATAATAAAGCATCGATAGGTATATTGTTTTGAAGTGAGTGAGAGGATTTAGAGAGAGTATTTCAAAGAAAAAAATAAAATAAAATGAAACAAGATATACAGATTTGAAAGGAGTAAGAGTACCAAGAGTTAAAAAAAAAGAGGGCAAACTGGGGAGTAATAGAAATAAAGACAGGCGACGATCCTTCTTCCTCATCAATTTTATTCTGTAAGACAAAAAAGCCTTTTAAACTGCTGTAACTATTTGTCCTACCTGGAGATTGGTAACCCAAGTCGCGATCATGGACAAAAATGGGTTGCTTCATAAAGTAGCTGGTCGAGTTTTTCTCAAGCTTTCATTTTTATTTTAATAATTTGTTCCATTCTTGAGCAATGGGTTATCTATCACGTCTGTCAAACGGAAACTCAAAACAAAGTGATTCAAATGTGTAATCACACTAAAAAATGATGGTATATCACTGGACTTTATTGGCTAAGCCGAATATGAAGATCTCCTTTAATGGTATGCTAAACGAAATTGCCCGCCTACTTTTCGAGTTGCACCACAGCGTATCACAAAAGAAAAGTTTTTTCTTTTTTTGTTCTGCTTTTCGCTGAGCTTTCATTATACTATAGTATTTTCGGTTTTAATGTAGACTTTTTGGACCCAAAATTGGATATTTTGATTGATTTAATTCAGAAAATTTAAGTCGTCATTTTTCGGACTAGTTACTTTTTACATTTGGATAGTTGTAGTAAACATCCGAGGCCCGCCTCTTTTTGCACGCATTGTTGCAGTAAGTTTCGTCGTTTGATCGACCCAGAAGAATTACGTACATTCTCTTTAGCTGCCATTTGAACTGTTTGTCCAGTTGTATTCTATGTAAATGACTCACAATTCTGTATTCTCATTGACTGCTCAGCATCTCTCTTGATCTAAAATCGTGTCACTTTAGTGTCATTTTTCCCTTAAAGAAAGCAATAACAATAGGTGATTGTATAAATTAAGTTAAACACCTGTTTGTTGTCAGTAACCGATGAGGTGTTAAATAAACGTGTCTCAATTAATAAACGTGTTTCGATTTGATGTCAAAATTTAGCGCGTCTAGATTGTTTTTGTTATCAACATTCTAACAAAAAGTTTCAGTTTCGTTGATACCTTTTCCCTTTTCTTATCAGAGTCTAGTTATATCCTTTAAAGAATTATCAAAGAAGTGTTAACAGTGGATCATCAGGTAGATTAAAATAAGATCTCATCACGAGCTACTCACAACGACTGTACTGTACATATTTTGTTTGTAACTGAATGTTTGTATCTTTTGAGCAGCTTTTTTATCATGCCGTCAAGAGAAGCAAAAGTTTACCTTGAAGCAAAGTTGAAGAAAAAGCAGCAAGAAAATATAGAAATTCAGTTCATGATTGCTGTATTCTGTTTACTATTCGTTTATGTACTCTAACAGAATCGTTGAACCACCAATTTTTTAGAAACATGTTTCGATTGCGGATATGAAGGACATGCCTATAAGGGCTCATACTTGTGTCCAGAATATAATGGTAACAGATAGCTGAAGAGGTAATATTTCCTGTTCATTTTCACTGATATTCTGTTCATACGCTTTTCTAGCCAAGAAGCGAAAGTCCGGAAAAGACGACTACGAAACAAAGCAAGCTAAAGATAAAGGCAAAAAGAGAAGGCTAGAAGCAAAAAAAGCATCGCCATCGAATACTGTCATATGCAAGCACTGTGGTCTAAGTTGTCACTCAACTAAAGCTTTCTTTGCTTGCCAACAACATATTACTACTAAAGCGAAGCTCCTTCGAACAAACTATTCAGATAAGTATGAGCTTTACGCTCGGAAACTGCCGCTTGTAACCTACGTGGACGGTGTTTTTGATGCTGAGCGCAGTATCTTACGGAAAGAGCATGAAGGATTCCAGCAAAAAGTGATTGAGCTGTGCAGATTTATACGGGACGTCACAACCAGAGCGCAGCTTTTCATGAATTACTACATTATAAGAAGCGTAATTTAACTGTTCAGGAATACATTTATGAACAAAACTTTTGATACTGCATCTGTAAGCTAGTCTTGGGCCAAAAAATTATCAACAAAGCCTACATTAACTACACTGTGGCTCTGCAATTTCAATCCTTACAGAAAATGGAAATCGCAGTGACATTCATCAACTGCATTAAATGCCAAAAGTCTGCTACATGGCAACGCTGCAGAATAGCAGCAGAAGCAGCAATGGACAGGCAAATATAAACCCAATGATAGTGAAGTTCGTACTTAACCTCACTATTTTAGCCATTGGTAGCAAACATTACGCACTGTAATAGTGGAACAACTGTATCAAATCTACTCACTTACTATGGACATGTAAGGAAGACATTGAAGTTCATTTACTCAACCATATTGAAAATGATCTATTACGCAGATGATAACTGCTTAAAAACTACATTTTTTCATCTTCAATTTGCTATTCTGAAGAAAGCCCTCCCGCTCCCACATTACCTCCAAAAATGCAGACCTGATTAAATTGCTAAAGGGCATTTATAAATAATCAAATTACTTGAATCATAAAGAGAAAGACTCTACATTCCCATTTACTGTTATCAATTAAAGCAATCCATTTATTCTATGAACAAACTAGTAACCCTTTCTCAGACCAGAGATTAAACATGATATAAGAAAAGCCCTTTCGATTGAAACACTGTTATACATACTTTACTAACCCAATCTCGAGCAACGGTGAAAGCATTCTTTCAATGATCCGAAACGTACTGGGCCCAAAATAACAGAGGTACTGGCAAAACCTCTCAAATATTTTTATTTTTTTCAAGCCGATGCCTAGTCTTACCGTGCTGCTGAAAATATAACTTGTCGGTATGTTTCATGAAAAACTACGGAAGTCTACTCATAACGGTATTCCTCAGCTAAGCATACCTTGAAGAGAAGCCCTCTAAATTAGCAGTGAAAACAAGAAACAAAATGTTAGCAAAGCTCACGGGATCGAATAACCTGATGCAGTAGATTAGTGGGATACTTGAAGAAACAAAGCAGTTAACGCTTCCTCTTCATTATCACGTATAGCCTGCGTTCCAAGAACAACAAATGAAATGGTTACGCTTTCGTTTTTAAATAACTTGACATCATCCCTTTACTAATTTCTACGAAACTACGCAGAAGCACACTCATTACGTGTATAAAGGTGTAAATGCTGCATAATTTTATCGTTTCTCCCCATATAACAAATTGTTTTGTCCAAGAACAACCAAGCATTAGTGCGCTGATGAGCAGTTTATGCGTGGAGGAACAATGTGTTGTGTCAGTATGAAAGCATCTTTTAACTGTATATTCTCGAAAAGCCTGCTCTCGAGAAGCTCTTGATTGCCTAGATTATCGCAATATATTTCGATTTCATGATCATAGCAGTTTCGTGTTCATACGTACACAAATGTTGGTCTTGAATTGTCACCACATCCTTTTTCTTTGGACGTTTCCACAAAACGTGTTATCACAGGGTTGAATATTTTAAGCGAGAGAACGCCCAAATTTTATCGTTCATCAGTTAACCCAGTAGTTCTGAAGATGACATCGTTCCTAAACTGAGGATACGGTTTCGATACATGCTTTTGGCGTCACAAAAAGCAGCATACAGAATAACGTTTGAACATAATAACCAACAGAAAAACCAAAGAAAACAGAAAAAATTTAACTTGTTTCCAGAAAATTGCGACAATGACAACTACTTGAGAAGCATTCAAAAGAAGGATTTTCTACTTCAAAATAAAAGGCCCCGTGGTTCAATTTTTTTTTCATGTCGTACCTTGATGATATCAGCAATGCAACCTCAAGAATATTCAAAAAAAAAAATACAAATTGTTTCAATAAGGATTGAAGCCATTTTGAAACAGTGAGGAAAAGCTGTGTATTTTTTGATGATGAGCATAGCATTTCTTTTTTGATATCAATTATTTTTTGTAATCGATGTGTAAGGAAGTACTTCAATAGCTATCTGTACTAAAGCCTGTTTAAAGCATCAATATCTGTTTTGTATTTAGGGTACGGCTCACATTTCTCTAAATGCATTCCTTCGGTTAGTGTATAGTAAATGTGGGTGGAGGCTTTAAAACTTTAACAAACACGTGAGCTGGTCTATGGTATACTCATCAATGACATGTGAGCTCATTGCTTTTAGCAGTTGGACAGAAAGTAGGGATTCATGCAATACATATTGTTGAGATCCATCTTCCACGAGTATACATAAATCAAAGTCGAAACAAGGAACAAAAAAAAAAGATCGAACACTTAGTTGAAGTAAGTGTAATACCCTTTCATGTTCGTAGGAGCAAATAAGCAATTTGGTAAAAAGCCGACACTGCTTCATATAGTCTCTTATCTCCTCGATTTTCACATAAAACAAACTTTTAGCCTAAAAAATAAACAGTCAGCATCATCTAAACAAAGTAATTACAGAGGTTTTCTTTCTTTGGGTTGTACACATAGAGATGCACTCTTAACCATTCCTCTTCTGTAAGAATACTGTAAAAGTTGAGATCTACTTTTTTTCTTCTGATTCTGTTGAAGCCAATACAATTTCCCTCCTATTATAAATAGAGACAAAACACCATTTCATGTAATATCTTTCCTTCGCTCTTCTTCATTGTTCGGTTTTTGTTACATCCCTCATCTTTTATACCAAACTCACTCCTCTAATTTATTATTCTATTCCTTCCTACAATGAAGGGACATAAATCAACACTTGTCAGAGAAACGTTTTTTGGCTATATTGAAACGACTCGAGACTCTCTTTTACTATTTGAAGCGTGCAAAAGAGGTCTCTTACCACGTATTACCAGACGATTACAAGATAGTGAGCGCATTCTAATGATTAAAAGTGGTGCTATTTTTTGTTTTGACGAAAAAGAAAGCGGTATCAAAAGATGGACAGATGGTCTTGTCTGGAGCCCATCTCGTATCATGGGTAACTTCTTGGTTTATCGAGAATTAGAAAGCAAAAAGCATCAACAATTGCTACATGGCAGCAACAATAAGCAGTTAGGGAAAGAAGCAGTGACAGAAGAAGAGAATGACGACGAGATAGACTATTTCAATTACCATATCATGAAAAATAAAGAGAACAACAGCAGCAACATAAAGCCAAGTAATGAAGATGAAGCGCAGCATCCACATGAAAAAGCAATTGTTGGCTCATTAAGAACAAGCCATTGCTCTTCTTACAAATTCAAGCGGTATGGCTTGATTAAAAAGTCAATCTCATTAATTGTAGATGGCGTGCAACAACATATCATCAGTTACTACAATAAGGAAGATGTCTTATCATGCAAATTTGCCACACCGTCAAGTATCTTGGAGTTATCTACTCTCAAAGTTTCACCAGGTTTACGTTTAAAACAAAATCTTCGCATCCCAGTGTTTATAGACCATCAGCAAGCTGTAGAAGAAGATACTTTGTAAGTAATTTTATGAATCATATTTTTGATCAAATTTGAGCCTGTAAAAAAACTTACCATTTCATTTTACCCAGATCACTCGTCAAACGCAAGCATCAGTATCGTAAACGAAAGTATTCAGATGTGATCAATGAATTCGAACAGCAGCAACAACGGCGTCATAATTCTTATCACTACCATTACCCTACGTATCAGTCGATAGAGAAACAAAACAACAAAAGATTACTGCTAACCCATCCGGATTTGAGTCATAGGTTCAGTTCCCAAATGCCAATGACAGATCACCATAGTAGTGCAATTACACCAACAACGACAATGTCTGTGACACCCAATACGCAGCATCAACAAACTATCCCTGAACCTTCTATCTCATCCAATCAATTTTATTACCCCTCTGCAAGCATTCATCACATGACTTCATCACAACAACAAATCTATGACATAGGTCAGCAAGCTTCTTCTGTTTCAAATACAGAAAGCAGTGTTTTTGATACTGTAGCCAATTCTATTTCGTCCGCGACCAAATGCCTAGCAATGGAACAGCAACAGCAGGCACTACCGCACACAGTGGACACTTCTTCTAATAGTGAATCATCGTTGACGAGCTGCGACTTAAATTCTACCGATACAACAACTACTGCAGCAATAACAACAACAAGAAAAGCAGAATTGCCTGCCTCTTCTGCTGCATCAGGATATGGTAGTGGCCCTTATCACCATCCTATTCTCTCTTCCGTAGAAGAAGACTTTCGTCAGGGTCAAAATCCTCATCAACACTTGTTTTTTTCAAACTCCTTTCATAGCATGAACAATGCCTCTTTAAGCAATAACGGTCATTTCCATTTAGTTTCTGCTAATGCTCATATGGCTGACATGAATTTGTTGCTAAAAGCAGGCTGGAACGAATTCGAAATTCAATTATAAGTAGAATACGTTTTTAAATAAAGTATATACCATATAATTGTTGTGTATAACAATGTTATCAGAAATGCAAATTGCTGCTTCTTGTTTGCAAGCTGGACACAGACAACGAATCTCGCAACTAGCTTTCGAAGACTCTGTGAGTATCATTTTCGGGCCTGTTATGGGGACGATGACTCAAAACGGTAGAAAAAAGTATGCATTTGTAAGAAGTTGATGAAGTTGGTTGTATTTATACACTACAAGAACAGTGCTTCTTTTTGGTTTGTAGCCTGTATATTGTACAAATGAGCATGGCTTGAACAAACACCATGTGAAGTATTCTGTTGCATATTCAGTTGTGCATTGACACATCTATCATAAATCTATTCTCTCAGGGCTACAGAACATTAATAAATTATCAGTTTTTTGCACGCACAAGCAAAAGAATAACAGCAGTTATATGAGAAAGGTGAAGGGAACATTCTCTACCTAGGATCGGTATTGTGCTTTCGCTATGGATGCATTTTTGCATCTTTAAAAGACTGTTGTATGAGGTTATAAAGTGATTAATCAATCAATGCCTTCTTTCTCTGTTAAATAATCAGTGCTATCATCTCAGCGTTCAGACTAGCTTTTCTGTCATTTTGACTAGCTTGACTTTTTTTGACGTTCAGCCTACATAAGCTTGTAGGTATGGGATTGTTCCGGTCGTTCGTAGTTCCATGATCTCATGCTCGTTTTGCTAACGTTTCCGTTAATGTTTGATTTGTTTGTTCACAAAGCCCATTTCAGTCCGACGTTCGTAGTAAGGTGTCGGCAACCGATATTCTTGGAGAAGTTTCAAAGTATACAGATTTGAAAATAGAACTACGGTTGGTAAACCAGCATCTTGAAAATCGACTATAGGTTGTCATATTATTTCTTTTTTCAAGTGTGCATCAATGTTTCCTATTGAAAGGTAACAGTGATCATAAAGAACATACTGCTCAACAACCTATTGCCGATTACACTCGTTAACTGCTAATTGTTATCGTTATCATTGTTCCAGCGGCAATCTGAACGACTTTATCATAAAGACAAGAAGAGGTTTAAAGAAAAAAGTAAAAGAGAGGAAGAATCATCGACGCGATCTGAAAGGCAAAATTGGTTTCACGTTATATCAAATCGGTTGCACTGAAGAAAGAGAACTTCTATTGATGTACGATGTGTCCTCTTAATGCTTTTTAAGAGCAAGTGCATTCTTGATTAGTTACTACAGGTATCTCGTAAACAATGTTTATCTTCTAGGATACAAATAAGTATACATCAGCATTGAAAGCATCTATTGAGGACTAAATAGGCAAATTACCAGAACTGTTGTAGTCGTGGCCAATCGATTTTAAAAATACTTCATTTAAAACCGTGCATAATGAGAGTTATAAAGTGATCTTTGGTACTATTTCAGAGCCAAGCTCATCAGTGCAAAATATTCAGTGCTCTTTGGACCAGAAGGCTTTACAGCATATGCCTTCTGCAGTGGAAATAAAAAGGAAGATGTGGGAGGATCAACTTTAATATAGAAAAAGTCAAGGTTTAATCCAAAAAGTGCATTTTTTCCCTATTTTCCAACGTAAAATGCAAAAGCACAAACCTTCTCTTTCTGGATTAAATTGTCTGACTTCTCCTATTCATAAAAAGTTCTGTCATGAATCGGTGTGGCGCTTTCCCAAGAACCGGATTTTTGTTTACTCAGCAACAACTGTAAAATCACCACGTCATACGGAGAGAGGCATAGTGTGTGGGACAACGAACACAGCTGCCTGAAACCGGAAGAAAATCAAATGCTCAAATTGACCTAAAAATGCAGTGAATCAAATAATTCCCCCTTTTGTTCGACCTATATCTTCTACTGCAATATATCCTTCTCCTGCATCTTCCCTTCCCAAAGGCTTACTCATTGACATCCGTTACATCTCAATTTTATGCCAATGACAAAAGTTACCTCGAATCTACCAATCGCTTCACTTCATCAGGGTAGCACCACGGTCAATGTCGATCCTCATTTAGAGACCACACAACCTTACGACTTCAAATATATTGAAAAGACTGTTTATGAACTATCTGAAAGAGATGATATTTTAGGCAGAGATGTCAAGACCGCCTTGAAAGTGATAGAAGAAGCATATACAAATTATGGGTAAGAGATAGGCACACATAGAACGCAAAAACAGGGATAAGCACTGTTTCAAAAATTAATGACAAGTTACAAAAAATCCTTTATCGCTTTAGATTTAATACTGTAGCATTATCATTTAATGGAGGCAAGGATTGCACAGTGTTATTACATTTAGTAGCAGCCGTGGTATCAAAGTTAAATTTACATCGTGATAATGGACAGCGAATCCGTACAGTGTTTGTCACCTATCCAAATCCATTTCCTCATGTCGATGCGTTTGTTAAAGTGTGTATACAGCGATATAAACTGGAATGTGTTTATATACCAGGGCCAATGAAGAATGCATTGCAGCAATATTTAGATGGATCGAAACACCCCACAGAAGCAATATTTGTAGGCATTCGTAGAACGGATCCTTATGCTCGTAAGTTGATGAATATCGAGAGCTATGAAAAAAAGGACGTGCTCCACTGACAGTAAACTCTTCTTTATAGAACACTTGACACATTTCGATCAAACGGACAAAGGATGGCCTGACTTCATGCGAGTACATCCTATTATTGATTGGAGTTATAAAAATATCTGGGATTTCATATTCCAGTTACGTATACCCTATTGTTCCCTATATGATGAAGGGTAAAGATGAATTACTCGTTTGCCGCTTTCGACTGTAACGGGAACTGATACCACTTTATTTTTTTCTGATCTGATAGATATACATCACTAGGTAGCATGGAAAACACTATTCCGAATCCAACCTTAAAAGATCAGAACGAACCGAGTGGCTATAGACATGCTTGCAAATTAGAGAATGAGTTGCATGAACGTGATGGTAGAATTGCTTCATCAAAAAAATAAGCATGTATATTAGGATACTGGATTGCTTTTGATTAGAGCATACTAAAGCGTCTTTGAATTAATACTCATCTGTTATCAGCAAGAAAATCAAATATTCCCCGCCTTATTATACAACATGTATCAAAAATAGAAACTGTCATTCTTTAAATCCTTAGTTTATTAAAATGCGCGGATATATTGTATAAATGATTTGAATAAATAAAAGGGAAGAACAGAAAATTTATTCCGTGAATTTGAATAAATCATGTACGTATTTTTCCAAGACAATATACTTGATACACTCTGCAGGTGCTGCTGCTGCGACTGTTGTTGAATCTTGTTCTATCAATTTAGTTGTCGTATTTGTTGAAGAAGCAACAGTAACATTATTAGCAGAAGTGTTAGCTGTGGTAGACAAAATCTTTGCCACAACAGTTTCCTTGGCTATATTATAAATCGATTTGACTTCTTCCAACAACTTTTCACTATCACGTATGCTGCTACTATTGCCACCGCGTCCCCCTCCTCTTCCTTCTGAATTCAGATCTACTTTTAACACATGACAAACCTTTTTCAATATGAATAAATTGATCCACATGAATAAGTACTGCTTGTGTTCAGTAATCAACTGATTCACTATCATCTGTTTTGACGAAGACATAGGTGATGTATTTGATGAAAAGATGCCTAAATGTCTCTTGTATGCCTGATATGCATTTTGAGCAGTTAGTAACACTCTTTGTTTCCTTTCATTCAAATCCATTTTGCTATCCACTGCATTCAGATCACTCATTAAGTATTCATTCGTAATCTTTAAATAGTTGTTTGACTCGGTGTCATTGTATTCCATTAATTGAGCTGCCGTGATCTTCGACATGGGCAAATAAAGTATGTATACAAGTAAGAGTAGTTGCTTGGATTGGAATAAGGACGATGGTAGACCATCGTATAGGGTATCGCTGTCAAACTGGAAATTTATTTGTTGTGCGTACAAGCTGGCTATTTGATGAGCGAATGTGAATGCTTTGTTTTTGGATAGAATCTTGTTCATTTCATGAAAGACAAACTGAACAATAGCTGTATTGCCCTGATGCGTTGCCAACATCGAAGAGTTGGTGTTTTTGGTGATAGCTTCTGCTATCAAATCGCGTAGTTTTAGATCAAAGCCCACTTCTACAATTTCTGGCGCGTCTAAAGATTCATTTACAAGCTGTATCGACTTCTTCAAGGACAATAATAGCTTCTTCGTACCAGCATGGGATTTGTTTCTCAATTTAGCCGAAATTAAAAACATCAAAAATGATTTAAGTACGGCAATAAAGAGATACTTCTTGTCATTGCTGTTACGAATAGCTAATCTTCCATAATAGGACAACATGGAGAAGAGGATGTTGATACAGCCTAGAAAAGTCGGTTTTTCAAGGTTCATCCCTCCTTCAATAGAAAAAGTCCTGTCCCAATTGACAACGAACAATGATTTGGGTTGATAAGGTTTTCCGTCAGTAATCAGATAGTCTATCCAAGACTCGCAAACCACATAAGGAACATCTTTCATAACTTGGAAATAATGAATGACCATCCACAGATGGTATTTATCTTCATCCTCTATGAGAAAGGTAGTCTCTAAGGGTAGTATCTCAATACGTGTTGTGCTGATGTTATTCGATTTCCCATTTGTCAATAACTGAATAACTTCTGTTTGATATCCCACACAGACTAAGCGGGTTAACAATTCAGTCGTAGAACGGGAAACTAAAGTATAAAAAGATAAACAAAAAGTATTATACCCCTTTTTCTCAGAACCCATCTATATTAACAACGTGCACTTACCGAAAGCTTTGTCGTCTCCTTTTTGCTCCATCATGGTAATTAGATACTGCCTCACCCATTCCATCATCTCCTTTTTGTCATTCCGTTTGTACAGTAGCCATTGCCAAAAAATATCAACCGAAAAGGGGAACGATGCCATGCCTTCTTCGTACACCTGTTGAATAATCTCTGCATGCTGTTTCAAAGGATCAAGTTTGGCTGGATCGGCATAAATGGCTAGTTCCAATTTTAAAGCCGCAAGGTATTCGAATTGTGAATAATCCTGTGTCAATGCACACAAAAGTTGGTAGGTTTCGTTTAACTGCTGGTATCGGATGGTTACATTCAGCAAATATCGACTCATGAATAAAGCAGTCATGTCAAAGTTGCTTGGAATATAATTTCCAATTGTACGATAAAGTGTATCCAAAGGTTCGGTACAACGCTTGTTCAACGCATGAAAGGGTTGCGACGTGAATTTGAGCATACGGAAGAGAGGACTAAAGAAAATGATTGGATGTTTGAAATTCTGAAAAAGAGACTCTACAGAAGGATTGGAACAGATGGTGTTGGTACCATAACACCAACTATTTTCAATGAAACTCTATAAGCAAAGTGACGGAAAAATTAAAAGTTGGTAAATCAGTTTACAGGTAAGTTCAGCATAGCCTTTTGCTATACCTTATTTGCACCCAGACAGGTACTTATTGTTGCTGTATAATCATCCACTTTAAAAATTCTTTGAACATCTGGCACTATTTGTGAATTATTCTTGGTACTGTTGCTATCTGCAGTAGCACTTCTGTCTTCAAATGCGGCAACCGCCTGACGAATTTCTTGTTCTACTTGAAGCAAAGTATTGCTAATAGCTGTTTTATCAGATTGTTGATACTGAGGGTTCGACTGCTGTTGTATTGTTGTCGCTTTCATCGTTGGTGTTGTTGTTGTGCTTGTCGAAGGAACAGCAATTAATGTTTTTAAACGTTCCGACAACGAGATGGTATTCGTCGTAGAGGTACTTGTAGGAATGATGGGTATAGCCGTCGAATCGTCCAAATTGTTTACAGTGGGTGATGGCCTTGCAGCGGCCTTTTCATGACGTTGCTGTTTTCGCATGTTAGGGTGATGATTTGAAGGAATTTGCCGCTCAAAATATGGTAATTGTTGTGGGTATCGATTAGGATGCTGTTGCTGCTGCTGCTGATGATGATGCCGGAAATTAGAGAAAGGACTACGAGCTGGATAAATATCATTATAGCGATCATTTGAGTTGCTCACTGGCTGACGATATAGATAATAGGCCGCTTTAGGAGATGGATGATGCTGACGCTTTGTACTGGTAAGCTTATCTTGAGCATAATTCTCATCCAAAGCACTTGGTACTATCCTATCCGCATCCCCTCCCGTTTTCCTCTTCTTCTTATTTTGGTTATTATCAGGTATACTAGACGTTGAACGTCGAATCTGCGGCGGACGTAGCTGTTGCTGTTGATGCTGATACCTAGGCTGCTTTAGTTCTCCAGCTTCCAATACAGTAGCATTCTGCATAAAAGATAATCTTGCTTTCAAACCCAATAAATCCACCTTCCTCTTCTGTTCCTCGTCTTCTAAAGTTGCCATTTCTTTTTTCAATGTCTCCACATAAGTCGTAAGAGTACGAATAGATTCTTTTAATCCAATAATTTGTGTGGATGTCTCATTAAGTAGCTCTTCATCATCTTCATCTTCCGAAGAAGATTCAATAACAAGATATTCAACATCGTCTTCATCGCAGCAAAACGGCACAGCTTCAGTTGATTTTGCCATTGTAGGGGACTCGGCAGCTACGTCCGTAACGCTATCATTCTTCTCTTTCTCCCCTTCCTCAAGCGGAGTCAGACTATCCAAAGAACAGGTGCTAGTATCATTGTGATGAATGTCTTCCATAACTATGTCTGTAGCTGATGACACATTCGTTGATACATCTTCACAGTCAATTTCGCTTTCTTGGAGTAAGGGTGCACCGATGCTACCACTGCTGTCTACTACGCTGGTATCTATGCTATTTATTTTTCCCTCTTCGACTTCTTTTTCAACATTGTTATTACTGTTCTCCCACGCTAGCGCTGTTTGTGTTTCCTTTTCGATGTTTGAAATAATCTCTTTCTTTTCATCCAAACGTAGATCTTTAATATCAGCTTTAGTTGTAGCATTATTGGAAGGATAAGGATGAATGAGAGTGGGTTGTATTCTTCGTTTTAACTATCAAAGAAAAGGGAAAGAAAAGTTAAATATCTGTTTTCTGTTTCTACTCGACATTTTCTCAAACCTACGTTATAATCAGGAGGTTTAGAACTTGATGGAGGACTTGGGAAAACGGGAGGCGTAAGGCGCATTCGTGGCTTTCGTTGTCTTTTCCTTGCGGGTTTAGAGACTCCAGTGGATGTCAAAGCTTCTTTGCTTTCTGCGGAATTAGAGATGTTAGCTGATGTCAAATCTCCTTTGGCAGTCAAAGGAGTATATTGATCGAACCCCAAGGCCTCCTTTGATACTCTTTTGCTCATTGCTTCAATCTCTGCCTGCACTTCACGATCCGCAAAAATATCATTATGTATGCTCATAGGAACCGTTGTCGTGTTGGAAAGAGAGGAAGAAGGAGGAGAAGAGGTATTGAAAGTAGATGCATCTATACCGTCCATCGCAGGAGATGCGACAGAAACTGGAGTATCTACTTCCATTTTTTCACCTTCACTATCACTTTCAATAAGGACGACACTTCTCTTCTGTTGCTGTTGTTGACTATTATCCATTGATTCGTTTGCTGCTGAAACTGGCACCCCTTCTACTGCTTTTTTTTCTTTCTTTAAAATCACTCTTTCATTTTCTAAATTCTGTTTCTCAGTAGTCAATTGTTGGATCACTTGCTGTTGTTGTTGTTGCTGTTGTTGTTGTTCTTCTCCATCTGTAACTGTGGATACTTTAGTTTCTCCATTTTCTGCAGGAAGCTGTTGCTGTTGTCGCTGCTGCTGCTGCTGCTGCTGCTGTTGCTGCTGTTGCTGCTGTAGTTGTTGTTGTTTAATGGATAATTGCTGTGCTTCTTCCATCTTGCGAATTTTCTCTTTTAATTCTTGAATTTTGATTTCTGTCTCTTTCAATTTATACGATTGACCATAACTGGTTGGGCTGGGTGTGGAGACGGGTGGCCCGTATGGCGATGATGGAGGTACTGTTGTTATGGGTGGTGTCCACTTGCGTGTTGTGTGATAGTAATTGTCATTCATCTCATCACCATAGTATTGGAAGTCACCGTTGTTATAGTTTCCGTAGTGATTGTTATCCTCATAATAAACCGGGTCTTTATCTTCTGGAAGAGTTCCATACCTCGTCTCTACTATTTCGTTAAATTCTTTATCACTGCCGGTGACAAAACAATATTTGAAGAGCTCATCTGTTTCATCGTCTTTTTCTTGATCATATTTCGACGGTATAAAAGGAAAGTTAAAATGTTGAGGTGGTTGGAGTTGCGTAGGCGATAAAGCAACAGAAGAAATTACAGACATCGTGGAGTTTTCTTCGCTACTATTACTTTTTTTAGAGTTTTCATCACCTTTAATATGCTCATCCATCTTTGAGCAAAGCGTGATCGATAAAACAGAGAAATAACAAGGTATGGAAAAAAAAGGGTAAAGATAATTAAAAACAAAAAAAAATGTTTTCGCGACAAACAAAAAAAAAAAAGCAGAGAAAAACTGAGCTGCAGATTTTTGAAGTGGAGTGAGTGATTAAGGAATGATATTCAAATAATTGCCTTGCTCTTCCTTTCGCTCAGATCTATACATTTTATATCAATCTATCGTTTTCCAACTTGGAATGAATTTGCTTGAATAAGCGCAATGTCTAATACAACTGTTCAAAAACAAGAAGTGATGGACGATGACCATAGTGCGCCCATTTTACCGATACCTGATAAACAATACCTTTCAGTCGAATATCCAGGCTGTGTAAAACGGATCAATAAAGCCATCGCAACATTAGGGGGTGAAAGGGCATTAAGTGATGCTCTCTCAAATAATCGTCGGGTCCAGCTAAGCTATCGACGGGGAGATCCATTTTCTCATCCCATCAATAGTGACACCGTAGCTTGTGCGAAATTATTGGTCAAAGTAACTAGGCGAGTGAAAAGGGACCGCAATACTGGTGAAGTAGTAAAAGAAGACCATGATGGATACAAAGTAGAAATTATGGGCAAGATATTCAAGACTGTACGATTTAGAGGTATTTAACTTGTTGTATAGTTACAGAATTTTTGAGAATTAGCGAGCAATCATATTTAACTTGGTAAACAACAAGAATAGCTATGGCAGATTTCCAGTACCTGGTTCACAAGACAGATAAGATACGTCAATTAAAAGGAGCCTTATTACGCGGTGATGTCGAATCCATCATGAAATATGAAGTCCCAACTGATGATGATGATATGAACAACCTGCGTATCATACCTCCACCTATTTTTTCATCGCTAGATACGCCCTTCGGTTATGGGTAAGAGAAACGATGAATGTATAATTTATGCAAAAGGAGACTAGAGTATTGATAGGTACTCCAAAAAAAAAAATTAGGTATCGCCAAAGTGCGCCAGTAATAAGAGTGAGGGTTAAACAACCCGACGGCACCGTAAGCTTTGTTGTTGAGTTTCCCTTATTCATTGAATTGTTCCTTACCGATTTATCTTACCGACAACTATAGTACAAAGTCAAACTGATTAACCGTAAACAGATGAATTCTCAGCAGATTACCAGTATCCAATATCATGAAGAAACTGTACCTACTCAATCACTCTATAGCCTGAAACCATTCGAAAAGGATGAAGATAAAGCCGTTTGTGATAAAGTGAAAGAATTATTTGAGAAAAGACCTGTATGGACAAGATTTGCTATCAAATGTGAACTACAGTTTCCTGGAGATAAGATTTCACAGTAGTTATCTCACAATTGCTTTTTTTAATAATCCCAAAGAAACGCGTGAACTGACGGCAATACTATTTACGTTATATAGTATCCTGGTACATCATGCTTATACATTTTCAAATGGTCCTTGGAGAGAATGTTGGATTAAATATGGTGTAGATCCCAGAAAGGACGTAACATACCACATGTAAGAAAAAAGTCTTCTCACCTTCTCAGATGATATCTTATAAAACCAACATATCATCCATTCTTTCATAATTTTTTTTTTTTTCTTGAACAGTTATCAATTAATTGATATAAGAAGATATTATCATCCAAATTTAAATGATAATCCAAAAAGAGTACTGACCCTTCGTAAAAATGCACCAAACCTTACAGCATTGACCACACCACAAGCAGTAGCCAAACAAATAGAAAACTCGACACCGTTGTAATTTTCGTTCTATGTTTGTTTGTTTGTTTGTTTATTTTTGATAACCATTCGAATGGGTCGCTCATATTACTTTACATAGAATTCCCGGTAAGCAAGACTACATCTTCACAGGCGTGAGTAAGCCTGGTGCAACCAATGTCTATCAGGTCTGTGATTTGGCAGATCCTGACTTTGTATCTTTCAAGAACAATCCGCTGTACCTAAAACAAGAACCGACGAAAGATGCCGGCTTTTATTACCAATGTGTCTTTACTCGGTTGCGTAAATCAGTGCGTAAGAAGTACCTTGATCTTCTAGAGCGAGGATCTGCAGAATCTTTGGTGGATGATATTACAGATGGGCTAGATAAACTGATCAATGCAGAGAAGGAAAAGTCAACAACCACGGCGAAAGATAATTATGGGAAGCAAGAGTCTACGACGGCTAAAAAAAGCTTATTATTACAACAAGCACAACAAGAAGAGATAGGAGGGGAGAATGATAGTATCAGTTCAGATACAGTTGAAGAAGCTGCTAGACAAGCACTTGCGGAAATGAGCCGAGCTGTTCACGGACATGATGTGAAGAGTGATGCAAGTCGTAATAGTCATACCGATGCTGGTAATAACAGAGCTACTGTTTCCCCTGTAGATACTAGTAAGATTACGAATAAGCGGCTCAAGGATGTTGTAGATGATTATATGAATGAGCTCGAAAAGATCACTGAATTGGACGATGACGAAGTGGAAGAAGTAACTGCTGTCGAAGAGGAAGAAGAAGAAGAAATAGGTGATGAGGAAGAAATGGATATGGTAGACTACGATGAGGATCTAGTAGAAGATAATGAAGAAGAAACAAAAGAACAACATCCTACTAGGAAAAGTTAACTCGACTGACTGCTCATGCCGATGATGGAAGTGACAGTTCTGGTCTACCAACACAGAAATAAGGTTGTCATTCAAATGCTCAGCACTTATTTTGACTGTATACCCCTTTACAATACAAAGAACTCATAGTATCTAAGCGTAGTTGAATATGACTCTCTAATGAGAATACATAACTTTTTTAATCATTCGTACCTTTTTTTTTTTTTGCGGTTTTTCCCTTGGTTTATAGCGCGGTGGTAAGGCTTGAAGCCGAGAAATGGGCCATTTCATCTTTTAGGGAGAATACCTGTGCGTTAGTTTACTACTTTGGAATGTTATCAACATGAATATAAGTTTTCTCTATTCATATCACCAATTAAAAAGGATCTGTAAGTCTGTCTATCGTTCATCTAAAGGGGCTTCTTATCGTAAAACTCTACGCCACTTCATCAGTTATGTATTGTCCTACAATAGAAATGTTACGTTTCTAACTGGAATATGATGATATGAATTCTTAAAGAGCTCATGTTGTGCTCTCCTGAACTTCTTTGTACTCTGTAACAAAATTTTTGTTGCGATGAACGTAACCTTTAGGAATGATTTGTAGATTCTCAAATAGCTATTCACTATAATATCACGTCAAAAGTCTCAAAAGATTTCATCCCACCCAAAGCAGTTTTCCGACGTAAAGCGTACACTACGCTCTATGTCCCAATTACTATTGTTTTCCAAAGAAGAAATATATAGCGAAACAAACAGCAATAAATAAAGGTTCTATTTACTGGTTGAATACATGTAATTTTGTTTTAAAATTTGGAAATCTATTTTATGCAAGCTTAATCTTACCTCTGCGGGGCTCTTCATGTCATATTTATGTAACCATGCTGTGACTCTACAACAAAGGCACATAGAAGAAATTTTTGAGCATCATTGGTTTGTTCTTCTTTTCTGAATGTTTGAAAGTAAAATGTAACACACAATTCACAAATTTTTGACATTTGGAGTACCTTGTCGGTTACGTGATCAATAAATCAACAACCTTGTTGTTCATTTCGTCTTGTTTCAAGTTTCAACTTAAGCTTTAGAACAAAATCCCTTTATATCTTTGCTTGGTTCATTCCATAACTGTTTACCGAACATTTGTTATAAAGATACGCATTCTCAAACTCAATCCCGTTTTATTTTCTTTTTTGTTTTTTTTTTTTCCCTTCACCAAAACATTTATAACCGTGCACTTTGCAACCATTGAGCTTTACGCATCTTCTTCGAACACTATCCTATCCACCCACACATTCTCGATCTTTGGTGGAATTTTTCTTTGATCGCCCTTCTATAGTACTAAAAAGACAGAATTCGGCGATTCAAGACCATGATGAAGCAACAATACATACTCGGCATCTTTTGTTTTCTATTACTTCTATATCAAGTCAAAGCTCAACATGTACACGGTGCGGCGGATGAAGGTAAACAAATTCTTAACCGTAGAATAGTGTCTCCTTTTCTCGCGTTCCGGAATGATCTCATCTTTGATTTCATACAATCCTTTATTCAGATCATGATTGTGCTGCTATGTCTGTAGAGGACTATCATTTGGGCCTTCGTATTGGCGCCATCTTTATTTTGTTTGGTACAACTACTATTGGTACCTTTTTTCCTATAATCTTGCATCGTATCAGCCCTTATAAGCAAGGTGATATCCGTGAATGGATATTAACTGTAGGGAAATTCTGTAAGTACAAATATATCAGCGTGAAAAAGGAGGGTCCATGGTTGAAAATTGTTAAATGGGGGATCAGCACCAGCTCTTTATTTTAACAATTCAATTTATCAAATCCTGGGTCATAGTCGGTACTGGTGTCATTCTAGCCACTGCATTTGTGCATATGCTTCCCGAAGCCATGGAAAACTTTCATAGCCCATGTCTTACTGACGGATGGCTATCCTATGGTGCTTTCGGTGGTGTGTTTTGTATGATTGCCTCTTTTGCTCTTCAGTTACTCGAGATTGTCTCTGTGACACACGTCAATAAACTTCAAAAACGAAGCCAAGAGCGTCAAATCAGAGACGCAGAGTTAGGCTTCCAAAAGCAAATGACAGCTGATGCGGCCCTTGTATCTGAAAAGCTAAAAGATGACCAACATACCGCTACTCAATCTCCTGCTCACCAACAAACAACAGCAGCGGAAAAACCAACAGTTATAAAAGACAATTCCATTACAACAACTGCTGAAGCAAGGGACCTCGAGCATGATCGTGACCAGCATCATCATCATCATTCACACCACCATATTGGGGACGATCACGGACATACCCATGGGATCATCTTCCAGAGTGAAGACGCCTACAAACATATCGGAACCTATATTTTGGAGCTTGGCATTATTATGCATTCCATTATTATTGGTATTACTTTATCTAATGTTAGAAATGAACAGTTCACCACTTTACTGATTGCGCTCGTGTTTCATCAGGTACGAATGCAAATACAGGTTTGAGTAGGCCCATGCTTAGGCAACTTACCCTTTGTTTCATAATTTCACGTAGTTCTTCGAAGGAATTGCTCTTGGTACACGATTAAATGAAATACCCTACAAGAAGTTGTACAAACCTGTTGCTTTGGGCTTTTTATATACCCTTATGACCCCCATCGGCACTGCCATCGGTATTGGTATTCATGCTTCGTTCAATCCTAATTCTTATTCTGCTGTTCTGGCTGCAGCCATCTTGGACTCTTTGTCAGCCGGCATCTTGTTGTATAACGCGTATGTGTCTTTGATGAGTATGGAAATGAGCCATAATACAGCATTTCATCATGCTAGTACGTTCCGTAAAATATGCAGCTTTTTATCCATGTATATAGGGGCTGCTCTCATGTCTGTGCTTGGAAAGTGGGCATAAACATAGGAACCATCTTTTTTTCTTTTAATTTTGTATACACATCTCTAATACATTTAATTGATATCCTATCTTGTCTTTTACCCAACCGAATTCTATGTACAATGTACGTAAAATGATAAAATTGAACGATAGTTAACTCTGCACAGTCGTTTTGTTCGTTGTGCGATATGCACTTCCATAGTATATCCAGAATTTATTTTATTTTTTTTAAAAAAAAGAGCAAAACGAGGATTGTTTATTACAATAGACATAGTCTACATACTATGTATTCTTGTTGTTCTGTCTGTTTTCTGTTTTACAACTCTTCATGAACAGGCTTTTTATTATTGTTGAGGTCAAGATGAGCTTCTTTGATTTCTTCTGCTATCTTGGATGCAGTATCTTCCTTGGAAGCAGCCTTGGCTGCCTCAGCAGCAACTGACACCAATGATTGACAAACTGCTGGTGACTTTAAACGGTAATGGTATTCGCATTTTTGAGGTTCTGTCACCTCCAAAATTTCATTTTGCATACCACATTCTATGGTAGCTCTAACGCTTCTTAGAGGACCATTCCAACAACGTGTGCCTTGGTCATGGTGATGGACTTTATATTTATCTGCACCTTCACCGCCATCGAACTTTTCAAATTTTCTATTGAATCACAGTAAAGAAGTTCAGTTGTTCTGTTTTAACGGAGAAGAGTATTACGAAAAAGCTTCTTTACCCTAAAAAGGTGCGGCTGCTATCTTTGTTGCTCTTTTGATAAGCGTCACCAAGGAAACATAAAGAGTAGGTATATCTACTCGGAAACAGCACGTACGTTTTGGTGTTAGACTGTACGGATCAAGTGTGCTTGATTGTTGTATGAGATGTTTGAATTACTTACTCTCCTTCGTCTTTTTCAATACAAATATCTTTCAACTTTAACCATTCACCATCTGTACCATAATCCTTTTCGATATTCTCTTTCATTATGCCCAGCTCTTTATTCAATTGAGCCACCTCTTCTTTGGCTTTGTTAACTGCTTCTTGTGCATTTTCTACGGCTGAAAAATAAAATCAAATAGCTGTAAGTCGATATTGCGGTGACACATTGCTTCCCACTCATATAAATCAGAAAAGGGAAAAATCGAGGTAAAAAATTGAAATGTGTGGTGTAAAAGTATGTGAAACTTCAAAAGAACTGATTCGAACCTGCTTCCTTCGTGTTGAGTAGGGTATTTGAAAAGGGTGATGTTGGCTCATCTGGTACCAACAAGTTTTTGGATAATAACCAATTCTTGATGTTGCTCTTCAAAATCGATGGAAGTACAGGATCCAATTTCTCAAATACATAATGGAGGATAGAAGATGAAGAAATGGAAGTGAAGGAGTTGTCATGCTTACCTATTCAGTGCCAAAAACGAAAAAAAAAAAAAAACAACATAAGCGTTCTGTCCAAGTTCATTCTTTACTTTGTTCTTCCAGTTTGTACTTTACCTTCGTGGTTCTCTAAATCAGACTTATCTTGTTGTACGGCCTCTGACGCCTTTTCAAATGCATCTTCATTCTCATCCTCGTCATCCTCGTCGTCGTCCACGTCAATGTCTTCGTCCACTTCAGCATGCATGGACTCGTCTCCAATTTCCGCTAAATGCTCTTCAATTTCTGACACGATATCGGGAAAGCGAGAGGCAAATGTCTCGTATTTTGTAATAGCTTCCTTCACAGCCAAATCATGATAATTATGATTATGATTTCTCTTCATCTCACTTAGGACTGTATTGAGGAAAGTTAACTCCTTTTTCAAAATTGTCACATCATGCTTCAGAGTATCGATTTCCACGCGGTTGGTATTGACATGATTTTGTCGAGATGCTTTATTGTTCTTTTCCAGCTTTTGCAAATCGCGCTGCAGTTTCAACAAGGTGGATTTTTTCAAGATGATTTGATCCTCCAATTTAAGCTTTTCTTCTTGCCAAGTAGCTATTTGCTGTTGCGCTTCATCAATCAATTGTTGTTTGGCGAGAAGCCCTGCTTGAACAGATGCTTCAAGACTAGCTTGAGCATGACGATACGCTTCCCCGATCTCTTGACAGCGGTCAGGACAGGTCGTCCGTGTGCCGTCTTCGTCGGAACCGTCGCAACATGCCTCGTCGCAGACACCGTCATTCACAGCATACGATTTGATGTAAGCAGGTATATGGCCCTTATTGGCACAATAAAACATAGCATTTGGACAAGCCGAAGTGCCTACAATAACAGAATGGATTGTGTGGAACATCGGAAGAAGAAGCGGTGTGTTTGAAAGTGAGGACAGGTGGATCGTGTGTAGTAGAAGCTGTAGCATAGGCTTGACGTACCTGGCTCATCGGATCCGTCAGGGCAATCACAGTAGTCATCATTGATGGCTGACTTGGCAATGGTCTTTGAACCATCGAAGCAAGTCCATGTTCCGTCATTATTAGGTTGATAGAGAGCATAATCTATGCATCAACCGTTGAAAGAATGTTAATGACAACGCATTCCGGAACTTGGTTCTTTTTTCTTTTTTCAAAAGTTACTGGCAGGATCGACCCCTTTGATGACGGTGGAAGCATCATTGCTATTGCTCGCTTGAACAAGACCGACAGCAGCTATAATATAAGGAAGTTGACGCAACTTCATTATTCTTAATCTCACTGTATTTTCCACACACACACGCACAAACACACGCTGGAGAGAAAGTGGTTGAATTAGGCACAGAAAAAAATACAACGAGTTGGGCAAATTTATGCTCAAAACAACGTGCCAATGAGATTTAGACAACTATGCATTTTTTCATTGTTTTCGCAAAATTATGGATATAACATTCTACAAGAGAATCAATGAGCAAATAAACCGAATAGATTCCCATTTTTGAAAAGAACGTTGTCTGAGAAAAATGTTTATTATTGTGGAAAAAAACAGGTTGGCGAAGCAAATGGCGTTGACAATAAGTTTGAACCTGTAACATTCAAAGATGGGTGCAGAAATTCTAGTGCTGTCAGATAAGAAATAAATAGAATCAAAAGCATGAATAATTTGAAATGGAAAAGTTATACAGTAATATATCAAATATTACAAAGGCGAATGCGAGTATATAGAAAAATGGGATATAGAAGGGACGGAATAGAACGTTTGTGATTTGGATATGAGAAGTGGATGAGAGTGTGAAGGCTCTAACGATAAAGGGTATATTTTAAATCGACTCAGACGATCGCACTGACAGAAGTCGCTGTAGAAGAAGTAGTAGTAGCAGCAGCAGTGGTGTTAGGAGCGTTGACACTGCTCTGTTGCTGTTGCTGTCGATCAAATTTTCTTTTGACAAACACAGGTACCAAGGCAGCAATGGCTACTGCGAGTAAACAGAGTACATTGATGGGCGTCAACAGCTGCAATTTGTCAGAAGCCGATAGTCTCTCCAAGGCAGCACCTGCTTGCACATGAATAAAGGACGGTGGAGCCACACCTAGAAAGGTGCCCCAAAAGAAAGCTTTAAAAGGCACGTCTAAGTGAGGTGAGCCCAAATTAACTGTCCAGTTGGGTGGAAAGGGTGAAATTCGCAGCACAATCATGTAGTTGAGCATATGCTGCCGATGATGCAAAAGTTCCTTTTTCCATCTTTTAAGCCGATCACCTAATAAATGAATAACAGCTATGGAACCTAGACTGCCAGAAATGAGATAGGCAAAGCCAGCGCCTATAGCGGAACACTGTATTCAAGAAAAGGTGAGAATGTATCATTATGAGTATTGCATCCTTTTTCTTTACCATAGATACTGTGATTAACGTAAGCCAAAAGTTGAATAGCGTTCCTCCGAGAATGGAAAGCCACATGGAGCCAGGTATAGAAAAACTTTGAAGGCTTTTATAAAACAAATAAAAGAGTTAAAAAAAAAAAAAAAAAAAAAAAAAAAAAAAAAAAAAGATCACTCAAAATAGGGCACAAGTAGCCATCATTTGACCATTGATAACTTACTATATATATGTAATGACAAAAGTACTGTAGACATTAAAGTAGTTCTTATCCATGTAAACAAATAGAATGGCATTCAATTTTCGAAGATCTTCCAGATTTGTTGGAAATTTAAGTTCTTTTCTTTCTTCACTAAAAAACGTAGCCATCTTCGTTATTCACTAGTTAGTTTTATCTGAAACAAAAATAGAAAAAGCTACTTACGGACTCAAAGGTGGTATATTGTACTTTAGTAAGAGATATTCCAAGGCTGTAAAAACCAGCAATAACGTAATCAAAGCTGTCAATGACCAGAAATACGATTTACTTGTCCAATACCAGACAGATAGGACTTTTTCAGGCCTTGCTGCTCTTGTTGTTGCGATGATGGATTCTTCTCGTTCTGTGCTTCTCTCCTGCGGTTGTAATAAAGAGGATGGCCTGGATGAGGTTATACTAGAATAAGCACGAGGTTGAATCCTATTCTCTGCCATAGCTGAGGGTTGCAATAGCCGGGTGGTCATGGTTGCTTCTGCTTCAGTGATCGTGTTTGTACTCAGCTTTTGGTCATTGTGTATAAGAATTGGCATTGTGGACTTGATCTGTTTCTGATGAGTTTTAGCAATGCGTCCTCCTGTCTGTATTTAGCTAATAAGGAATGTTGGTGATAAGCTTTGCCGAATAAAAGTGAGAATAAAGGACTTTGTTGTCGAAAAGTATGAATATCGAATAGTTGAATTAAAGAGAGATACGAATATGATTTAGGGAGGAAGAGTAGTGAATTTTCAATTAAAGCAGGATTACCTTTTAAAGTATTCATCATTAGCAAGCTTAAATGCTGTACGCTGTTCGCTCCCTTTTTCATAGTCCACGTGAGCAGGCACGCATAAATGGACAGGCCATTCAGTTGTTAAAGGCTCGTCATTACCCATTCGAGTTGTACAAGTCTGTGTTCAGTCAGCCAAGTATGGGAAGTCTGCAAAAGTACAGTGCGGCTGGTAAGTGGTTTTGTCCCGTTTGAAAAAATACAACAGTAGTTGCTTTTAAGGACGATGATTGGCCATTTGGTAGCAAATGATTGCTAAAGTAAGTAAATAACTAGGTATTTCGTTTTATTGTAGCAAATGGGTGCTTTAGTGCTCATAATGCTTACAATCATTCATGGAGGTCACTGAGACCAATGACAACCGCAATGTTTGAATTATCCAATCTGCTGCTGCAGTTCTCCCTTGATGACTTACAAGGCGTACAACTATCCATTACAAGATATCTACACTTGTAAGACTTTTGACCTTATTGTTCAGGTTTAAATGTTTTGCATGTTAGTACGTACGGTTTGATAGAATCATATACGTTGTACATAATCTCTATCAGAATCAATACAGACAGACCCTAATAGAAAGCGTGTTCTACCTGACTCTACATACACGAGTATTGTACTTGTTATCTCATCAAACACCTCGTCGATTGAAGCCCTTTTTCGCTTAGCTTTATTTCGGTATAAAATATGTCAAGCTCGCCCAGATCTATTGAAATAGTGCGCGATCATTACTTGACGTCTGGGAGGAGTCCAAAATGGGAGGGGCTTTTTTTAAATCTCTATTTGATGCGCTGTTTCCTTTCATGAGGAAGCAGTTTACAAAATTGTTACCATGCTTTCTCTCGTTCAGTATAATTTACTTGATAACAGGTTATTTATGCTAAGGAGATGTAGATAGATCAAAACCATAGCACATCTGGGAAAAACGAACGAAAAGAGAACAAACATATACAGAATGCAGGCAAATAAACCTTACATAAGAAACGCTTTTCCATTTTTAGAAAGGTGACAAGTTTAATTCTTCATTTTCTGTCATTACTGCTTTTTCTAATACATCATCATACTAAATATCTCGGTCCTTTCCTTTCCGGATGATGCGTTATTTCATTTTGCCTTTAATTTTTTTTATTTATCTTTTTTTTTAATTATTCTAATCCCGCTTCACGTAGTTAATGCTCTTGTCTGCTGCCCCTTTTTGAGAATCTTCATCTTTCTGATCCATTTCTTAAATTGGGTTGGCAGGTAACCATTATTCAAGCTATATTATTTTCAAATAAACAACTTTCTGATACATTTCTTAAATCGGGTTGGCAGTTGGTACATTGTTAGTACATTTGAGCCACCAAGGAAGATCAACTATTCCTGACGACATCCGTTTTATCCAGTCTCTACTTTAATCCCCGTAACACGGTCATTCCTAGGCAGTAAATTCAAAGTACTCTGTTGGCTTTGCTTTTTTTTTTGTTTCATTTTTTCTAATTCTTCCTGTTTTGAAACTGACCGAACATTCTGGTAACGGAGTTGTAACCAGAAGTTCCTGGAGTTACCATGCCATTATATAAAATACGGGATTTTTTTTTTTTTCTTCCAAAAAGCCCATTCTTTTAACCTTTCTCCTTTTTCCGTTTTTTGATACGCGACAAGCTTGGTTCTGTATTTACATAGCGAAAAAATGGCCACACCTGCTACTGTTCCCAATACCAACGAGCATCCTATTCATCCTATTTATCAAAAATTATGTCATGAACATATGGAACAATTGGCTGCTGCCTACTCGAAAGCTGGACCTCAAGTAGCGACACCTGAAGGTCAATACAAGATGATTACTGACCTCCGCTTATTTTCAGATCAATTCGCTGAGCAATATCCCATACCAGAAACCATTCGTACCAAGCAAGAAGTCGTGGGTGGACCCAAGAAATTAAAGATTGGCACCACTGTGTTTAGACCTAAACGCACTGAAGATGAAGTCTTGCCTGTTATTCTCTTCTGGTAAGTTTTAGTAATGTAAGGGAGATGTCTGCGCATTATTTATGTGGAACATCACACAAAAAAAAATTTTGTTTCTCTAATACACTCGAATTTTTATTTTGCTCTAAAAGTCATGGTGGTGGATGGGTATTAGGTAGTGCCAAAACGCATGCTAAAATAGCTACTGAAGTAAGTAGGACAATGAAATCTTAGAGTATGTGTCATTGATAAGAAAGACATATTCATCTTATGAATTTATTTCTTCTAACATAGTTGGCTATCAAGACACATGCAGCCGTCATGTTGGTAGAGTATTCGTTGAGTCCTGAAGTTCAATTTCCAATTGCTAACGAGCAAGCGTATGCTGCATTATGCTGGTTACATGAGCATGGCAAAACCATCCGCGTCAACCCTGACCAAATTGTGATTGCTGGTGATTCAGCAGGCGGCAATATGGCTGCGGTTGTGTCCATGATGGCCAAAGACCGACATTTGGAGAACGTCATCAAGGCGCAAATTCTCATGTATCCTGCTGTGGCGGCTGACACGAAAGATTTTCACTCTTATGAACTCTATGGTGCAGGCGATTGTTATCTCTCCTTAGAAGAAGCAAAGCTTTGTGTTGGCGCTTATTTGCCCAAGCCTGCTCTCGAATTAAATGATCGTTATGCGACACCTCTTTTGGCCACCTTGGAGGAATTGAAGGGATTGCCGCCTGCTTTGGTGTTGACAGCCGAATGCGATATTTTGCGTGATGAAGGTGAAGCCTATGCTTCCAAGTTGTTGAAGGCGGGTGTCGAAGTGGTAGGCATGCGTGTTCAAGGCACTGTGCATGGGTTCATGACTACGACATTGCCAGATACACCTCAATATCGCTTATCCGTGAACACTGTCTGTGATTTTATCAGAGAGCATATTACTAACTCTCCTACCCCTCATCACTAATTTCCTCATTGTACTCATTTTTATTCTTTCATCTCCATGTTCATCTCATATCCGTTGTAAATAAAATTCTGTACTCCTATCAAGCATCAAACGTAATTTATATCGCTCGATAGCTTGTTCTCCTCATGACCCTGGCCCCGCCCTCCCCTCAGCTATTTTATCTGGCTGAGGGTAGGTGCGTCCACAGGGAGCCTTTTTTGCTTTTCGAACCATTTATTCCCATGGTAGAACCCTTAGGATCGATACGCTTAGAGAGAAAAATTCCATCATGCAAGCAGGCTCATTTATTTGAACAAGCACCACTTGATATCTACAGACAGTAACACGATATGAAGGGTGATCATATTATATGAATGTGTATAGAGTCGAGAGTGATTTAAGGAATGGTTTTACTCGTCATCAGCAAGCAAGTCGAAAGGATTGACTAGAAAAATAAGACATGTTAGAAATAAAGACGTGGTATTCGCTTTGAATTGGGCCCCTTTCGCCTCGCCCTCAGCCCCATTGATTACTTACAGGTCTTCTTTTTCTGTTCCTTCTGCTTCTTTTTATCCTGAGACTTACGGAAGGCCATCACAATGTCACATTGGTTAGGAGTTCGAGTGACACCAGGAACGAAAGCCATCTTGACAGGAGGTGCCCTAGAAATAGGACTACCCGCTAAAGCCAAAAGTGTGGTGTGGTCATAGACGACACGATTACCTTTAACAAGAGTCAAAGAATAATGGAAAAAGTGAGCCTTTGGTTTCTTTCAAAAGAAAGTCTTTTTGCACATTCCGATAATAAAATCCTTCCTATCTATCCATCTCTGATGTGTTGAAAGAAAACAAACAATGATTATTCATTCTAAACTTGGAGATGAACATGGACCATTGTCCATCTACCACATTACATGTCATTTGCGATGAGGATTGAGAGGTGTAGACGTCATTCTTAGTGCAGCTTGTTCAGGTTGGAAAAAGAGATAGGAAGGATGTTTGAATGTTTAAATTAGTTGTTGAAGACATTTTTTACCTTGCTCAACAGCCATGATCAGGAACTTTTATGTAAAAAGTCTTTTGGGCAATTCAATAAAATTTTTAAATAAAATAGAGGGTGTGCTAGAAAAAAAAAAGAAGGAAAGTGGATCATGATTTCAGCCAATCATCTTTTTCTTTCCATTTGGATAGTACAAACATTCATGTAGAAGTGACCATTTGTTCCGTTTTTCATTTTGCGCTTTACAGAGTATATACTAATACAAGTCATTTCGTCAAAGTCAATGGATATCTAGGTGATTTACTCTCTTTTAGGATATGGCCATCTTTCCTCAAAAAAAAAAAAGCTATCGTTAGTTTAAAAGATGGCATTTGCAGCTTGACTTCCGACTGCAAAAAAAGAAAAGGCAGTGAGTAAAAGGCATGGAGATGGTTTCAGAACAAAATGATACAGTTCACTTACGTGTTGCACCGAAACCCCAAGTGGCAGCAGTGGCAACTCTACCACCAAACTTTTTGGCAATGTTGGCTACTTTATCTTGTTGCTCTTCCCCTTCCGCTGGTGTTGACGAGGGCCCAACCACATGATTCACCACCACAGGCCCTGCTGCTGGTGGTGGTGGTTGGCTATAAGCTTGTGATGGTGGATAAGCAGGTGGTGGCGTATAGATAGCATTTGAGGGTGGAGGTTGACTATAATAAGAGCCTGAAGGGAATGGTGTTGGGGTATTCTTTTCATTCATCTCATGTGGTTGTTGCTGCTGATGATTTTGTTGATGATATAAAGGAGGTGAGAAGCTACTATTCGTTGTTGGTATAACTGGACGCTTTGCTTTAATGGGAGGTCTAAAAATACAATTAATTTTAGTTTTATCAGTGTAAATGATATGTCTCCACTCCTGCTTCCAATGTTACATCAAACGAGATGTATACACTTCATTATTGGGGATGTGTAACGAAGAATATACTTTACGGTAATTTTTTGACATGATTTTGAGGAAAGATGCCCGTCTTTCCATGTAGTCTTCCTTTCCACCAGTCATCATTCACTTTTCAAGATAGAAAAAAGAGTAGCGTTAATGCTGATCCTCATACAGCAATGCAGTAGTAGAATCCATCTCATCTGATATAGACCGCTTACCATATTCAATGACTTCAATGACATCGCCTTGATTGAATGATAAATCGGTGGCTGGGTCTTCTCCTTGGTAGTTATATAAAGCTTCTGCGGTTGCCAAGGACTCATTTGTATCACTCACTCCCACAGGGCTCTGAGTATAAGCAGGTGGAGCTGGAGATGGCAAAGAGGTTGCTTGGTGTTCTTTAGGTTCTGCAGTTACTGGAGTCCCTGCTGTGGTATGTGCCAATGGTTGACCGACATGATGATGAGCAGAATTTGCAGCAGCAGCTGTTGTAACCATTGAATCTCTGTTATGGTTGTTAGGAATAGACATGGCGACCGTGCTGCGTCTCGTTGGTAATTGTGGTACTGGCATGGAAGTCTGTGGGGAAGATACGCTTTTGGTAGTAGTAGTAGATGTAGATTTTCGAATAGGCAAAGGAGGTCTCGCTTCCAACGTGCTGGCTTTTTGTCGCTGTTGAAAGTGATCTGTTTGTTGAGGAGATATCCTCTTTGGTAAAACAGCTAGCACTTCATTGTAGGTTTGATGGGACAGGAAATTGTTATCTTTTAGAAAAGACAAATCATTGAGAATGGAAGCCAATACATGATTCGCCACCTTGAGTGTTGATTCTTCGTTGTTCATGTCTTAATGGATATAGAATAGAGGAAAGAAAGTACTTAAATAGAAGAGAGAAAAGAAAAAAGAAAGAGGACTTGCAGTAACGAATCCCTTTTTATTTTGCTTGTTTGCCGAAAAAAGAAAGCCATCCATTTTCGGCTTTGGGTTTGGGCATATCATTTTAACCAGTTTCTTTATTTAGAAAAGGTGCAAAAAAAAAAAAAAAAAAAAAAAATTGGAAATCTAAATGAAGGGCACAATGAGATCAGCAGCTAAATATTAGCCTCGTTTTCTGTTTATTCAATGAGAGACCTGCTTAGATAAACATGGTAAAGAACATTGGAATAAAGTCTATCATTCATGTCGTACTGATAACAATTACCACTCAAAAAAAAAAAAAAAAGCCGTGTCATACAGTGGGCAAAAGTCTACTATGCATTGAGCTTTCTGTAGCAGTTTGAATATTTGATTTAAGCCCCACATTTTGAAAAAAGAAAAGCCTTCCTGTTTTTTTTTTGAAAATACAGGGAAAAAAGCTTAATTGCAGAAAGAAAAGTTTGCGGTTTTGGGATATTTCTTCTTTTCTTTTTTATTTTCAAATTTATCTTTTTTTCAGAAATATAAAGACGATTTACGAAAAGGAAAGCATCTTCACTTGATCTTGACAAATTACAAGTGATCAGCCCTTCTTCCTTAAAAACTATTTCCTCTTTCTCATTCGTGATTTTTTCTTAATTCTTTTTGTTTCATTTTCAAAGAATAAGATACATTTCACGTATTGCAAATCAATAAAAAGACTCATCCACACTTATATAAGAGTATTTACTTTTTCGCTTGACTCATACCCCTACCTGCCTACCTGCCTCTGAAATTATTCTTATACAAAAAGATGGCTGTTCCTGTAACTGAACCTATTATCGAAGCAATCGCTGCTCCTACTCCTACCACGCCTCCCTCTCAACAAGAATCTATCTCTACCTCTTCCTCTTTATCCGACATTAACAACAATCCTGGCTTATCTGCTTCCTTGTACGTAGGCGAACTTGACCCTAATGTATCAGAATCCGTCCTGTTCAAGTTGTTCAATATGATTGGTCCGGTCTCTAGTATTCGTGTTTGCAGAGACGCCATCACTAAAAAGTCTTTAGGCTATGCTTATGTCAATTTCCATACAATGGGGGATGGTAAACATACAAAACTGTGTTCTATGTCTGGAAGACACGTCTTGATATTGACGATTGGATGATGATCCCCTCTTTTTTTTTCATGATAGCTGAGCGCGCTCTTGAAGCACTCAATTATACTGCTATCCTTGGTCGCCCTTGTCGTATTATGTGGTCTCAACGTGACCCTGCTCTTCGCAGAACCGGAAATGGAAATATCTTTATCAAAAATTTAGACCCTTCTATTGATAACAAAGCACTTCACGACACATTTTCAGCTTTTGGTAATATCTTATCTTGCAAGATTGCTCAAGACCATCAAGGATATTCCAAGGGTTACGGCTTTGTGCACTATGAAACAGAAGAAGCTGCTGAAGATGCTATCAAGAATGTCAACGGTATGCTTTTGAATGACAGAAAAGTGTAAGTTTTTCCTTCTTTTTTTTTTATATTTTGAAACAATTCAAATGGGAGGACGAGGTCGGGAAAAAAATTAAAAATAAAAAAAGCAGACACTATTTGACGTGGATGGATTAGGCTTGTAAAACCATTGTGGTGTGTTACTGATTGAAAAGAGACATTGGCCATCCAACGATATAGTTTCGTAGGTCATCATATCTCTAGAAAAGAACGACAATCCCGTCTTGAAGAAATCCGTTCCAATTTCACCAACCTTTACATCAAGAATCTTTCCCCTGAAGTGGATGAAGAAGAATTACGCTCTCTTTTTGCTTCCTTTGGTCCTATCACTTCCGCTGTGGTTACTCGAGATGAAGAAGGTCGCTCTCGTGGCTTTGGTTTTGTCAATTTCGAACAACATGACGATGCCGCGAAAGCTGTAGATGAACTCAATGCCACTCTTTGTCATGGACAACCCCTTTATGTCTCTCGTGCTCAAAAGAAAAACGAACGCGAAGAAGAATTACGCCGTCAATATGAACAAGCCAAAATGGACAAATTAAACAAATACCAGGGTGTCAATCTTTACGTCAAAAACTTGGAAGAATCCATTGATGATGAACAATTACGTGAAGCCTTTGCTGCTTTCGGTCATATCACATCCGCTAAAGTCATGCGTAGTATTAATAACAACAATGGCGGCGAAGATCAGAACGAGGAAGGAAATAGCAGCACGACCAGCAGTGACAATGCAGCAGACAATAACAGAGGCGTCAGTCGTGGATTCGGCTTTGTTTGCTTCTCCTCCCCTGAGGAGGCCACACAAGCTATCGCTGAAATGAACGGTCGTATGTTGGGATCAAAGCCTATCTATGTTGCTTTGGCTCAACGTAAGGATGTGAGACGATCCCAATTAGAAGCACAAATGGCCAATAGACGTGGTTATCACCAACAACAACAACAACAACAACAATCCATGATGGGCATGGGTCATCCTTCTCAACATCATCCATCCATGTATTATGGTGCTCCTATGCCTCCTCATCGAGGTTTCATCCCTCAACCCATGATGCAACACCCTCGTTACCCCATGATGCATCCATCCCATAATAGACCGCCTCGTGGATCTCGTCGTTATAACAACAACTACAGCAACAACAACAATTACCATCAGCAAAATAACAGTAGACCTTATAATAATGGGGAAAGCGCTGATGCTTCTGCTGCTGCTGCTGCTGCTACTGCTACTACCTCTGCTTCACCTGCAAATGACACCCACACGGAAGGTCTTGAAAATCAACTTGAATCTTTAACCTTGAATGATTTGAATCAATTATCTCCTGAAGATCAAAAGCAATCCCTTGGTGAACGATTGTATCCTCTTATCAATGCACAAGAACCGGAATATGCTGGTAAAATCACCGGTATGCTCTTGGAAATGGATAATGCAGAGTTGGTCTCTTTGATCAACAACCATCATTTGTTATCTTCCAAAATCCAAGAAGCCATGGATGCGCTCAAGCAACACTTGGCTGCAGATAACTAGAAAAGAGAGAAGAAAACAAAAGAAAAAAGGACGAGGCAGACAGACAGATACACAGTTTAAAAAGAAAAAAAAAAAAAAAAAAAAAGAGATAACGATTTCTAGTTTATTTTGTATATCCAATATTCTTTTTTTTTAAAAAAAAAGGAGGAGGGAAGCTCCTCACGCAAACTCTGAAAAATTAAATGATTCCTCTACTTTTTGCCTTTTTGTTCTTTGGCTACCATCATCAAAAGGACAGTCATTAAAAAAAAAGCGTTGTATCCTATGTTCTATTAAATATGTAGTGTTTCCATTTTCAAGCATCGTTGGCAGAAATCATGTTTTCAGGTCTGACCCATTGATCAAACTCTTCAGAAGTCAAATAACCAAGAGACATGGCAGCTTCCTTCAAGGTAGTATTTTCACGATGAGCCTTCTTGGCACATTGAGCTGCCTTATCATAACCGATATGAGGATTTAAAGCGGTCACCAACATTAAAGATTCATTCATAATCCTTTCAATCTTTTTTTCATTGGCTTTAATGCCAGTAACACAGTTCTTGGTAAAGGACGTAGAAGCGTCGGACAAGAGACGAATCGATTGAATCAAATTTTTGATCAAAACTGGCTTATAGACATTCAACTATTTAAAAAGACATTTTGTTAATAGGGATATATGTGTGTGTCAATAGAGATAAGGAGTCTCCGATTTACCTCAAATTGACCATTGGCACCAGCCACAGAAACAGCCGTATTGTTACCCATCACCTGAGCACACACCATCGTCATAGCTTCACATTGAGTAGGATTGACCTTACCAGGCATAATAGAAGATCCCGGTTCATTTTCAGGCAAAGACAATTCACCTAAACCACAACGAGGGCCTGAACCCAAATAACGAATATCATTGGCAATCTTCATTAACGAACAAGCAACCGTGTTGAGAGCACCATGCGCTTCCACAATAGCATCATGAGCAGCCAAGGCCTCAAACTTATTAGGGGCGGTCTTGAAAGGAAGTCCTGTAATCTTGGCAATGGCTTCGGCTACTTTTACATCAAAGCCTTTACGTGTATTGAGACCTGTGCCGACAGCAGTACCTCCTTGGGCCAAATTATAAAGACGCTCAAGGGTGCCTTGCACACGGGCAATACCGTAACTGACTTGTTGTGTATAGCCAGAGAATTCCTGACCCAGTGTGAGAGGTGTGGCATCTTGTAGATGAGTGCGACCAATCTTGATGATGGAATCAAATTCTTTGGCTTTGGCATCGAGGGCGTCGCGTAATTGAGTCAAGGCGGGAATTAAACGATGTGTTATTTCAACCACGGCAGCCACATGCATGGCCGTAGGGAAACTATGTAGGAATAAGTTAGTCTCGCCTTCCCCTAGTCTACTTTCTTACCCCACCCCCCCCACTTACGTATCATTGGATGATTGACTCATATTGACATGATCGTTGGGATGAACGGGATTTTTAGATCCGAGCTCGCCACCAAGAAGTTCAATGGCACGGTTAGAAATAACCTAATTGGAACGCCATCTTTTTTAGTTACAGATGCTTCCTCTTTATATAACTACTCCGGTGGAATACGTTACCTCATTCACGTTCATGCTATTTCGATCAGTCGTTCAAACAAGAAAAAGAAATTGTTTTGGTCAACTAGTGATACAGGCTGTTTCTTTTTCTCCATGAAGCAACAACTTACTTGGTTTGTGTTCCTGAACCAGTTTGCCAAACAACAAGAGGAAAATGATCGATCAAGCTTCCATCAATGACCTAATAAAGAAAATAAAAGAAAACCAGTAGAGTCCAGCCATTGACTGTGAGCGAAAATCCATCCTACATAAATGCTCTTCATTTCTACAGATTATTTATCCATGGAAAGCCCATGTGCGCTCCTCCCCTCTGTCCATCTATACTTTACTTCATCAGCAGCCTTTTGGATAGCCTCTCCTACTCTCGAATCCAAGCCATATGTCATATTAACAGTAGCAGCTGCTTTTTTCAATACACCAAAGGCGCGAATCAAGGGTTCGGGCATACGCTCATTTGCACCTCCAATATCAAAGTTTTGAAGAGATCGTTGCGTTTGAGCACCCCAATATCTGTCAGCAGGTACTTGGAGATCACCAAAGGTATCTCGTTCAGCACGGAACTTTTGCTAGAATGTTCAGCTTGTGTTAGTCAACCATAGGCTCGAAACACACGCGGTGATTGATATCACTCTGTTGACTATTCATGTTACCAAAGCAATAGCAGCACTGCTAAACAGACGGTGAGACTGATGACGAGTGGCGGTTTGAGTTAATAGACGACGAGTAGCTGATGAGCATAACATGATGTTCAATGAGCTTCGAACAGTTGAGAACAAAAAAAAAACGTAAAAAAAAGGAGGTGGTTATGAAACAGATTCACACTGTTCACAAATTTATAAATGCTATTCTCCGCATAGAATCGATTGCTATTGTATGCCGGGGTGTGTGTGTACACATAAAGAACTAAGTCATTTTTTATCAATTTCTTTTCCAAAAGTGGGGTGAAACCAAAAAAAAGGGGGCTCCGATACCCCGCCTTTTTCTACCGAATGAGCATAGAGCTTTCGATCAGATAACAAAGGCAGACAGAATAAGTTGGCAGCTACGTTTTTCACAAGTAGTAGAGCGCTATGACGTGTTTACAAACATGATCTCTTTCCTCTCAAGTCAAATCCATCCATAGGCAAGCCTTCCAACAATAAAAAAAAGTACTCATATGCCCAATAAAAAAACGGGGAAGGGCAGGAGGTGGACTCCATAACAAATAGCCTTTATCCCATAGAGCCTTTCACGCCAAAAAAGCCACACTTTGTTCTTTTTTAGAAGGAAAGATCGACTGGATTATGTAAAAAAAGGGCGCAAAAAGAGGCATTTTTTTTTTTCAGGGCCAAGGAAAAAAAAAGAAGGTTTTTAAAAGCTTGCATGAGGACTAGTGAGGTGAGAACAGATTTCTCTTTTCTTTTTATTTATTTGTTTACTGTTGTGTATGAAAACAATAAAAAAAAAGAGATCCATATGGCCTTTGCTTTCTTTCATCTCAAGGGCAGAATATCTCTTTTTCCTTCTTTTTCCTTTTTTAATTTTCTTTATCCTCATTATTCTATGATCTAAAACAATGCTATTCTGGACAAAACTGCTCACCATGGCTCATGCGGTCACTACCAGCATCCATCCATTTCTATGTCTCTACTATGTACATATGTTGCAGTTTGATATTCTGACCATCTGTCTGTTGAGTGCTTGTGTTTTCTTACTCAGAATACCTGCTTCTATATTTTGGATTGATATTGTGGATCACAGATCACCTTTACACGGTATCTTTACAGCTCTATTAACCGCCATAGGAGCCGCTGGTGTTTTATTAGTGCTCTCTGTTCCGCCGCCATGGACTCTCTTTGCCTTACCTGTCGCCATCATCTCTTCCGTTTTGGATGGACTATTTTACCAACCACTCGAGTGTTTAATTGATAGTGCTATCATCAAAATTCTAGGTGACTATAAGATTAAGTATGGTGAGGACCACGACATATCAATCATTTTATTCAATCTCTTGGATGAGGTTTACTAATTTGAAACAAAAATGTGTGTGCATTTTGAATATAAACAATAAAAATAAAAAAAAAAGATAGCGAACGGAAATACGGAAAATGGACCGCTGCTATCACGACAGCTGGTATAGGCATATGGCTAGACAATGACCATGATTTCGATACTTTAATGGTGATCACTTTAGTTGGTTCTGTCATGCTCTTTTTGTTATCTTTATCTACCAACGTACAGGCTGCCGACCCAGATCTTCTCGATATTCCTTCTCCTTCTCATCATAATGCAGATATTGAACAAGAAAATTCGCCCTTACTCGGTAAAAGTTACGACACAAAGTACCATTCGCATCTTTTCGAGCAACAATACCATCGTCCATCATTGCAGCAGCCGTATCACTTACAAGAGGAACAACCACAGCAGCAAGCACTCATCATGATGGAAACAGCAAACTCTTTAGTTCACCCACCCTATTCCTATAAACCTTATAGTTTGTTTGGAGAGCAATTATCGCACATCTCAGAAGAAGATGCAAGTATGTTGCAGCGTATGGCGACAACCACAAATAATTCTGTATCTATTATAAATAACAACAACAACAAGTCTCTACCACGACCTATAAGTTGTAATGTTTCTACCTATTCTCTTCGTCATCAACATCATCCCTTGCAACATCAACCCTCTTTTCAGCAGATCCATACCACAAACACGGCTACTACCCCTACGACAACTGCTTCTGCTGTTAGTATTTTGCCGGATTACGAGGACACTGCTTATTATATACCTATTTGTTCTAATACAACAAACACATCAACGACGACAACCAATACGAATTATACTCCAGTGCCTTCACAACAAAATGATGATCTTTTATTTCTTGATGGTGTGGATGATAACAATGATGAGGATGAGGATGATGATGATGATACTGTATCTTTACCACCTTCCTTTGAACTCGCACGATTACCATTTCCACCCACAGTTTCTCCTATGATCGTCCTTAGTCTTTTACTAGGCTATTCCACCAATACCACCACTACTACTACGGCATCTTCGAAACGGCGTCCACACCCTCAACTACAACACACGCTACAACACACATCTATAGATGACTGTTTCAATTATCAACAACAGTCTCATCCTATGAACAATAATACAAACGTACAGCACCATTACTATCACCTTCATCTTCCTTCCACTACCACGAAATGGATCACAAGATCTTTTATTGGGTCTAATTTATGCTTAGGCATTGCCACAGGCTTGACTAGATCGTTGCTGTTTTATTATTTGCATATTGTTCTGGAATTTCCTATGCATCTATTGGGCATTATCGGCTTTCTGACAGTGATTGCAGATCTCTTGGCAAGTCATTTTGTTATTATGATGGTAAGCTCAAAGTTTTTTTTTTCTTTTGTTTTTACATTTTACAATGCACAAAGCTTTCATTTGCCCCCCCCCCAAAAAAAAAGGAAAAGGGGACTGGGATGGAGAGGCGGTGACAAAGGAGGTGATAGGATAAGCAGGGATGCCAACGGATGTAGTGACGGCGGTAGTGGATAGTGGTACGGGGTTAGCACCAAGGATGGGATGACAATAAGAAAGGAGAGAAAGATAGGTTATATCCTTCTTTTTAAATCATTGAAACCCATATTATAGTTCAACCAAAGATTGCACCTCTCTGTGATTGTCGGCTGTATTCATATATGCTTAATCTTATGTACACTCACTTATACATGGTTACAGCCTGCTCTCTTGTCCAGTCAAATAATCGTCTTATGCTTGCATTTCTCACAAAGTTTGGCATTTAATGTTATCTGGCTGTTGAGTGCGCATCAAGTCGACACTGTCATACTAGCAGACCACACACGTTTACTTTTAAAGGGCGGCATGGCAGCTGCTTACAGTAGCTTGGGCCCGGTGATAGGTCTGTTGCTGGTCGGCTATTTTGCAAGTGCCAATGAGAATGCCTTGGAAGGGTATTCTTTGGTTTATCAATATGCAGCTGGTTTTACTGTCATAAGTGCTATTTTATCTTGGGAATGGTCAACCAATGAATGATGTCTCTAATCACATATAAACAAAACTTTATTCCCAAAAAAAAATCATCTACTTTTTTTCGTTTTCAACTAAAAGTACGCATGAGGGTAGTCTCTAACAATCATCATCTATGGATGAACGAATAAAGCCCACCGTGTGTCATGCCATTTCGTTCAGAATTATTTATTGATATGAATCCTAGAACTTTGTTGCCGAGCGACTGTCCTATGTGTAGTGCAGTCAAATGTTACTGTATGGCATTAAATGTATATACATTGACTTTTTGACGGGGATTGTGTATTAAAAAAGTAGTTTTTATGCAAATGCAAATGGTTGTGTGTGATAGAATTAGAGGGAGGGCGTCTGTGTGGAGAAGATAGAAAAAGTACATATCTCGTTTGTATACATGGTTTAGGTAGTATGCTTCCTCTTTCCTCCTCTTCCCACAGAAAACATTTTTTAAAAAAAAAAAGAATGCCGGGGAGAATCACTTTTTATAGAATACCAGAATCCTTCAAATGATTCTGAATAATAGTGTCTTTGATGGCATTGAACACGTGGGCAATCTAACAAGAGAGCGAAAAAAGAGAAACAAAAAAAAAGTGAATGAGCTTAATGCCACGCATGTGTACCATGATAAAGACTTACATTGGATGTATCGGTAGCCTGTGTTAAGCTGTCATTATTATTAGCCAAAGGTAGAAATTTTGTTTCATTAGTGAGCTTTAGCCGTAGAGAAAAAAGCAACTTTTCACGCCAACTTACTGTGGATAAATGCATAGCTTGGCTCGATTAGTTTGATTAAACCTCCATAGAATGTATTTTGCAGCTTTATTAAGATCATCTCCACCTCCATAATCAGGAAAATACCTTTCTAAAGGTGATTTTTTAATCTTTTTCCGGAAAACATCAATCTTGTTCAAGAACAAGATGATCGTTGTCCGTGAAAACCAGCGACTGTTGACTACAGATTCAAACAACACTAAACTCTCCATCATGCGATTTTGTCGTGACTCTTCCAGTAATACTTGGTCGTATTCCGATAAGGATACACAAAAAATGATAGATTTTACCGATTCAAAACAATGAATCCATTTCTTCCTTTCCGACCGTTGTCCGCCTACATCAAACATACTACACATACACATGCAAGGTAAACACATAGAAGAGAGGTGGTAAGTATTGTCATGTAAAAAAGTAAAACGTTTTGCACAACAGCAGACGTTATGACACTTTACTGTATACTTGTCTCTTTGATCATAAATCTCGTCTCCACTATGCCTGTTGTTTTTGCTCTCGCTCTCAGAACATCTTGCGCTGTAGGAACGTAGCCTGGTTGACCAATTCTTTTGATTTCATCAAAGAAACTGTTATAAAAGGATAGTCAAGCACATTAGTGTCTGTTTCTTCTCAAGATATCGACAACGAAAAAAACTTTACTATGACGCATTATCCATTAGATAAAATTCAGTTGATCTCATGTCCATCAAAGATGCTACTGCAGGATCATTCCAAACAGATATTACGGCATCCACAAAAGAAGGATCCAACATATCATTGATATTATTTATGTCAGTTTGCATCAGTGCTGCTGTTGTTGTTGTCGTTGTCATTGCTATTGTTGTATTAATTTTATAGTCGAGAATTTGATTTGCTTGATATTCGAGCTTTTCAGAATCAAGTTGGTATTCAAACTGACGTAATGCTTTCACAATGGCTTGTGCTGATTGTATCAGGTTTCGATAAACAGTGAGTTTCCAATTTAAAAGTTCTTCTCGACTATAACCGTTTTGATGAATAATTTTCATTTGTTTGAAAATAGTTGATTTGCCCGATTCACCACTGCCTTTAGCGGTGGATATATATATGTGTGTGTGTGTTTTAGACAACAGTTTCATATTCATGTCAATAACGAAAAACGAGAGCGGTTCACGTAATTCAATCCATCCACTACTGTACCTAGTAAGAGTATCTTGAATTCTTTTTCCATTTTCTTTCCATCTTCTTCAATCAATTTATCAATATTGAAGCTATGTGACTTTTCTGCTCTTTCTTCACTTGATATACAGGCGCCCATTTTATGCTTTTAATCAGTATCGGTCAATCGAAGAAGCAAACAGTCAACACGGTTTGCAGAACAGGTAGTAAGGAACAAGAAAGAAAAATAAAAATGAAGAGAAAAGAAAGGATAAAGAAAATTAAGCTACATGAGGTATATCATTCAGCTTTTGATTATTTACAGCTTATAAAGAAAAAAGGAGAAAAAAGGGGCTCTTCGAAAATAGGCAATAAAAAAAAAGCCCAATTTTATGCTTTTCTTTTTATTTTCGTTGTTGTTAAGGGGGTTTTTTGCTGTTCACTTCAAGTATATGTAGTATAAGGGATTTTTGATGCACAATAAAACAATAGATGAGAAAAGGGAGAGAGAGGGTTCTGATTGGAGGCATTCAGGAATATCTTGATCCCGTCAATTTATTTATTTATTTGCCTTTCTTTTTGCTTCTTCCTTTTCTTCGTTTTCAATGAAATCTGCCCAACTACCCACATAATTCTCAAGGTCCTCATAACCTAGACCTGCAAGATACTCTGCTGCTTTCGTGCTACGAACACCTGCCAAACAGTACAATGCCAATGTATGCTTCTTCTCGGGCTTATCGAACCCAAACTTTTCTTTAAATTCTTCAGAAGGCAATGTCCATGCCGTTAAGAACTGACTCTGAAATGAAGGGGGCAAAGAAAAGTATCGAATTAATTTCAGTTGACCTATAACTCTCCGTGCACTTTTTTATACAAATAGAGAACACCTGAAGAATACTTTACCAGTGGCACATTCACTGCAGTCGGGATATATCCTTCCTTTACTTCGTTTTCTTCGCGTACATCAATCAAATGACGTGCATTCTTACTGTCAGCTTTTCGTCGGATCCATTTTTGAATATCTTGATAATCGATGATCTTGTAAGGTACATTCTGATTATTGTTGGATTGCGTATTGTATCGTCTTTGCTGTTGCTGCTGCTGCTCATAGAGAATGGAGCCTGTCTGCTGGCCTGTTCGCATCCAGCTGTCTGATAATCCAGCCACCGCTGAACGACTGTGAATGGCTGTCATTAGACAGACATTACGACGTAAACTTGCATAGTTAAGTGATTTCTTGAAAGAAAAAGCGAGATGTCGGGATGCCATGGCTAATTGAGGTTCAAAGGAAAGAAAAGGCTTTTAAAAGAGAAATTCTTAAAAATGGATGTGAAAGCATTTTATCTAGCCCTGTTAATGAGTTGCACAAAAAACACCTATTTTTTTTTGAAGACAATTCAATTGGTTTAAAGCAAAAAGTTTCATCATCATATTTTCAGATATGCAAACCTGCCATTTTAAAAAACAATTAAATGAAAGGCTATTGTTCTGCTTTCGAAAGACTTTGCTTGCCTTTTTTTTTTGTAATCCAAATAGTTTTGTTTCTTGATATTAGGAGATACTACAATGGAAAAGAACAATGGTTTGTGTCTGCAATTCACCACATCGACCAGGTAGATTACTAAGCATATAAAATTTCAACTTGCAGCACAGTGTTCTGTATCATACCTATGTTGAGAAGAAGGTTACTACTTCCAAGATAGTGTTCATCAATAAAGACTGTATAGAGCATGATAGAGACCTGTGGCTCAAGGTTTGATCTGATTCATAATGAAGAAAAAGGGTTGTGAATTTTTGACATGATGCCTGGCCAGTGTCTATGTAACCATACTATATGTATCTAGAACCCTTTATCGTTACTGCCCATGAATTGTCTAAACAAACATAAAATCACTAAGAAAAGTTGACAAGTAATCTACCGTTTCAAATTATTCGATGAATTTCTTTATTTATTTTAAGAGTTAAAAAACTTAACATCACTACGCAGCACTTAGCCTTACCTTTATTGAGCTGCTGTTGTTAATGAGAAGCTTGCTACTGTGATAAATTGATTATTAATTTATTTTTATTTTTTATTTTTCATCAATGACTATGATTGACTATTAAGGACTGGTGGGAATTATATTATTGTGAGGAAGTGTCTACGCTAGTAACTCAGTGTTGTATATATGAGGCATAAGTCCGTATATAGATATCACAGAGACAATGAAAGCCTGCAATACTTGCTATGTGACTATCCCGTAGTATTAATATCTGCATGGTGATTAAGCCTGTACACCCATTTCGCAAAAGATACATATACAGTTAGCTTCTGTCCACTTTACCTGTTTTTCAACGAATAATGGAATGATAAAAGAACCTCTCTGAGTTTCACAGACTTGTACTGTTTATTTTTTTAATTATTCATTCTTCGTTGACCAATCCAACATGTGCATTATGAGATAACTTATAATAAATGGAGTTCAATGTTTACAGCATGTTCCATACATATTCCTATCTTTTGCAGGATGAGAATAAGACAGATTCTGTGGACATACAGTTTTGTATCCAACATCATTTTATCCTTGTATTATTACATAACACTGATGTAAGAGACTTCAGATCTTCATGATGATGAGAATAACCTTCAGTGATAAATTTGTCAGATCAATCATTTTCTTTCCCAGAATAATATTTCATCTGTATATCCCAGATAACTTCTTTCAGTAGATTGACGTCGGGTGAGATATGAGATGTTATAGAATTTGGATTCAAGTAAATCAGATACTTTATTTTGCAGATCAAACCACATGAAATCAATCTACTTGAGCTATTGAGGAAGTTGCTGATCCTTCACTTTAATTCTTTACTACATTCTGACAGAATTCATAAGACTTGAATGAGATCTCCCAATTATGTTGCAGGAGAAGGAATGTTTCTTCCATCCATCACATTAGTCATAATGGCTCTACCAAAAGTATTGGTTAAAGGAACCTTCAGTCAGATCAGCCAACTTACCTTCTTATACCGATTCAAACGGTCAAGGCACGTCTCTGTCACGATTAACCGTGCAGTAACAATTGGATATGTCTTTTAACTAAATCTGACGAAACTGCATTATTATAAAGAAAAATTTGAAAGTAATTGTTATATATGAACAGATTAAGAACGCTAACATGCAAGACGCACCAATCATATGATCAAAGTAGAAATGGTGTTATGGATGTAGAAGAGTTTACTAACCTCTTGCCATTTGGAAACCTGAACTAACACCAGATATTACTGCGAATTTCAAGGACCAGAATAAGAGTCTCTCAATAAAGACCTAGATACTAGACGTGGTCAATCTTATAGGAACAGTAAACAACATATAATGAACATAGTAGTGGACAGAGGCTTCTTTTTATATATTATAGCCAAGTGGTCTCTACAACTAACCTTGTGCTTATGCTAATTAAGAATATCTAACGTAAATAAATAGACCAACTATATATAATAGTACAATTGAGCCAATACATAACTAAAGATGGTATAAAAATTAACAGAAATCTTCGTTTCGATTGTTGTTTTTTCGAGCTGCAGAGTGCCGTCTACGATCATCCTAACTTAAACCATACGAATAAATTGCAGGGCCCATTTATGCTAATTGCATTTACTGATGCTATCTGCATAGAAATGTAGTTTTACTTCTATATTCATAGCAGTTGCTGCTAAAAATAAAGTCTACGATCACATCCAAACTTATTTTTTCTAACGCGGTAAACTCAAAAAAAATGGGTCAGACAAAGAAAAAACGGGGTAGACAAAAAAGACAAACGATGTAGACCAGTTTGAGTCTTTTAGAAAGAACGGGGTAGTCTTTCTTTTATATATTTAAAATGAATGTTTCCCGGGATTATGCTTTGTGCGTTCTAGTTCGCTTTGAGTTCAATCATACAAACGTAAAAAGCAGGACAGAAATTAGCAAACCATGGATGTGGTATTTCCATACCTCGTATAAAATATAAACACGAATTATATACACCTTCGAAGAACTCGTTATTATGGCCTTAGAGTAAATAACGCTTGTACACGTCATCTTTTATTTGTTAGACATGCGTATATATGATGCTGCATTCTTACTGGTTGAGAATTTCAGGAACGAGTATTTAACTCCTTTTTATTTTTTTTCTTTTGTTTTCCCTCTTTCTTTTGTTGTCAAATACAAACGTTCATTTCGCCATGAACGCTCCACTCTCTGATTTTCAGTGTGTTGTATATATGAGCTAGAGTTCTTACATAATGATCGGAGTTATGACATTAGGAGTAACCATATAGCCATAATACGAGATTAGACTTCTAGAATCTTGCACAGTTGAAATACAGCGACTGATATTAATTATGATCTACAAATGCTACATATGAGGTTAACATATCCATAGTACATAGTACTTCAATAATAATTCACTCTTTCACAATGATCGGTCAGAAAGCGGACATTGGTTAGTGGTCTTACCATTCTATTTATACAGTGTTTTTACTTCCGTACGAGACACTTTTGAATTTTTAGTGGATAATCTGAGTTTTATTTGGAGACGTTTCTAGGTAAACCAGGATACGAATTGAAATATCCTAAGAGACAAAATCAAACTTTTACCGAGCGAGACTACCCTTCAATCTCTAATCCAACAACTGCATTATGGAAGATTTTATTCACTTTAGCCCCGTGAAGGAAGGCTATTATGTAGCAGCTAATAAATCTAGTGAAATGGATATTGATTACAACGATATTCAAACACTGGTTCAGTTCGGTGAACCACAACAGCCTGCAGAGCCTCCTAATGTTGAGATGTTTGACGTAGTTGATGAGCTGCAATCGCATATGGAGACGCTTGATATTAAGGAGACGAAACAACGACGAGGGTATAATACCGCTCAAATTAAGAAAATGTTTTATCTTTTGCAAGAAGAAGGCAAAAGTGTCACAGAAGCCGCGTTACTATCAGGGATTCCGCGCAGCTCAGCATACAAGTTAGTTAAGAAGTTCAACGATAGTAATGGTACTATAATCCCATTAAACCCTACAGTAGATAAATTAAAGAAACGAACGATGTCCAGCAGGAAGTTTTCGCCTGAGCACACTGCTTTCATTTTGAAACTATTTGACGAAAATCCGTCGCTTACTCTTTCCTTAGTCCGTCTAGAATTGATTAGTAACTTTGAGGGTTTTACTATCTCTATTTCTGGTTTATGGAAGCATATAACTGAGAAATGTGCTCTTTCTTTGAAAAATGCATCCAAATATACTATTGAAAGAGACTCACCTAGAACACTTGACCTTCGTGTCAGTGTCATAACACAATGGAAGGCTGCAGGCGTCGATTTTCAAACAAATTGTGTATTTATGGATGAGGCTGGTTTCAATATGCATATAATCAGAAATCGCGCATGGTCGAAAGTTGGGAAAGCAGCAAACGTGAAAGTATTTCCTCAACAGGGTGTGAATATAAGTATCATAGGCTGTATCTCTCACTTCGGTATTGTCGATTTTTCAAAAGTTAAGCCTATGACAGTCAAGGAAGCCGAAATCATTTCAAAGGAATTCCAAAGTGACAAAAAACGGAAACGAGACAATGACGAAAAACCAAAGCTTAGGAAAGGGACTACCACATATCATGTTGTTAAATTTGTCGAAAGTGTAATGGATATTTTGGATCAGCTTAACAAAAAGGATATGTTCATTGTTATGGATAATTGCAGAATACACCATTCTGAATTTGTCGTGAAAGCAATCAATTCACGTGGTTACAAGCCTCTTTTCCTGCCACCATATTCACCCTTTCTAAATCCTATCGAAGAGTGCTGGTCCAAAATTAAAAGTATCATTCGACGAAACCCTTTAGATTCCAATGATACCTTAACTCCTAGAATTAAGCAAGCCTGCCTCTCAGTCTCTGTAGAGGATTGCTTAGGTTGGATCAGACACTCCGAAACTTTTTGGGACAGATGCTTAGATAGAGAAGTTTTGTTAAGATGAAGTTTTTATTTTATTTTTGTCTCCTAAGAAATCTTATCTGGTCTCATAGGATATTTCAATTCGTATCCTGGTTTACTTAGAAACGTCTCCAAATAAAACTCAGATTATCCACTAAAAATTCAAGAGTGTCTCGTGCGGAAGTAAAAACACTGTATATTCGTCGCCAATTGCTTACAGTCCGATCCTCTAACCTCTCAATGAGTAAGTACCCGCGCCCAACCATAGTGAAGGTACCCGTGTCTTTAATGAAACAGTCTATATGACACCGGCTAAACCCGCTCTATCCAGCCCAACACATCATCCTATAAAAGATAGAAAATTTTTCATCTAGATATGTTTTTCTTTTGTACGATTTTCATTGAATAAAGAGTATAACAAGTTCTCACAGAATTCTAACTCTTTTTTATTAACCTTAATTCTTTGAAGATCAACACAGTGTATAATAAAAGGACTGAAGGTGGACCCGTCCCACCTTCAGTCTTTTTCAATTATTG